GCGCAAGGATCAACGCCCCCCTCCAAAGGAGAGGGACTCGGCTGAGACCAAACCCGCTGCAGTCTGGGTGGGGTGGGGTGGAGACTGAAGGGAACTGGAGCACCCTCTTTTCTGAGAGGCCCCCATGAGCCTCCTCCCCCCCAAAGGCAGCGACAAAGCGGGCTGGGTGCCCATTTGTGTGCGCACCCTGTAACTGCCTTTCCAAAGTGCCACTCCGGATCAGCACTGCCCACGAGCCCCTGGCGCAAAGGGAGCGGGGATAAAAATAGATGCATCTGAAGGTTAAAAATAGCTGGCCTAACTAGGCACACAATTTGCAAGGCAATGGCAAGGCACTACTGTAGAGGTGGCGGTGGGAGAGAGGTCTGGGAGCAGTGGGGGGCATAAAGCGCTTGCACAGATCAAGGCCTGCAGGCATCAGGATTCAGGTCTGGGGTAAGAAAGATGACTGGAGAGTTCCTGCCTTCGGTGACAGCTGCTGCCCTTGGGAGTACAAAAGCCAGGCTCCCATCCCAGTTTTGGGAGCGAAGCCTCGCATGCAAAGAGAGGATTTGCTCTAATGTTTACCATGTGTTTCTGTTTCTCAGTCCTTGGGATGTGCTGTGACACACACACCCTTTCATGTTGCTGCATCCAGTGGCATAGCACGGGGTGCCAGCACCCAGGGCCACACGGAGGGGGTGGGTGGGAGGCAGGGAATGAGACAGAGTAGGCAACTGCCTTACAGCGACTGAGTCACCCAGAAGATCGCAGCTGCAGAGATAAGAAAAAAAGAGTCATTGTCTGGAGAGGCCACTTCCTGGTTTGCATGGAGAAGCCATTTTAAACGGAGACCAGCAACAGAAGCACGCAGCTGTAGAGGCAATACTGGGTGTTGAAATTTTGCACCATCTAACAATTTTGCACCCAGGGCAAACACCCCGGTGGCCCCCCATGCTACGCCACTGTCTGCATCCACACTTAGCCAGAGGGTAGCTGGGTGGCAGCCAGTACCCCTGTTTTGCCACTGGGCCCCTGTCTCCCTGCAAGTCATGCACCTTGGCTGGGGATTGCTTGACCTCATAGTGCCACCTGCTGACAGAAAAGTAACACAGCACATCAATGGGGAATGCTTAATTTACTTTGCTTCTGGTTGGCCTCACAGGAGCAAAATGCAAAGCTGGAAATGTTAGCTGCGGAGGCTAAATGAGGGGCCACTCCAGATTGCCAGGGGTTGGGGGAGGGTTAGGGGGTTTTTTGGCAGGTGTATGAAACTGACAAAATAATAACGCATTAGTGCTAAATTTATACTGGACTGTCCACACACCATTCAGTTTTATTTGTTATGCAATGCATCCCCAATCTTATTGCAATATTGCTGTCTGGAGGGACACTCCTTCAAGACAGTGCAACAAAAACAGCACACAAAAAATGAACTGGGACATTTGTGGTTTAAAAACTTGCAGGATTGGAAATGAAGCAGTTTGTCTGTGATGGCTAGGGCTGGTTTGAGTTGTAGTCCAACAACATCTGGAGCGTACCCAGTTGGTGAAGGCTGATATAAAGCAACATCTCGCCAGGTCCTGCTTTATCCCATATTCTTTTAAACATGTTATTGCTTTATATAAGTATTTATTGTCATGTGAATTGCTTTGAGAAGCAATTCATCAATTAATATTAATGGCAAGGGAATCCAGCACAGGTCAGATTTTCTAAAACGGTCACATTAGCCCTATTTATTTTGGGGAAGACCAAAGCCTCTACATCAAATCCCAGAAGTAGCAACATAGGCCACATTCACAGCATATCACTATGATACCACTTTAAACAGGCATGGCTTCCACCAGAGAATTCTGGAAGCTGTAATTTGTTAATAGGAGACTCCGATTCCCCTCACAGAGCTACAATTCCCAAGGTGAATTACCAATCAATTCCATGACACGGGGAACTCTGGGAACTGTAGCTCTGGGAGAATAAGCAGTCTCCTGGCAATTCTCAACACCCTTAACAAACTACAGCTCCCAGAATCCTTTGGGGAAGCCATGACTGTTTAAAGTGGCATCATAGTGTTTTAAATGTATGGTGTAAATGAATCCATAGTGTCAGGAGTCCCTGGGAGCGTCTGAATATCACTGCATTCTCCCAGTAAGAACGTGAATCCCAGTCCAATGTAGTCACATGGAATGAGCCCCACTGAGTTCAATGCGGCTTATACTCAAGTAGGCACAGAATTGCAAACTAAGTTTAATTTAATACTGAAGTGGCAGAGAGCATGTGGAAATTGATCATTGGCAACAGTGCTTCTCAGGGTACTTTCGGCAGAGGCTCAGGCAGGGTAAACTATGCAACAATTCCAAGAAGTGAGAAAGGAAATATTTCGTCACGCAAGATATAATTCACTTAGTGGATTTATTGCCTCAATATGTGGTGATGACCACACATTCAGGGACATTTGGTTTAGCTGGGTTATAAAACACAATTGCCAAAATGTTGCCTCGGTGATCAGAAATAGACTAGACATTCAGCTACTAGATAACGTGGACAAATGCTGGGACGAACTCCATCTTGCTCTGCTTAGGAGGTTCCCTGGGAAATCTGGCTGGGCGTTACTGGAAGCAGTTCGGTAGACAGAACTTGGTCTGAAACCTCCTGAGGCAAATTTTGAATTCTTAATTTCCCCCCACATGCGTGAACATCTCTCTCATTTCAAACACATCAAGCTCACTAGTTGCAGGAGGGTGGGAAGGAGACGATCCAGGGGAATGTGAGGGGAATGGCAGCAGCTGTTGAGCGGAGCCACTAGTTTAAAAGAAATAATAAATCCCTTTCAGTTGAAGCTCCAAGGCTGCTGGTTGAGATTAAAAATGGTCACTGCAGCAGTGGCTTCCTTCGCTGAGGGGTTTGAACTAGACAGAGCTCAAGGTCCGGTTTTATCCTGTTAACTATACACTTGTGTTTTAAAACTTAGTCCTGAGCAGGACTCAGTAGCTGAGGGAGGCAAAAGGAAGAGGAGAGCAAAAGACGCAGGGAGTATCAGGCTGAGAAAGTGACCAGATGTGATTAGTAAAGATCTCGAGAATCACTGAAATCTTTTTCTCATAAAGGAGGAAGATACCAAAATCCCTTGCAACTTTACTATTAGCAAGCTGCTGAATTCTGTGGTTTGAATTAGATCAACTCCCTATTCCTAGTTTTAAGTTAACTTCCACCTCTTGCTTAAGGTTTCTGCATAGTTTTATTGACCCCAGATGTCAACAGCCCTGAATACCTCCATTTGAAGCAAGTTCAGGCACTTTGTGAAATGGGCCTCTAGTTTGTGTACCCCCACCCCTGCCAAACTAGAGGCCCATTTGGCCAAGATAGGCTTCCCACTCTTGATACAGCGTGATAGGCCAAGGCTGCAATCCTGTTCACACTTACCTGGGAGTAAGCTAGGGAGATCATGGCACAGCTATCCTGAGCTGTGTGAAATTGGACAGGTCACCCTGGCACCTGAGGAACATGCAAGGTAAAAGGTAAAGGACCCCTGGATGGTTAAGTCCAGTCAAAGGCGACTATGGGGTGCAGTGTTCATCTCGCTTTTCAGGCTGAGGGAGCCGACATTTGTCCACAGACAGCTTTCCAAGTCATGTGGCCAGTATGACTAAACTGCTTCTGGCGCAATGGAACACGGTGACAAAAGCCAGAGCGCACGGGAATGCCATTTACCTTCCCGCCACAGTGGTACCTATCTATCTAATTGCACTGGTGTGCTTTTGAAGGTTGGCAGAAGCTGGGGCTGAGCAAAGGGAGCTCACCCCATGGAGCAGATTCCAACCACTGCTCTTCCGATCAGCAAGCCCAAGAGGCTCAGTGGTTTAGAAACAGTGGTTAATTAACAGAAACTTAACACAACAAAGCTCTGCAGGCCACATAGGAATTTCACAGGCCATCTGAGTGCACATTCAGCAACAAGCCAGTAAGGGGCGGGGAGTGCAGACAATATGCTGAAACTTATCCCAGGAGCTAGAGTTTTTAGTTACTGTTTTTTTAAGGCAAGAAGCAGATACTTGCAGGGATCCAAATTGTGCCAAATATATTCCATGTGCAATAAAAGAAACAACATTGTGCCTCATATCCAAACAGCTAGGTCTTTTAAGTCTTGCTTTGCTGTTCTTTAAAATGCCCCACAACCAGCTTTACAACTCCAGAATATGAAGGATTTTTGAAGGTTTTCATCTGGCAATATGCTATTAACACAAAGCCTCCCCTCCTCCACCAACAATTCTTTTATTAAAAATTGCTTCCATTTTTTGCTTGCTGCTCCCTGCCTTGCATGAGATATGTAGTTTGATTTGGTGTCATGTTTAATCCTTTTCAAGGCTTTAAGTCAGGGGTGGGCAACCTATGGCCCTCCAGATGGTGATGGACTCCAGCTGCCATCAGCCCAACCAGCATGTCGAATGGTTAGAGATGATGGGTGTCAAGAGCCCAGCAACTTCTGGAGGTGCCCTGTCTCTGTTTTAAGCATTCATTGGAATGCTATGTTAAGAAGAAGAAGAAGAGTTTGGATTTGATATCCCGCTTTATCACTACCCGAAGGAGTCTCAAAGCAGCTAACATTCTCCTTTCCCTTCCTCCCCCACAACAAACACTCTGTGAGGTTGAGAGACTTCAAAGAAGTGTGACTGGCCCAAGGTCACCCAGCAGCTGCATATGGAGGAGCGGAGACACGAACCCGGTTCCCCAAATTACGAGTCTACCACTCTTAACCACTACACCACACTGTTAAGATACTTCCTCCCCCCCCCCCCCGCAAGAGCTGATAACATGTAAGGTGCTGCGATACTGAAGGAAAAAGAAAATTTTAGGTGAGAAATACCTGATTTTGAAATGTTTTTTTTAAACAATATTGAAAAATTAAATTTCCTTGCAACATCCCCCCCTTCATCAATTCTGTGGTTGAGATCTTATTTTGGAAATAAATGCAAAAGCTGGCTTGTCATACAGCCACTCACTTGGTCACCAATAGTAAGAATCGTCTCCAGCTGAACAAGCAAGGAACGTTTTGAAAACTGAAAAAGAACCAGTTCTTGCTTAAAAGCTGCTGCTATATCAGATATGGGAGGCAATAGGCAAGGCCCAATCTCCATCAGCTTACTTAGGACTGTAGTTTGGGTCCCTCCCCTCCCAGAACTGCCTCCGTCTGTGATTGTTCTATCAATGCGATGTTATTCAAGAATTGATACCTGGAACTGCCCTTCCCCATCTCCCCTCCCTGTTTCTGTTATGTCTATCAGACTGTACATTACATTGCTTGAAAATGTAAGTCACCATGGTGAAGGGCAGTAATTAAATAATAAGGCAGGGTAAGAAGCACTGTGGGTCCTTGCAGACTTATTAGCGAGGCTGAAGAGAAAAAATGCCACCCCCTTATCAAAATAATAATAAACACAAGCACAACTCCAACACATAATTTCAGAAAAGATCAAGAGAACAAGTGTCGTATTTTCAGGTAACTCTTTAAAACAGCAAAGAAAGCCCCACTGTCCAAACTGCGCATCTGAGGGGAGCTCTCACCCGTAGGAGACAGTCTTGGAATTTGTCTCTGCCAGAGGCGACAGGCTCACCTTTAGCCAAGAGATGTCCCCCACCCTCCCGCAAACACTCAACAACAGGTAGGCGCCAAAGTTCAGAGCGTACAGGCCGGCCAGCAAGGGTCAGCAGGCCTGGCCAAGTCCCAAACGACACGATTTGTCCCAAACAGGACTTGGTTGGAATAATTACACAACAGCTGATATGCCAGCACAGAAGGTATATATGTATATATATACACACAAGGCATGGTCCACGAACGTTGCCACCCATCCTCTGCACAGGGCCGGTGGGCATGTCGCCTGTGCCCAGAGTCGAGGAGCCGCTGCTTTCTACGTCGACATGAAAGGACAGTCCCAATGTTTCCAGAAAGTTCCACCAAGTTGGGGTTGATGCTGATCCTGGAGACAGCAGCACAAGGAATGATGGGTGGGTGGGGTGCCAAGATGCCAGAGCTGCTCACTGACTAGCGAGGGGTTTGAAAGGAACAAGAGGCTGTGTACGAAAGGTCCCAGCACATAGGCCTCTTTCTCCAGCGTTGATCAGTTACCCAAAACAAATCCATGCTAATTCTCCTTCCCACTCACTCCAAGCCAAACCCCAGGGACTATACATTCTGCGCCCAAATGATACAAATTCTACAAGTGCATTTTGTTTAATTTTATTCTAATAGGCAGTCCCAAAAGTGTTAAAAATTCTGCGAGCGAGCTAGAGGGCACAGAGGGAGTGGAATGAAGGTGCAGAGAGGATTTTGGCCTTATTTTGGCATCCTCATGGGAAGAACAGAACCCCACCCCTTGCCCATAGTAGGAACATGAGATCCAGTGTGATCTAGTGGATATAACAATGTCCTCACAGGTGGGAGATCTGGATTTAAAATCCAACATCTGCCATGGACACTCTGGGTAAGCCACCAATTTTTCTCAAAAAGATATACACACTGCTCTCACTTCACTCCAATTTTCATGGGTGCGTCTTCCTCACACCAGCAGTTTTCCTCCCAAACCTACTCAAGGCCAACATAATAGAAACAGGGCTGCAGAGGTCTAATTTTAACATCAACAGGGACACACAGATGGTGTGCAGAGCAGAACCTATGCGTGTAGCCAGGATTTATGTTGGGGGGGGAGGGCAGAACTGAGCTACCTGTGGCGCGATTGGTCAGCTAGTTAAGTATTTTTATTTATTTACTTGATGGGGGGTCGTTGCTCCACCCATGGCAGAACCCTACTGTGATCTGTGGCTAAGCTCCCTGAAGTTCTTCTTCCAGCCTGGCTGTTATTACCAGAATCAACCCTGGCTGAAGTAAAAAATGCCTGAAGCATGAGGCGGGAAAGGCTTGGCTCTTCTCATCAGCATGCTCTCTTTGATGTAAGTAAACAAACAAACAAACAAACAAACAAACAAACAAACAAACAACCCCCCTCTTGAAATGTGAATGGTCCAAACACAGGAACAAACCTAAAACATTATGGGCCCTTCATCACATCTATTTTGGTCCAAGGAATGAAATTACTATGATGCAAGATGCAGTGGTAGAATTCTGGACTGTGTTACTACAGGCTGCAGGCGCCAGTGGGGATCTTATTTGTGAGTGCTCTCCCATGTAAGACAACCAACAAACCTGCTTGTATTAACGTTAGGCAAGTACCGTCATTACACTGTTTTAAACACCTTTTAAAAGCAGCAAGCCTATCCCAACATATAATTTAGTTGTATTTGTTTTTAAATTTATGCTAATTTTATCTGTATATCACTGATAATTATTTCACACTGTTTGTGTACACCACTTAGGAGAGTTTTGATTAAGCAGTATAAATTCTTCTAAACAAATAAATGCAGCGGTCTAGCACATCAGGGGGAAAGATTTTGCTGTAGCTCTCTTCCTGACATGCTTGTTTATTACATGCCTGGACATGGAGTTTGTTATTATTAATGTTATTTAAACCCACACAACATATTGTCATCAAATAAAAACAAAACCCCTCCCTGCAAGCATTTTGAAGTGGTACAGTCCAGGACTCTACCAACTCACTCATTCTGTGTAATGTGCAGATTGACTTGAACTTTCTAACCCAGCCAATTCAAATGCAGGTCTCTAACACAGCCTTCTTCCCCATGCCTCTGTTCCCAACTCCTTCCAGCAAGAAATTCCATTCAAAATGTCATCTCAGAATGCCCAGCACTTTGCATCCTGGGTCAAGATCACACTGTGAGACGGTTTGCTCCGAGAGATGAGGACGCTTTCTCCACAATTGCTGGACCAGGCAGAAACAACACACCATTCCTGGAGACACAGTGGCAGGGAGCAAGATCAGTCATTGGTGATGCCCTTGGCCCGCAGTTCCTCTTGCACCCGAGCAAGGTATGTAGGATCAGGGTAGCCAAACCTGGTGGGAAACGGAGATCAAATGTCATAAACTTATTTCAAGGCCCTGGCAATTTAGCTGAGTTTTACCACTTAGGTCAGTGATTTTCCAGATTTAACACTTCTGACTGAGCATGGGGAACTGTGGGGAGGGGGTGGGGAGGACTCACTGCCCAGAGAAAACTAGCATATCAGGGGCATAAACTCAGCCCCCAGGGAACCTCCCATCCTTCTTTCTCTGGGGTTCAGGAAAACCAACTACGCACCTGGACCTTGAGCAAAAGGGTCCCAGAGTGGTCATGTGACAGAAGATGAATGTTAATGGAGCCAGAGAAAGCTCTTGCTTATTGCTGCCAGCTTCCTGAGGACTCTGTAATGTCTCTTAACCCCACGGTTCTGGTTCTTGGAGTAGCTTGCTGAGAACCCGAACCCTTTTCCAAGCAGCCTCTAAAGTACTCACCTGCCCTTGGTGACCCAACCTTCAATGCCACCATACTTATCCCCCCTCCCTCTCCCCCACCCCACTACTCCATGACAGGTCCTTACAGCTGCGGTCCACCGGTGCAGTTGGTTTTGTGATGGATGTCATTCCAGGTGATGACGTTGGCTCGGCCTGTGGTCATGGAGGTGCCGATGGTGAAAGTGAGGCGTTGGTCAAAGGCCTTGCGGAACAGCGCCAGCACCTTGTTGCCTTCGGGGCAGTCGGGCAGGTAGGCCACACGAGTGGTGCCTGGGTAGCGGACGCCAGGGTTGGGGTGCTCCACCTGCAAAAGGTGAGCCAGGCATGGCAAGGAGAATCCATTGTTAACCTAAGAAGGTTGGTGAACTGGAAGGGCTGGGAAGCCAGGGACAAATGCCTGCTCTAATCCTGAGCCTGCTGACCATGGTTTAGATCACCCTGCTTCCACCGAGGCCTCTTGGTCCTCTGCAGAAATCTAAGATTTTTGGGATTCTTGAAGGCAGCAGCAGGCGGGAAAATGACACACCTCAGCTACAATTTTAAATCTTCTACCAGATTTTTTGGGGAGCAAGAGGGCAGACCAAAACATGGGCTGTTTATCACTTTCAAAGCAGGATTTCATTCTCTGCTACAATGCAGCACTCCATGAATGCATCGGGATGCGCATGGGACCAGGTGCATGTACCGTATTTTTCGCCCTATAGGACGCACTTTTCCCCCTCCAAAAATGAAGGGGAAATGTGTGTGCATCCTATGGGGCGAATGCAGGCTTTTGCTGAAGCCTGGAAAGCGAGAGGGGTCGGTGCACACCGACCCCTCTCCCTCTCCAGGCTTCAGGAAGCTATCCGCAAGCCGTGGGAGAGCTGCGCGACTTCCTGCTGGGCTCCCAAGGCTTGCGGACAGCAGCCTGCTTCCCGAAGCCTGTGGCGCGCAGCAGAGCGTGCCCAGGCTTCGGGCAGATATCCGCAAGCCTGGGGAGACCGGCGGGAGTTCCTGCCGGGCTCCCAAGGCTTGCGGATAGCAGCCTGTTCTGGGGGCTGGGGTCGGGGGAAGGTCAGGCTTCCCCCGCCCCAGCCCTGCGCCTGGGGGGGGGGAAAATATTTTTTTTCCCCCTTTATCCCTCCCCCCAAAAAAACTAGGTGCACCCTATAGGGCGAAAAGTACAGTAATTAAGATCAGGGCAGCTGAACAGTCACACAGAATGAGAGCGAGGAGGATGTGGCAGACTGAACCTCCAGCTTTGGTCTCCGACTCCTCCCCTTAGCCACGCAGCCCACTGAGAGGAGACTCATTACCAGTCACCATCTCCCAGGCTCACTCCTACCTCACAGGGCTGTTGTGCGGATATAAGTCCCTTTGAGGAAGGGTGGAATATAAATGCAATGAACAACAATTAATTGGGTGGCAGTAAAAAAACACTATTTGGCACATTTTCCAAAGTTCAAGGAATACACATTTGCATTCTACATACCATCAAGAGAGTTCACTGGGATCGACAGAAATAATGCAGGGGGAGAAACTATACCTTGAACATATACCATTAAAAATGACTTTATATTGGTGCCAGCAGGGCAGGGATCCACTTAGCAGAGCCAGCAGTAAGGCCCACAAATGCAGCAGTCACATTTGGGAACACTCAAACACACCCTACCATCTAAAAGAGGCTCCACTCTGTGGATGGTGTGACCATTAAGTCCATGGTCCAAAATCACCTGACCAACTCTGGGACTTTATTATATTATCCTCCACTGACTGCAACAAGCATTTTTATTCCAGTAGCAAACACAACAGCTGCTAATAACAGAGCTTCCATTTGCATACTGGGAACCTGAAGAGAAGACACTGTGAAAACTCAATAAAATATAAAATTTTAAGAGACATGTCCTCAGGCACACTCATGAAATTCCACACACCTGATTCTACCAAATACAAAGTAGGAAATGCCATGAAAAACCATTTTGGTAAAGGAAGTATCTGTGGGATTGAGTGTGGGTATGTATGAATATTTTTAAGGATTGTATGAAATGTATGTTTGTATATTCATAATATGTATGTATTAATGTTGAATTATTTTAATAATAAAATATTTGTGTGGTTAAAAAATTTTTTAAAGAAAAAAGAAAAAAAGAAAAACCATTTTGCTTTATCCCAAAGCTTTGGAAACTTTTTAGATATTGTACTCTTTATCCCAAAATGGTGTTTTTCTTGACTGAAAGTTACTTTGGCTGCCTGGATCGCCACATGCACTTACTTTGGCAATCCATCTGCTGGGAGGCACCGTCACTTCTCTGTTCACTCTACTTCTCTGCTTTCTTTTCTCTTTTCTGTTTTCTTTTCTCAGTCACTTCTCTTTTTTCTTCACTTCCCTCTGTAGGCCCCTAGTCTTGTGCAATGGCCCTCCCTTTACAATATTTTCACCTGGGGCCCCCTTGGAATATCCTGGGGCCCCCAGGGGGCCATATGGCCCCTGGTTGAGAAACACTGCTGTACCCTATGTTCTCAGCTCCCCTCCAGGAAGGAGAAGACACCATTCACCTTCAATCTACATGCAACCCACTCAAAGGTTTTTCTTTTCCCATCCCCTTCCAATGTCCAGCTTCAAGGCTCCTCTCAAATCCTCATATTGTCTCTACACCCTGAATTTTCCTATCACTCCAGCTCCCACAGAACTAAGAGTCATCAGGAAGAGGGAATCCTGTCACTATAGCCCGTTTTGCATGTTAGTAGCACCTACAATTATCCCCAGTGTGAAGAGGAACACAAGGCTGTGCTTGCTGGCGGTTCCCACTCTGGCCCCACTTGAACTATACAAATAAAGCAGAATCGTGTCACTTTAAACAGTTATGGGTTCCCCTAAAGTATCCTGGGAACTGTAGTTTGTTAGGCGACCCCTATCCCCCTCACTGAGCTACAATTTCCAGAGTGGCTTAACAAACACTTGAAGAGGGAACTCTGGAGATTTTAGCTCCCTGAGGGGAATATTGGTCTCAGCACCCTTAACAAACAACAGCTCCCAGAAGTCTTCACAGGAAGCCATGACTGTTGAAAGTGGCATGACACTGCTTTAAATGTAGAGTGCGGATGACACCCCTGTCACAATCCACGCATTGGTTAGGGAAATCAGAAGCAGAAAGCCTGCTCTGTATGCCCTTGTGGGATTTAGGAGTCTGAGCAATCAGGGGCTTAAATTGTGCCTACGCCAATGCAGCAGGCGCCCCACTTTAGACACAACACGAGGACAGCAGGGAGGCTGGGCTGGCTGGCAGCCAACACAACACCGGACGAGAGAGCCAGTGAGTTTGGCCTTGCTCTCCCACTCAGACAATGATAATAGGTGACTAATCCTATGCAAGTTTACACAGAATTTAGCAGGTCTCATTCCCATGTGACTGTGCCCAGGATTGCAGTCAAGAAATATTAAGTGTGTGGGATGGGGGGCAGCACAGACAGAAGCAGAGCCAATTGCCATCAAGCTCTATAGAGCAAAGTAAGGCTGCAAACGGTATTGCTGGGTGGGGGGCAAAACTGCCTTCCTCCAAGTAACAAGGGGGCAACCAGGAACAGGTTTAGATTCCCATCCCAATGGTGCTTCTCAGAAACCCCTTTTAGCATGACCCACAAAAGCAAATAGTTGACTCACTTATGAGGATATATATATATATAAACAGTGTATGTGGGGGTACCGCTGTGGGGGGAACAAAACATGCCCCTTGCCCTGACACTAGGTGCCCTCTCCTCCACCGCATGTGCCACAATGTGTCTCAGTGCAGTGAATGCGCCCCCTGACAACACTTCCCTGGCCCTCACAACAACAGCCATGAATACAGACAGAGACCCTACTTACTCCTTGTATGCCAGGTGGGAAGACATACTGGATGATGATGGTGCCATATTTCTCATAGCCAGGGAGGAGCAGGCTTGAGTCCTTGGAGACCAGCATGCGCCCGTTCTCCGGCTGGTTGCCCACCAGCTGCCCATAGAAACGCCCACACATAGGGCAGGCCTTCTTGACTTGCAAGGCCCGAGTGATGCAGTCCTCGCAGAAGGAGTGCTTGCACTTCTCCAGAGTCTTAATGTTCTGGATCTCCCCCAAACAGATGGGGCACTGGCTGTCCTGTTCCTCCTCCCCTCCCCGCGAGCAGCTGGCCACACCTCCGCTGCCACTGACCACTCTGGACCCGGAGGTCTGCTGCCCTCTGGATATCAACGCAGCCCCTCGGCGGTGAAGCTCCACAGCGCCGTGCTCTCGGCTCTTCTCCATTAAGGCCATGCAGCCCATCAGCTCGCTCTGGCGCTGGGCCTTCTTCAGCTCCTTCTCCGTCTCCTTGAGCAGGGCCTTGAGGGCTTTGCGGGCCAGGTAGAGGCCGTTGCTCGGCCCGTGAGCAGGCAGAGTAATCTGCAGCACGTAGATCTCGGAGGTCTCGCCATCGATCAAGATGCCGACCTTGTTCTCCTCCTTCAGCTTAACCAGCTTGGCTGGGCTTTCCTTGGTCAAGAAGTCCCAGACGTGTTTATTTACCGTGAGCCTGTTCTTGGTGGTGCCTCCGCAAGCGGCCATCCTGGATAAAACAAACGATACTGGAGAGAGAGAGAAAGGAAGAAGAGAGTCATCAAAGCTGCAGAAAGTGGCTCCAGGCAGGATTAAAGACAACCAGACACTCACATTCAGCCCTTCCCATCATCGGAACAAAGCTGGTCAGGACTTGAAGGCTGTTATTGGTCTGCTCTGATAAAAGTTTTTTTGGTTTTGCTGAGCATGACATATACTAGAAACCCATTAGCAGACCCCCAGATATTCAAAATCCCTTCGTCTTTGTTCTGATTCAACACATCCGTACTACCTAATCCCATCTTAATACAACCCTGTGTCAAGCACTCCCAGAATGTTTGAATAATCAGAAATCTAACTAGGTTGGGGGAACCCAGGATTTTAACAGCTCGTTTTACTATTATGAAGCGGGTGGGGAGAGGAAAGGGATGAATGCATGCATCATGTGCAGTTCTGCCCTGACAGAAGACTTAGCCCCCGGGGGGTGGAGGCAACCTACACACGTTCTTGTTGGGCTTCAGTTTGCATCATTCCTAGCCAGCATGGCCAGTGGTCAGGGATGATGGGATTTGGAAGTCCAGTAATGTCTGAGGCCTGCAGGCTCCCCATCCCTGATTTAAGCGGTTACAGCTATAGTGGATTGCCTGGATTTTGTTTGTTTCAAGACCAGCCTACTGCTGCACAGTGTTGCTGTTCTTCCTATCACCCCCCCACACCCTGATTTCTCTGAGTCCATGAAGATGCAGGGTAAGAGACATAACAAACACAGGGAGCTGCCTTTCACAAGGTCACACTCTTTGCCATCTGGCCTTGCACCACCTGGCTGACAAAAAGCTCTACAGGGTCTTAAGCAGAGGCCTGTCTGCTCCCAGGTTATATTTTAAGTGGAAATGCCAGGAGGGATTGAATCGAATGCCTTCCCCATGCAAAGCTGTGGGTCTTCCCTGGATACTGAGTCATGGACAGAGCACTTCCACTTTGTGGCAAGTGACCAGCCGTTCCCACAGTGCAACTTCCTTCTAGTCAATTAGTGTGGAAAGCAGTCAAATGTTTAAAGCATCAGCTGCACAATAAGACATGGCTTTCCTCCTGACTTTGGGACAAAGGGTAGAATTCAATGTTGGGCTGAGTGGGGTATGCATGCATGGAACGAGAGCCACTTGTGCAACAGGACTCTGCCCCCTCTCTCCTTCCCAAGTGCGCTGCCAAAACCTGTTCTAGGGGTTCCCCCAACCCCCCAGAGCACATTTTGGTGGTGCAGAGGTAGGGGAGGGGGGAGAGTACCCCACTGTGCAAGTGGACATTGTCCCATGCATTCAACTATTAAACTATAAAGACTGCAGGGTTTTGAAATAAAGGACATCCATTATGATCTTGTTCTGAAATGGCCAACAAGCCTTTCAAAATAAATCTGTACTATCTACTCCTTTAAGGGGCATTTGGCAAGCTTAAGCAGAGCATTACTGGGTAATTAGAACCCACCAGCAATCCATGAGGAATAAAAGATTAGTAAAAAAAGATTTCAAAGCCTCTTGAGAGACATCATCTTGGAGAGGAATCCAGAGAGACAGCCTAACAGGACAGAGGAGGTGGAATATACCCAGCTCTTAATAGCCAAAGTATATTACAACCCCAAGCATATTTATTCAAAAGACATCCTCAAAAAGTTCAGCTTGTTCTCTTATAAACTGTTTTTGAAACATCTGGAAATGGGGTTATCGTTGTATTATTTTTATATATATATAAATTACCACTGAAAGAACACCTGCAAAAAGTTTGCTTTTTCAAGTGCATAAAATGCTGCTTTTTAAATGTTTGACATTGTGGAGTTGTTCCCTATCTTTCTATAATGTCAGCATAATTTGTTGTTTTTAATTGTTGTTTTGATGTCTTTCACTGATTTCTCCAGCACAATTCTCACAGGGCACCCTGGGGTAGCCAGGCATCTTAGACATAACTGCCCTTAGTATGTGATAAGACAGAGGCAGCTTTACTGTTTCATCCAGATCGACCCGGTTACTCGAGAGACTGCCTTATCTCTTACATGCCCAGTAAGTCACTGAGTTCCACAGGGGAGTTTTTCCTTCAAGCTCCCCACATCAGATATCAGAAGCCTGCTCCAATGGAACTCAGAAGAGTTACTGCTAGTGTGGCTCCCTCTGTTCTGTGGGAAAGTTTTCCTGTCAAGACACGACAGGTGCCCACTAGCTGTACTTTCTGGAAAAAATTGAAACTATTTTTGTTTCAACAAGCTAAATAAAAAGGCCTCTGCTTAAATGTTCATTCTGTGATGTTTCGAAACCTACACTCTGTTCTTTTTGTGCTGTGGTGCCTTGAGAAATGCACGTGGAAGGTGATCCACAAATTAATAAATAACAGCCACAAGTATGAAAGAGAATGACCCTGAATAATAGACAAAACTTACCGGTAACTAAAATTAGGCAGCCATCAAATACCTACTATGCATGCTGGAGGAAAGAGGTAAGTGGCCAGAGGACGTTGAATTTGTCATTTCCCAGAATATAAGAAGCAAAATAAAACTGCTGCCCCTGAAGCTGTTCCTGTTATGATGTGTGGAAAGTGTGCTATCCTGCTTGCAGGCCTCCCATCTGTATTTGGCTGGCTACTGTGAGAGCCGAATGCTGGACCACATCCATCTGATCTAGGCAGGCTTATCTTATGTAGTCCCTTGGCCCAGGACTTCTATTCCAAGCACAGAAGCCATGCATGGTGGAGTCAGCCCCTGAATTACCTAACACAGTCAAAGCCGAATAGCAGAGAAGTGGCTTCCCCAGTGCCCTTGCTAAATCTGCCTCCACTGCCATTTGCCCTAGGCATCCCCTACTCTTCCTGGGCCTGAAGGGGTTACAATGGAATTTTGGTGCCTGGGAGTCTAACAATCTCCAGAATCGGACACAAGTTCACTGGGTGTGTCTTTGGCAGTGGCAAGTGGTGCCCTCAAGGCAGGGCCATTGGGCAGAAGACCAGGGCTCCGCTCAGGAGAATAGGTAGGAAGGCCACCCCCCAATGCAGCAGGGCTTGCTTACTGAATTCACTTTAAAATGTAAGTAATACACCTTACCATCCCCTCTCCTCCAGATCATTAAACCCAGACTGGGGGCTACAAGCCTGGAGTCTGAAATGATTTAACTGTACCACTGAGAATTCCCTTCCCTTTCAGAGTGAGTCCAATCCTAGCCTTGTTAAGGCTGTGTTCAATTAGGACATGGGTAGGCAAACTAAAGCCCAGGGGCCGGATCCGGCCCAATCGCTTTCTCAATCCGGCCCATGGACGATTTGGGAATCAGCGTGTTTTTACATGAGTAGAATGTGTCCTTTTATTTGAAATGCATCTCTGGGTTATTTATGGGGCATAGGGATTCGTTTATTTCCCCCCAAAAAAATATAGTCCGCCCCCCCCCACAAGGTCTGAGGGACAGTGGACCGGCCCCCTGCTGAAAACGTTTACTGACCCCTGAATTAGGATTACCCTCGTCCATTTCCCCATCTTTTTTTTTTTTTTAGTGAATAAATGCTCAATTACAGATAGCTGTTTTCAGGAAGAATGGGATAAAGGACCCTGTGATTTTAGTGTATGCCACCCCGAGGTTGATGGCGTCCCCCCCCTGCTTTTCTGAAGAGCGGCATAGAAATTCTCAGAATAACATACAGTTAAGAATGCCATGTAAAATACATGGAGAGTAATAATCAGCTGGCAAGGCAGCCATGAAAGCAAGGATTTAACAAAACTCTGGTGAAATTGCAACAGAATTGTGACAAGTGTGAAACATTATGACCAGCATCTATGATTTGCAGCGGTCTTCTTTCTACACAGTGGCCCCTATCCAGCTGGTGGTCACTGCATCTGGGCTTTACATTTAAAATGAATCAGTACATTAATTTTAGTTATACGTTCTACTCCACTGCCCCATTTTTTTCTGCACTTTGGAGTTTTCATTTTAATACCTCCAAGCAAACATTTTTATAAATCGCCATCACCACCCCACACTCTCAAAACTGGGCATTAAAAACAGTTCATAGGCAGACTGAAACCCCGGAACCAACAGCAGAACTCAACTCTTGTTCCCAGACAAATACACACTCACAATAAATTAACCTGTTCAAGCAGACTTTGCAAGCCTTGTGCCCTGCAGATGTTATGGACTACAACCAGCCCATCAGCCAGACCATCTAGCAGCAGTTGGTAGAAGTTACATTCAAAAACATCTGCAGGGCACAAGGCTGGCAAAGGCTGTGTTAGAATAATCAGCCACCTTCATCCAACTAGACTCAAGATACACCTCTTTGGCATGACCAGGAGGTTAGAGATGGGCCACTGGTCGTGGCCCTCCAGATGTTACTGGTCTCCATTTCCCATCAACCCTGACCATTGACCATACTGGATGGGGCTGGTGGGAGTTGGGAGTCCAATGGCATCTGGAGGGCTACAGGTTGCCAACTCTTGTAGCAATGTCTGGGATATGAAGAAGAGCACATTGCCCTCTAAAAGCGGGGGGGGGGGGATGTGACACATGGGAGATGTGCACAGTTACCTTCCCAAAGTTTAGAGGGAAAATAGCAAGTCTGCCTGTTGCCTTCTCTCTCTCTCTCTCTCTCTCTCTCTTGCACACACACACACAAATGTTCTCAGAACCACGCAGCAGTGGTATAGTGTTAAATTTTGATGTTCAGGCAATCTTCATACCCATGTACTATACACCCCAAGACTATACAACCAAAAATCTAATTTTGACCAATGCAATCATTATTACTCCAAAACCAAGCCAGTTTCCCCGCCCCCCTCAACCCCTGCCTTGCCCAGTGGAGTATTCTAGTGGCCTCAAAAACTTGCTCACTATTTCGTGAAAGTTCCATTAGTCCTAACTAAGGGATTCTGGAATGCCACTCCTGCCAGTTTACCCCTTGGACACACATGCAACTTACCTGCTCCTTTCCTTTGTTAATTCGGGGGGGGGGGCTTCTCTCTGGGTGGAAAAGAACGCTTCCTAATCTGGCATGCAGAGGATTAGCTCATAGCACCCCAAAGAGAGGACACCATCACCTTTGCCCTGACGCTAAGGGGCAATTGATTTGGTCCCTTCCCCGGAGTTACCCAGAAAGAAGAGGGGTGCTTTTGCGTCGAGGCCTCAGGCAGGATGAACCCCTACGGGCGACAAGGGGCCTTTGGAGCTAATCTCCAGAGCCATAGAAATGGGGGGATGTGGAATTCACGTCCGTGGGACACAAAAGAACCCCAAGAGGAGAGAGGGAGAGAGGGGGAGAGAGAGAGGGAGGGAGGGAGGGAGGGAGAGAGAGAGAGAGAGAGAGGGAGGGAGAGAGGTTTCCTTCCCCCGCGCCGGAGATCGCAGCACCGTACCTGGCGAGCCCATGGGAGAGGCTGAGCGCGAGGACCAGCCGGATGTGGGAGTTCAGCTGAGCTGCGAATCAGAAACTGCAAAGGGAAAGAAGGGGACGGGTTAGGTCGCGGCTGCGCCGAGAGGGAAATTGCGCGATATTTTTAGCTGCCGCGGACGAGCTTCTCTTCTTGCGCCCGAGCGCGGCGCTCCATCTAGAAGCAGTCTGGGCAAGCGCTTCCTCGATCCTGAGACAAGGCCTTCACCTTCAATATCCCAAAAAACCTTTTCGTCTTGCCTGTTTGCTGCCAAGAAGCAAATCCTCCTGAGTTCAATGTGTCTCACTACCTAGTGAGTTTTAAGATTGCCGTTTTGCCTCACATTACCCCGGCATTTCCATTTTCCTTTTGGGCGCAATCCTAGGTACGCTTACCTGGAAGTAAACCACGCAGAACTCAGCCATGCACAGGATTGCACTGGAAAGGATTAGGGCAGATCAGCATCTGCTTCTGCACTTGAAGTGCAATCCTGTCTTTGTCTACCAGTGAGTTTAAAGGGGTAACACCCTCAACTAAGAGGGTTACAGGATTGCAGCCTTACAGTGCTTATGAAGTTCAACGAGAGTTAGTTGCTTGTGTGTTTAGATTGCAGCTTTAGTGATTTGTAAAATTCGGCCTAATAAAGGATTGTTTCATTGAGCCTTTTGGGATGCAGAAGTTCTTCGCTCCCGAATTTGTCTTCAGAGCACGAGTCCAAATTTAGAATTTATGCAATAGTTTTATTCTTATTTCACTACAACATATATATTCTGACTTCTGTGTGATATTAAATGAGCTAGTGACACCATTTTAAACTGCAAATGCAAAAATAGCATTACAATAAGGAATTAAGGTGCCACTCTGTGTGTGTGTGTGTGTGTAGAACTTGCCCTTACCATCATGTACTGGCCACAGCTCTTCCTTACACACCCAAAGAACAAAGCTTAAGATGGGCTAGTGGTTAGATTAGACCTATCTGTAACCCAGAAGCTGGTTTTGAATGCTCATTCTAAGGTATCCTTGCCTGTTCTGCTACCAGAGACCATTAAAATAATCACTTAAGAGCCTTCTCCCAATTACATCAGTACTGCCCCATTCTACTGCATTATTATTGTCTCATCTGCACTATACATTTAAATCAGTATCGCTCCACTTTAAACAGTCATGGCTTCCAGGGCCGTCTTAAGCATATCTTGCGTCATGGTGCAAAGCTCCCTCCGGCGTCGGTGCCCCCCCACCCCCCACCCCGGTTTCCAATAGTTTTTTAGGAAGGACGGCGCTGCCGGTGGGGCTGGAGGAGGCGGGCAGTGGCTGGAGGGTGGCTCCTCCCGCGGGGAAGAGGCAGAGGCTGGAAATGGCGCCTCCTGGCTCAGCTGGCCGCTTCGTGCCACGGTGGCCACGGCAGACGGAGGCTCCGGGCACAGCGCTGCTTTGGTGTGGCATGGCGGAGGCAGGCGAGGGTGGCGAGCTGATGCTAGGAGATGCCGCGTCCAGCCTCTGCCTCTTCCCTGGCACCCTCCAGAACGTGGCGCCCTGGTGCCCCGCGCCACTAGCCTCTATGGGTAAGACGCCCCTAATGGCTTCCCCCCAAGTATCCTTGAGTTCGTTAAGGGTACTGAGACTTGTTAGGAGATCCCCATTCCCACCATAGAGCTGAAAACCGATCCCCAAGGATGATGGCAGGGTCATATCACTGTGCAGAGTTGCTGGGAGCTATGTAGAATACCCTGGTGTGGCGTGCTCTGGTCCATGGGGTCATGAAGAGTCGGACACAACTAAATGACTAAACGACAACAAGGACATGTAGAATACCCAGCGCGGACCTGGAAGAGGAAGAGGTCTACTGACACCCTGACTGGAGCTCTTCCTGGTGCAACTCTTGGATGACCTCAGACATGGCTGGAAAATGCTTTTGGTGGCGTCGTGTGGGGGGGTGCTGCAATTCATCAAAAGTTTCTTTGCCTGGGAGAGATCCTTACTTCACCATTTCCAAAGCCAATCGTGCAGGAACATTGGTTGGTTCGTGAGAAAAAGCCACCATTCCACCTATTTTGCGAAAGCTTGAACAAATCTGCAACAACTGTCTATGTAGCAAGCTCAACTCAACCTGGATTTCCTTCCAGTTCTGGGGGTAGACCAGGTACAAATCTCACTTGCAGGGATCTCTACCTAAGTAAGGGGGATATTTTCACGGATGTAATGTTGTAACTCGCTCTTGGATCCCTTTGTAGGCATGAAGAGCAGGCTATAAATATCTGAAGTAATTAGTAAGTTTTATTGGAGAGGGCTATAGCTCAGCGGTAGAGCACATGCCTTGCCTGAAAAAGGCTCCAGGTTCCACCCCTCATGCTTGGGTGACTCTCCTGAAATCCTGCCTGTCAGTGTCAACAATACTGAGCTAGACTGGTGGTTGCAGCCAATGGTCTGACTTGGTATAAGGCAGCTTCCTATGTTCCTAAATGCTGAGATCCCAGGCGCTGCAAAGCTTCCTTGTCCAGGAAGTCTTCATGGAGCTTTTGCCTGGACCAAATTGGGGAGGGGGAAACAAGAAGGAGTGAGGGCAAGAGATGGTGAGCCAACTCTCTTCCTGCTGCATAGGTCACTAGGGATCACCACACCACCCTTTCCAAATACACTAGAGCTGAGCAAACAAAACAAAAACCCACCGAGATCACACAAAAATCAAGTAGGCCTATGCAGTCACTTGTGGTTTGGATCTTGAAGGAGCAAACCCAGCTCATAATGAGTTCAACTCTACAACTAAACAGTTGAGAACTCTACGACGACGACAACAACCAACCAACCACACAGTTTTCCATCACCACAGGCCAGGCAACATAAAGGAAACACTACTAACTCAATCCTAACAGCTGCACTGAGTCATTATTGGATTTTTAGTAGGGGAAAAACACCACCACAGGATTTGGGAATACTGGATATGCCTTGAAAGATCACAGGGGAACAGTTGGGGTGGGGTGATCTTCCATGTCTATTTTCTGGTACCATCAGTATGGAGGCCAAGGCATTTACCCTTTGTGAACAGCAACATCACAGGTAGGCTTTAATCCAGCAAATATGGAACAGCCAGTGAGGGCAGTCCAGTAGCAAAGGACCCAATTTTAGAATCATAGAGTTGGAAAGGACCCAAGGGTCATCTGGTCCAACCCCCTGCAATGCAGGAATCTCAGATAAAGCATCCAGGACATATGGCCATCCAACCTCTTCTTAAAAGCCCTCAAAGAAGGAGAGTCCACAACCTGCCAAGGGAGACCATTCCACTTTCAAACAGCTCTTACCTTCAGAAAGTTCTTCCTGATATTTAGTCGGAATCTCCTATCTTGTAACTTGAAGCCATTGGTTCAAGACCTACCATCCAGAGCAGGAGAAAACAAGCTTGCTCCATTTTCTTTGTGATAGCCCTTGAGATATTTGAGGATGGCTATCATATCTCCTCTCAGTCTGCTTTTCCCCCAGGCTAAACATACCCAGCTCCTTCAACCTTTCCTCATAAGGCTTGGTCTCCAGATCCTTGATCATCTTGGTTTTCCTCCTCGACACATGTCAACATCCTTCTTAACTTTCCATAACTGGAAACAGTATTCCAGGTGTGGCCTGACCAAGGCAGAATAGAGTGGTACTATTACTTCCCTTGATCTGGACACTATGTTGATGCCGCCTAAAATAGCATTAGCTTTTCTTTGCTGCTGCATCACACTGTTGACTCATGTTAAGCTTGTGGTCCACCAAGACGCCTAGAACCTTTTCACATGTACTACTAGTAAGCCAGGTGTCCCCCATTCTATATTTGTGCATCTGGTTCTTCCTCCCTAAGTGCAGAACCTGACATTTGTCCCTACTGAAATTCATTTTGTTAGCTTGTGCCCAGTTCTCCAATCTGTTAAAGTCATTTTGAATTCTGATTCTGTCTTCTGTGTTAGCTACCCCTCCCAGTTTGGTGTCATGAGCAGATTTGATGAGCATCTCCTCAATTCCTTCATCCAAGACATGTATAAAGGCGTTGAACAACAACAGGCCCAGGACACAACCTTGCGGCACCCCACTTGTCACTTTTTCCCAGGGTGACAAGGAACCATTAATTAATACTCTTTGGGTTTGGTCAGTCCACCAGCTACAAATCCACTTAACAGTTACCTTGTTTAGTCCACATTTTACCGGATTCTTTACAAGAATATTATAAGGGGGGGGGGGTTCAATTTATATTTCTGCCACTTGAGAATGGGGAATTTTAGCATGCATGGCTTTCCTCACCTCTGTGTCATGATGAGAAATCATGCTTGTTAAAAAGGTTATTTTTTTGCATAGCCATTAAGTGTACAGCAGCCCTGCCCCCTATTGCATCTGGACACTTCTACCTACGTGACCTTGGACACAGCAGGGCCTTTACATTTCAACAGGCCTCACCTGTACAATAAGGATAAAAGGCCCCAGCCCACTGCCACTGCGATGGAGGAAAAAGGAAAACAAACATGGGGAAGAGAAGAGAAGAAAGCTACTGCAATTGGGTGGGGTTGGGGAGTGAGAGAGAAAATCACCTTTCAGGGTGGCTCCCTGCCCCTGGGTATGTGGGGGCGAGAGAGATTTTTATATCAATCCATTTCCCTCCTCCCCCCACCCCAATCTGGGTGCAGCTGCCAGTCTCACCAGGCTGCCTCCTCCATTCACCAGGGGTTGTTTATCAAAGAGGAGGCCCAGCAGCCTTCACTCCCTTGAAGAAACCGGGATAAAAACGGAACAAAGGGGAAGGGCGGGGGGAGTGGGGGTGAAAGACAATGCCTGGGAAAAGAAGGCTTGATTTCTCCATTCCTCTTCAACACGTCCCCGGCCCGGAGCGCGCATCCAGAGAGCTTCATCCCCATCCCCGCCCCAGCTCCAGAGAGCCCCCCACCCCACTGCACCCCGCCCTGTTTTCCAGAGCCCTTCCCCGCCTGAAACACGGCGCGCAACAGGGAATGACAAAAGGTGTCCATATCCGCACCTGCGCCTGATGAGAAAAAAGGTGGGCAGTTAAGTTGCATCCTCACTTGACCCAGTTCTGCCTCGGCCCAAGACCGCCTCGCCTGGGGGGGGGGGCGAATGAAAAGCTCTTTCCCTGCCCGCCTCCGCGATTCGGAGACGCCTGACAGGTAGACGAGCAGGCAGCGCGACGGGCGCGTCGTTACATAAAGCCCCGCAAACAAAAAGCCCCTCCGTGTCCCCCCCCCCCAAAGATGAGGGAACCCATTTGGTACCGTGCCCCCCCCCCGCCGCCGCCGCCTGTGTGTGTACACAACGCAACCGCCCGCGCGCACACCCCCCTCCCCTCCAAGCAGCCCTCCGAGGCAACACCCCGCGGCAAAGCCAGCTGGCAGCGCACAATGAAGATGCCGCCGCCGCAGCTGCTGCTGGCCTAGACGACCGCCCGAATGTGCAGACGAGGCCCGGCCAATGCACCGCATTCTCGTCCTTCTTTTAATTTAACCGAGAAAAAGCAGCAGCAGCAGCAGCAGCAACTGCAGCGCCAGCCCCGCACCCGCCGCGCTCCCCGCGCAAAAAGCGCCGCGCTCTCGCAAGCGGGCTCCGCGCGCGCCCGCCCCTCCTCTCCCCCGGAGGCGGCGGCGGCGGCGGCGGCACCCACCATAGCGGAGCGTCCGAGGCTGGCGAGGAAACTCCGTCCATCGGAAGCTTGGCCCGGGCTGCGCTGGCGAAGGCGGAGGAGCGAGCGAGCGAGCGAGCGGAGGACGAGGCTGCCTTTGGCGCGCCCGAGGTGGCGGCGCGGGGAAGCGCGCCCAGGTGCCGCGGGGTTGCTGCTGCCGCCGCCGCCGCCGCTCAGCGCCCCGCTCCCCGCCAAGCAGCCATCGCCGGGCGCGTCACGTGGCGCCCGCTTGGTGCCGGAATGGTGCTCATAGCCATAGCAACACCGCGACGTGGCTGCGGAGAGAGCGCCGGGCCCGGCTGGCTGCGCGCGCGGGAGAGGTGGGCGGCGGGAAGGAGGGGGAAGAAGCGGCAGCAGCAGCTCCGGCTTCCTCACGACATCCTCCTCTCGCGGCTCGGAAGGGGCGACGCAGCCCGATCCTATCGCTGCGCCCCCTTGCTCAGAAACACGCCCCCTCCCCCGTTACTGGGACCCGCGCCCAGGAAATTGGCAGCCCCTCTCCCGGCCCGCCTGGCTCTGCTTTTATCCAGAAGAGTGATGGGAGAGCTCTTACAATAACAATAGTTACAGGTGCAACCCCGCGCGCCCTCACTTGAGAATAAACCCCAGGGAACTCGGCAGAAATCAACCCCGTGTAGATGAATGGCACACTGCTCTGTATTGCAAGTGCCGTGGAGCTCAAGGCAATCTTGTGATGACGCCACTCTGTGGAAGCTTGCTCAGAAGTAAACCTTGAGCTGTCCTGTGCAGCTTCTGTCGTCTTCTCCATAATCTTCACAATCCCTTCCTAAGCGTCGGTTGGCGTTACCCTTCTATAGTAGTAGATCAGCAAGGCCGACATAGGCCTATCTAGCTGCTTGCCTAAGGCCAGCTGGCAAGTCTGCAACTGGGACAAGATTTGAATCCAGGAACTTCTTGGCTCACATCCTCCGCTACTACACCAGCTCTCAGGCTAGCTATACTAATTTTCTGAATGGCCATAAAGATTGGCAGCAATGAATAGTAAGGAGGCCATAGTAATGGGTATTTGGGCACTCTGTTTTAATTTATTTAGGCTCACTGCATTCCACCCAGGCACTCTTCATGTTCCATGGAGGTGGGCACTTGGAAAAGCAAGAGACAGCATTTACATCTAATAACAGGAGAGCACGCTCCAGAAGCACGGGCCAGGCTCTCAGTCTATTGCATTCAAAGATGTTAAAACAGTATATGGGTTTATTTGATCAACTACACAGGCTGAGGGTTGCTTCTAGTCTGCACTAAATTCTGCACTACCGTTGCAAAGGATGGTAGTCTTTCTGGATGCATGAACACAAGATTTATTATGTATGAAGCCTGAGAGTGAACGAGGCATCATGGCACTCAGAAAAGGCAGGGCAGCCAACAACCAACAGGTTCCAAAACTATTTTCAGTGAGAAAGTTCAAGCCAGGACAATTACGGTAAGCAGCACATAATAAAGGCAAGTGCATCCCAAGTAATATGGGCATCATCTTCCCCCTAATTAATCCTGGCTGTCAGCAGTAATAATGATTTTTGTGTCCAGAACCATCGCCATGGCCAGTACAGGCATGCAAAGCGACCAATATTAGGGCTTCTGTAAGATCCCCCTCCCAGCATTTTCTCTTTGCTACTGGGGTACAGTTTTTAGTCAAACGAGCAAGAGCAGCCTTGTCCTTCCACTGGGCTTCTCCCATACTGGCAGAATAGGAGCAGCTCAGGTACAGCTGGATTTTTGCATGCAGACAACTTCTGGTTCAATAATTTATTTCTATGTGATACAAGAGTGAACTGGAAATACACAACGTCTTATACAATAAGAAACATTGAAAAGGGGCTGATAGTACAACAGCCCCAGGGCACAAGCATGTTTCCATGGCACAAGCTTTATTGCATTGAAGGAATGGCATCAAGTCCCAGCAGAACCACAATATTAGGGGCAGAGGGGAGGGAACTGGTGGAAGAGCACAGCACTACCCCGAGTTCTAGGCCTAAAGCAGCCAGCTGGTTGGCTGTGCCACTGTCAGAGCCTGCCATAAGCCTCTCTCCTTACCAGAACAGCTGCCTTGGCGTGTTAAGTTGGTGCGCCAGTCCAGGAAGAGCAACTGGCCCGTGATCAACCTTGACAGCTGTGCTCTGCTGAACTAATGAATACACTATTACAGAGGGATGTTCTCTTTAAGACACCTCACAGCTCCTTGGCATATAAACTGCTTCCTCAGAGAGCCCCACCACACAGCTACTGACAGACAGGTTGACATCCCTCAGCATATAAGTTTGCTAGTTCAGAAGGAAACATTTAGGGCCCCTTTCACAAGATTGCGCGCGCACACACACATAATGTTTCTGAAAACGCCCCCTTCCTGGGCATGGCATTTCCACATCATCCTGTCCCCAAAAGCTATGCTAAAACAGGGAGCAGATAAGGCTTTCGCCTTGACATTTTCTGGAGGCTTCAACTGGACAAGCTATCTTTGGGTGGAGCTGGGAAGCCAGGACTTACTACAGTCACAGCCTTACTAGTGAGCAGAGCTACTCAACACAGTCTGGTACATACTGAAGCAAGGGGAACAGCTGGATGCAGTATACTACACAGGGCCAGAATAATTCTGTCTCTTTTCCCCTACACACACCCATCTCCCTCTGCCAAAGCAGGCACAGCAAGCCACCTAGAGGACATTCTCAAATCCCCACTGGCAGCCCCAAAGTAGCTCCCAAACCCTGAATCAGTTCTAATCCTCCTTTGGAGTGATGGCTGAGGGAGAATCATAGGACTTCTGAAAGCAGCCCTTCGTGGAAGAGGCTCTTGCCGTAAGGAGCAGAACTTTGGCAACAAGGTTTAGTGGAGGCTGCCCTGCTGGGAGTGAGAACTGGAGTGCTAGGCTCACAGGATGCTCATCAGAACCTCTGCTATTTACTAGAGTGCTAGAAGGAGCCAACGCCACTCAGGAGGTAAAGAATAAGGAGGAGGACTTTGAAACACCGAGGCACTACCACTGGGTATCATGGGGTAAGTTAATATATACTATCAGTCACCCTCAGAGGGAATTGATTGCATAAATGGGGAAGAATCCACTTGACCCCCTTCTTTCAAGGCACAAGACTAAATTCTTATTGCATATTATTCTGTCTCTGAATGAAATACCATTAAACCTTATGTGCGAGCTTAGATCCTGCCCTGACCAGAGTCACCAATGTAGCATGTTCCCTGTACAGTTTAGAGGATAGAGAATATCAATGCTGGGATGAATCTGAAGCCAGCCATCTTTCTCCTGCTTAGGCTGCCTTCAAAAGCAGCGACCTCTTTAGTGCTCTGGACGGTTGTTCATCCCGACGGAAGGTCAAAGATAAGGCACTTGATTCAGCAGCCATCCCCCAGACCAGCCACAATGGGGCTCAAGTCAACCCAACTCTCCTGCTGACCCAAACAGCAGGGGGGGAAACCATCCCTCTTACTGAGAATTGGGGTGGGGGAGAGAGGGAGAACTACAGGTGGGGGGAGGAGGGCAGGAAAGCCTTTGATCTGAAGCTTCAGCCAACAAGACAGACTGCACAACTGCTAAGCAAATACATTTGTGACGAAGTCCAGAAAGCGCTTGGCATATTGTTCTGGATGCACCGTGGAGATCTCTGCACCAGCCTGAAATGGAAGACAAAGTGTCAACAACCACCATAAAACGCCCCTATCTTTCCACACAAACTAGGAAAAATAACAGTTTGAGGACCAAATATATTGGAAGGGCTAGGAAGAGAGAACATCTGAACAGAAGTCTGAAAATGGCCTTGATCAACCATTTCTCTCACACACATGTGCTTTCCAGTGTCTGCTTTGGCATTATATAACCCCCAACCCTGGCCTAGTTTAGTACTGATGCCACTTTATTTCAAGGAAGTGCCTCTGGCACAAAAAGGATTAAGCCAATTATGCAATAAAAATGACTTCGGAATAAATCATTCACACGGTGTGACATTTTTATCACCCCACCCCCTGAAGATGATGCTGTCTCACTAGTCCACCTTTTTTGGTCTCTAGGTTGTGGCTACAGTCACCACTATGGATGCTATGAAATTGACCAGAAGTCTGGAAATCCCCACTTGGGGGTTGTAGTTGACTCTTTGATTTAGTAAGGCTAGCTGTGGGCCACCAGAGTCCACACCTAGGGGGCCCATTGTGAAGAACTGTGCGGGCCAGACTCACCCCATGCTTGACGGTCTTAGCTGCATGGGCAGCCTTCTTCTTGGCATCATACTGTGTGAGGATGTCAATCAGGCCCATGAAATAAACCTCCTTCTGGGGGCTATCTGGAAAAGTAAAGAGAGTCAATGAAGCTCATGGGCACCGCTACCCTCTGCATTCCACCACACACACACACCCCTCATGCCATGAGGCTTTTTCCACATTGGATTCCAACAGGGCAAAATGTGAGTTACTGAATCTTAGGACTGGGTGGGGGCAGGAGGGAACCTGTCAGCATACCCCCCACCCAATGCATAAAACTACACCGTCAAGGGTACATGGGACGTAAGTAGGAATTAATAGGATGCACCAAACCAAAGTAGCATAAGAACTGAAAAATGCCCAATAACTCAAGAAAGTGAAACAAGCTCAAGCTGGGAGGAAAGACAAAAAAGCCACATAAGGAACATTAGATTATATCAGTTAAATTTGGGAAGAATCCCTTCCTGCCCCAAGTATAGCAAACAATTCAAGAATGATTAATTCATCTTCTACATGTTTCTTCCTAAAGAAGCCTGCATTTTACAGATGAAGCCACCAGTGGCAGCATCCAGAAAATACCGTATTTTTCGCACCTTAGGACGCACCTTTTCCCTCCTAAAAAGCAAGGGAAAATGTGTGTGCGTCCTATGGAGCGAATGCAGGGGGGAGGCAGGCGGGAAAAGCCCCCAAGAGCCGCACATAAGCTCCGTGCGCTCTTGCGGGCTTTTCCACAGGAGGGAGAAGGGACTGACTGGCCGCATCAGTCCCTTCTCCCACCTCCCAGAAAAGCCAGGAGAAGCCGCGATCTCTTTAAAGGGGTTGCGCGGCTTCTGCGGGCTTTTGCGAGAGGTGAGGGAATTCCCCCACCTCCCAGGAAAGCCAGGAGAAGCCGTGATCTCTTTAAAGGGGTTGCGCGGCTTCTGCGGGCTTTTGGGAGAGGCGAGGAAATCCCCCCACCTCCCAGGAAAGCCAGGAAAGCCCTGCGCAGCGTCTCCCGGCAAGGAGAGGCTGCACGGGGCTAAAGGGGAAGCCAAAACGGCGAGCGGGATCCATCCCGCTCGCTGCCTTGGCTTCCTCCATAACTGCGCGCAACCCCTCCGGCAAGGAGAGGCTGCACGGGGCTAAAGAGGAAGCCAAAACAGCGAGCGGGATCCATCCTGCTTGCTGCCTTGGCTTGTGCCATAGCCCCGCTCAACCCCTCCGGCAGGGAGAGGTTGTGCGCAGCCTGTACGCTGCTCTTTGGGGCTGGGGGGGGGGATATTTTTTTTCTTGATTTCCCCCCCTAAAAACTGGGTGCGCCCTATGGTCCGGTGCGCCCTATGGTGCGAAAAATACGGTACTACAGTGGCAGGAAGTGAACTTCAGAATCCATATTATCAAATCTAACTCCTCTCCAGGAAGCAGATATCCACCTGACTCGCCTACAGCAAGGGCTGTGTGAGCCACCCTCTCTCCCACAAGCCACATTTTCTGCAATCAAAACTAAGCAAGTTGAGCAGATGTACACATCTTCTTATTTGTGTGTAGTTTAGCTGGCATTTAGATTCCACATTTAAGAAAGACCCAAAGGAGGAAGGAGTGATGACTTCAAAGAAGAGAAATCTGGCTCAGAGGGCCAGACAGGACTTCCAAGACCTAGTTTTTAACGGAAGAGTCTCCCATGAAGCTCTTGTGTCTTGTGTCCTATGAAGCTCTTCAGGATCACAACAGGATCCACATAAGGCAAAAAATGGAAGCTTGTTCATGGGTATCTTGCGTAAATCTGATTGACATCTCAGATCGTAGCAGGCACTAGCTGACACAGCTTTTGTGTGCACCCTCAAGGTCTACAACCTTTTCTTAAAAATTAAAAGGCGTTGAAATTTGGTGCCAAAGGGTAGATAACGTACTTGCACTACAATCTTGCTGATGCATGCATACATACAACAATCTAGTCAAGTTCTGTCTCTGATTTCTGGAGTTTTCTTCCCCAGTTAACTCCACAGCATTCATGGTAGAACTCTCTTTTAGCCATGTTTGCATGTCATGGTAAAGCATGGTTAACCATGAGCGTGTAAATGGCTCCTACTTCACTTCTCTACAAGCGGGAGCAACAAACCAGGATCCCTGGGTTAGGTCTAGTGTTTTATCTGAATTGGGGATTATGGTTTGTTTCACAGAAGCAAATAGCAAATAGAAGTCAAAAACAAATCTTAGCTTCATGTCATGGTTTGTTTGGAGGTGGGGGGAACCAGCCACGACTCCTAGTTGAGACACAAAACCTAAAACAAGGATTGTGGTTTGTGGCTTCCACAAGGGGAGGGTCAAAGGGAGAGCTGCTATAGATTGCCGCAATGTGTAAATAATTGGCTGGAATATTGGCATTCAGTGAAATATACAATCAAAGGCACAAAGTAGGCAGACTGACTCCTGTGTCACAGAGGATAATTAAGGTGTCTTGACTAAAGACAAAGTTGACTTGTGGAAAGTTCCCTCTTATCCTTACTTACTTTCAGCACTTTTTATGGCATAGACATCAATGTAAGGGTCAAAGTCGCCAGGTCCCAAAGGCTTGTGGGAGTTGAGATAGCTGCCAATACCCTCAGGAGAAGTTCCATAGGAACCTACTGATGCCACACCCCCAGGTTCACCCTCTCCATCCTCCTCTTCCTCTTTCACATCCTCGTCTTCTTCCTGTTCAGCTCGTTGCACGTCATGGATCCCCAACAGTAGGCTGTAGTCCATAATCTTTAGTTGCACTAGGAACTGAACATATGGGCACAATTGTCAGTAAACTAAGAAGTTAACAATGGGCTTGCTTTCTAGTTATTACAAGTGGAACGCCTCTAAAAAACTGGCTGTTATCCAGTGCTGTCTCTGCATGAGCAAAACGGACAACCCCATGTGCAATGCAGAATAATAATAATAATACCCCAGCCACTCTGGGCAGTTTCCAACAGAATACAGGCAACGACCAAGATACCCGTGTCCAATAAACATGTGCACATGTACACTGTGGCAATCTGGAAGTGGCTGGAAAAGGGAGCATAACGGGCTTATGCATGCTCCGCCGTTGTGCACGATGATCCGGAATGAAACCCTTGTGCAAATCGGGGGTTGCCTGTTTTATAAACATACCAAGGGTTAACTACGGATTAAATTACCTTTTGTTTAGGAATTCAGCTACTGATCGTAAGTGCAAAACCCAGAGGGCAGAATTTACTTTGGATTCATCAGGAAAAATAAAGACCATTTCCTCTTCTTTAAAAAGGGAGTGCAGTTTTAATCCAAAGGTGGCATGTGGTGTTTCTTTGGGGGGGGGGGGAAGAAAAGAGAACCACCCTCTCCTGGCAGCCTGTCCCCATGATTAATTGCCTTGGCTGTTCAAAGCTGTGTACCTCCTTTGTAACTGGAATGCCTCCAGGTTTTGACTCTCAGACTCCTGTCCTTGTTCTGCCTCCGCTCAGTTGACTGAAGCACCATTAGTAATCAGTATTTTCTTCATAATGCTGAGAAAGCTGGCAAACCCACCAAAACTTCTCCAGCATCACAGACTGAACACTTACACAATGGGAGCCAAAAATGTCATGCGCAAGTGACACGACTGGCATCAAGAGGCAGGGAAGGGGCCACAAACCATCCCACACCCCAGTATGGGGCCTTAGAGACCTAGAGAGCTTTACTTTAGGGTCTCAGTCCACGCTTGTGTGAATATGTGCCTCAGTTCTTCAGACGCTTAAGGCATTCTCACTGAGAGAGAAGTTAAAGCACTGAAGGAGTAGGGATTATTTGGTAAGCGTTTACTTGTATTAATGGATGAAGTACTATTATTAATTATATATATTTATTTATTACATTTATATAACACCTTTTATCTTCCAAGAATCTCAGTGTGGTGCGCATGGTTCCCCTCCTACCCATTTCATCCGCACAACAACCCTGTGAGGTAGGTTAGGCTAAGAGATGGTGACTGGGCCAAGGTGAGCTTCATGGCTGAGGGGGGATTTGAACCCTCGTCGCCCAGGTTATAGGCCAACACTGTAACCATTATGCCACCCTGGCATAACAGTACCACTACTAGTGCTAATAATTTGCATTTCTACAGCGCTTGAGAATGTTCAAAGCACTTCATGTAATTATCTCCGTAATCCTTACGGCACGACACACAGATCAGGTCAGCAGCACCTGCAGATCCCAGGTGCTGGGTCAAGGCTGTAAGAATTCATATCTGAGATTTTGTTCCAAGGACTTCTTGGCTCAAATCTCACGTGCTTAACCAGGATGCTACAACAGCTCTTTCGGTGGAGGGACTGTACGGCTCGTTCAAGTTTTCTCTCAACCATGAAACCATCTCAGCCTTACCAACCTCACAAGATTGTTGTCAAGATAAAACAGAGGAGGGAAGAATTACCTCTGCTACAGGAAGGAAAAAATGCAAATGCAATAAAATTTAATACTCCGTAAATCCTTGTGCATGCGAATATTAACAACATATGGCTCAGTTTCCCCTTGTGCATCCATCTTTGAAGTAACCATCATCATAAATAAAGTTATGCACATTTCAAGTATTCAAAGTTGTAGTTAGTATCAGACTAGGCCCAGGGAGACCTTGGTTCAAAACCCCCACTCAACCACAAAGCTCAATGGGTGACATTGGGCCAGTTATACCTGAAGGAGCGTCTCCACCCCCGTCGTTCTGCCCGGACGCTGAGGTCCAGCTCCGAGGGCCTTCTGGTGGTTCCATCATTGTGAGAAGCAAAGCTACAGGGAACCAGGCAGAAGGCCTTCTCGGTAGTGGCACCCGCCCTGTGGAACGCCCTCCCACCAGATGTCAAAGAGAACAACAACTACCTGACATTCAGAAGACATCTGAAGGCAGCCCTGTTCAGGGAAGTTTAATGTGTGATATTTTAATGTATTTTTAATCTTTGTTGGAAGCCGCCCAGAGTGGCTGGGGAAACCCAGACAGATGGACGGGGTACAAATAAAAAAAATATTATTATTACTTCTCTCTCCCAATCTAACCAACCTCATTTCATTCTGAAATGAAATGAAATAAAATATTTCTATTGCACATGGGAAGCCAAGGTTGACACACCACCGGGTGTTTGCGGCTGAGGTACGTTTGAATGCGAGGCATATGCTGCCGCTACCAGGTGTCCCTCTCAGGAAAGCAGAGGGGAATTTTGGGGTAAGCCACTTTGTGGACCCTTTCTGGAAGCGTTATGTATATGAGAAGACACCAGAGTACAGAAGCAGGGCATTCAAACAGAAGAATCCAAGGCCTTCTTCCCCTCTCTTTGCTCATGTGGCCTGTGCAGATGCTTTCACAGAGACCAACTAGCAGAAAGGCATCCATGCTGAGGAAAATTTCAGGCAGATTATTCCTAGGGGCCGTCACTAGGCGACTCCAATTTCTGTCCTCAAAAATGCTTCAAGTTCTGTAAATCACGAAACCTAATTTTCTATCGTTTCCCTGATTTGGGTCACAAGCGATGTTCAGCTCTAAGCAGGGGTGGGGTGGGGAGGAATGTCAGGGTGGGACTCAGCTGATGGAAGGAGGTAAGGCTGTGCGGAATACTGGGTTAGAAATTAGACTCCGAGCGGCTGCAGCCTTCCCACCCCCCCACCTCACATGCTATTAGCAGTCATTAAGGCTAATAGGGTGAATCTTGCACTGCAGAAGCATTTTCATTTCTGCAGACTCAGTCCCCAAGGAAATATAATAGCTGATGAGATAGTGGCTGGGAGCATTTTTCTAGTCTTGGAACCTAACCTCATCTCATTGCAGCAAGTTTGGGTTGGGGCGGCTGGGGAAGATCTGCCATCCCCAAAAACAGTTCTATCTGCACTGTACAGCTTGAAGTGGTCCCCAAAGTGGTATGGCTTAAAGCGGTATGTCTTCCGCCAAAGAATCCTGGGAACTGTAATTTGTCCATAGTGCTGAGAGCTGTTAAAGGTAAAGGGACCCCTGGCCATTAGGTCCAGTCGTGACCCACTCTGGGGTTGCGGCGCTCATCTCGCTTTACTGGCCGAGGGAGCCGGCATACAGCTTCCGGGTCATGTGGCCAGCATGACTAAGCCGCTTCTGGCGAACCAGAGCAGCACACAGAAACACCGTTTACCTTCCCGCCGGAGCGGTACCTATTTATCTACTTGTACTTTGACCTGCTTTCGAACTGCTAGGTTGGCAGGAGCAGGGACTGAGCAACGGGAGCTCACCCCGTCATGGGGATTCGAACCGACCTTCTGATCGGCAGCCCTAGGCTCTGTGGTTTAACCCACAGCGCCACCCGCGTCCCACTGAGAGCTGTTAGGACACCACTATTACCCTCACAGAGCTACAATTCCTATCGTGCTTCGACATTCAATCATCTTTCTCAGGGAACTGCAGCCATACACCAAGTAACATATTTGATTGGCGACACTTGCAAATCTCTGGGAAAGCCCAACATGCAGCACTTGGGAAGCCCAATGATCTATGCCAGCCCTGGCAATCCGCTGTTTGTTGGGCCTTGCAAAGCACAGCACCTTGGCCTGCGCAACTTGATTTCCAAACCGCACGAGCATGAACAGGACAGGCAACTGTCAAGTCAAACTTGCCCACAAGCTTGCGTGGGAGATCAGAATCCATCCCGCTCGCCGGATCCAATTCTCCATCCCTGAACAAATAGTTACACATAGCTCTTAGGAACGGATGCAACCCTGCGCTAGCCCCCCTGTTTCTTGACACTAGCTTGAAAGCCTATTAAAACTCAACACATTTGGGGCTAGAATAAGCTCTTTATCAGGGAACATTGCTCAAAAACGGAGCCTGTTTCAAAGCATGGCTGTGTAGTTCCCGCAAAAGTCGCTGTTCTGTCAATAAATCCCTTTCTGTGCCCGCAGATCATTTCCTACTGATATGCATTGACCAGCTGCTGCTGTCTTGCTGTGACTGTATCAGGGCTAGGCCCCCTAAGCCACAGTACCTCCACATCTCTCTTTAATTTCTCCATGAAATCTCTCTTGGCTTCTTCGTCAACGTACACTTTCTGGTTCATGTTTCGAAAGTCAATGTCCTTGAGGGTTGGTAGCTCCTTGCCCTAGAAAGGAACAGAAACATATTTCGAATGAAGAGGAGGCATGGGCGCTGAGTCAACAGCTGGCTGAATCTAGACTTGGAGGGCAGAACCAGAGCCAAAATAAGGAAGAAGCGCACTGAAAGAATTTTTAAATTTTGCTTTAAACCTTCTTGCAAGCCCTCGCAGAACATCTAACTATTTTAAATAAATAATAAAATGTAACTAACTCCCAGTTTTCAGCAAGATCACTTTCAAGAACAACATGGACTTTTATTATGCAATAAATCTCCTGGCCAGGAGATCACTGCAGAATTACCCCCTGCCTCAAAAGGATTTTCAGGAAGCTGAATTCTGTGCCCATTTCTACATTCTTCTGCTGGGCTTCCAACGGAATCACAGCCCACAGAAGTCCTGACTATAATGTTAAAAGCTACTTAGTTCCATAAGATGCTGCCAACCACTGGTCCACCTAAGCCGGGAATTGCCTGTGACAACTGCTTTTTAAGGTTCTTTTCCATCCCCTGCTACTGGAACCTTTTTTAAACCAGCGATACCAGGAATTCAACTTGGGATGTTCTGCATTCACATCACATGCTCCACCACTGAGTTATATCCCCTCCCCTCTTGATCTCCATTTTCGACACCCTGGAATTTGATGTCAATGCAAACATTAATCCTGCAAACTTATTCCAAGGAAACAACTCGCCTGTAATACCCCTTTGCTCATATTTTAAGCCTCCATAGTCTCCACTTCTTCTAGTTTAGTCAAGATCTGTTTATTCTGCCTAGCACATGCAGATACCAGGAGTGCAATGTAAATGCATATATGCCCTTGCCTTGTTTTTTAAAGAGATAAATATGCGCTCAGGTCATGCCTCTATCTTCCTTTGCAAAGAGGTCCATCATCAGCTTGAGGTTTAAGCCAGCAAGCCAAAAATCACTTCACAACACATCAAAACAGAGGGAGAGCCACCACCTTTCACCAGAAAGCCATAATCTCACATTACCTTCTCTTTATCACTAGCTTCGCGGGATACCAGGGAGCCCTGAGAAAAAAGCAGAAACACAAACATTAAGAAGCATGGTTTACAAACACAAATGGACATGGCTTTCAGGGCAAGTCTGAAATCAATGGGTGTTGTGCTAAGGAGATTGTTCCATCAGGGCCCGACAAAACAATCTCCCCTCTCTTTCCTCCATGTGCTGTTCTGGGGGTTCCCCCCAACCCCCCAAGGCAGATGAGGGAGGCGCAAGGGGCACATAGGAAGAGGAGTGTGGGGAAAGCCCCACTCTGCTAGCACTGGCTTCTGCTACCAGGACCCGTTGGTTGAATCCAGCCCACAGTGTTTGCATAAACATCAGTTAAACAAGCTGGAAACCAAAAGATCATTATTGGAGGGGGAGGGGGAATGAGGTATATGTCTCTAAGCTAAAAAGTACCTCTCCAAAAGAGTATCATTTTACTAAATATAATTCTCTGATTTTCTACACCACAGTGTTCTATTCTTCATAGTATGTGTATTTTAAACAACTGATTTTGATATTTTATTTTCATAGTGTTGTGATACACCCTGGGTCCTAATGGCAAAGGGTGGGTAAGAAATCCAAGTAATAGTAACAGTAAAAGCAGTGTTTTTATACATTATGATGTTGTCCTGCCTTGACCAGATGTAAGATAAAAACAATATTGTTCAAACTGTTTCTGTTACTGAGTTTCACAGAGATACCTGCCATAATTCTGTCCCCAGGGGCTATTACAATGGGCAAGATAAGACCTACGGACGCTGTCCTCCACCATCTGCCGACCACAAAGGCACCAGTTCAGATGCAAGAAATCTCTGCGTCTCCATCCAGATAGGCAGAGGGCACAGTCTGGAATCAAAAGGCTGCAACATAAACAGCGGCGATGGCACTCTGCATAACACCCTTCACCGTGCAAATTACAGACTATTCATTTTAACCATATAAGGCAAGCAATTATATTCTCTCCCACTTCATAGGAGGAGGGCAGGAGGCTGAGGAAGCATGACTTGCCAAGGCTACCCAGAGAGTTTTTGATGGAGCCAAAATATGAACCTAGGTAGGTCTCACCTGGTGCAAAAGCTCTGCTTGGGCAGTAAAGCAGCTGAGTTGTTGTTGCTGCTGCTGTTTGTTTGTTTGTTTGTTTTTAAATAAGACTTCAGATGTTAGGATGGAAACCTTTCTTGGCATTTTTCAAAACGCAAAAATTATAGAAGGCTGTTGTTTCAGGCTTAAGGATGCAATGGTACTTGCAGCCTGATGCAAGTACAGAATGGAGGTATCAGCAGGTCTGGGGAAACCCCAAAGGCTTGCACAAGAACTATTTTTAAAAAACAACATGGGGGGAGCAAAACAACACAATGAGGTCCAAGCATGCTCAGTGGCCACAGAATGCTGACTGGCTGCTTGCGGGCAGGGACTGGGAGGGGGAAACAACACGAGAAGGAGAATAGAATAGACTTGTCCTGCAGGCACCGAACAGAAACACTCCACACTGCAGCATTCCACTGCAGGCCACAGCATCTGTCCTCTCAACCAGGGCTACATTGCTGCTATGTTCTGTGCAGCACCTAGCACATTGCTGGCCCTCAAGGTGGAGCTGACAAACAGCAGAGCCTGGGCATCAGAAGGGGAAGCAACTCAGTGGGTTAAATCCAGTCTTTTGCCCTGAAAGGAGATATCCTATTTTGAAAACCTCACAGGCAATGCCTATTTTGTAATCCTAGACCTACTGCACTGGCTGCCGATTCGCTTCCTGGCCCAATTCAAAGTGCTGGTTTTGACCTAGAAAGCCTTAAATGGCTCAGGACCACAATACCTCAAGGACCGCCTCACCCCATATGAACCGACCTCTGAGGCCCTTCTTTGTGTGCCTCCTCCACATGAGGCCCAGAGGTAGCAACACGAGAACAGGCATTTTCTGCAGTGGCTCCCCACTTGTGGACTGAGCTCCCTAGGAAGATTCGCCTGGCACCTTCATTATATATCTTTAGGCACCAGGCAAAAATATTCCTCTTCTTCCAGGTCTTTGACTAATTAAACAATATATGGCCTTTTAAACTGTGTGGGTGGGTGGGTGTATTGTTTGTTTTTGTTACCATGTTATGTATTTTCATGTTTTTATATTGTATACTGCCCTGCGGTCCTCAGACGAAGAGCTGTATAGAAATTTAATAAGTAAATAATCAACCATCCAGGTTGATTAACAACATATCCAAGTTACTCCAACTGCATTCCTTTATAATAAGTACATCAGCTGTGGCCCTCCAGCAAAAACTGCGTTTATACTGTGGCCCTCATTGCAGTTCAACCCTCTAGCCGCATCATCTAAAATGTTCGTAACTGCAAACAAGGGCCTAGTTAACTCCACTATAAAAGATCTATGTAACCTTGCTCTGGGTCAGTTTAATGATGTGCAGCCAGGCTGAAGGAAGATAGGGGCAGACATGATTCATCTCATTCTCCTAGCTTGGTTTTCCAACACACACACACACACACACACACACAGAGAGAGAGAGAGAGAGAGAGAGAGAGAGAGAGACCCTGAGTTTGATACTGTCCATGTACTGAACAAATTCCCTGAGGGGGCCATTTCACTGCAATATCAGAACATTTAATCAGCACAGCAAGCCACATGTTGCTTAATAGGCATTGGGAGAGGGAGCAGAGAGTGAAGCACAGACCTATCAGAGAAGGTCTGTACCACAACCTATTTTAACTGTCCGCCTAATGCTGGGCAATGCTTCTGCCGGGCAAGGACACAAGGAGGGCTGTGGAATGAGATGTGCTCAGCAGGCTGGCAGGAGCCTTCAGATTGTCATGGAAGGAGGAATGGATCCTCTCTTACGTGCTGCCTTCAAATCAGAAGCGGATGCCCTTCTTGGGAGATGCAACTCAGCCAAATATGTTTTAATTGGCTTGATCAAGATGGTTGGTGGAAGCCCAAAAGGGAACTTTCTGTCCTATGCATACTAAGATATTTATCTAGACCTTAAAAGTGATTACACCATCAAACTAAGAGTGAAAAGAAGATTCATGCCTTGAATGATTGGAGCCACTCAATTTATCTAGTGCTGAAGGGTGCTTTGCTAGAGTCAGCATAACGCCTCAGACAGTCCCTTTTGTATTCCAAGCAGCTTATGGTCTATATTTAGGCACCCTGGTTGGGTGGGGAGGGAGGGAAAAGGAGATACGAGGAACAAATAGAAGCAAAAGCCTTTGCACACACATAGGCTTCATTTCAGGTGGGAATGAGGACTAAGGATGTCCCAAAGAGGAGAGTTTGGAACTGGGGTTTACCAGCCTTACGAGGCATAGGCTCTTGTAGGCACCACTGGATGTGCATAGTGAGTCTTCTAGCAGTGGTGCCTCAGGCAGCTCAAGATAGGAGAGCTGAAGGAACAAGCTATTTATTCAGTCATTCAACATTTTTAAATACTGCTTTTTTCTCTACCTGTTTCATTGGCAAGCCGCTAGCCTGCAGAAGTCACATTGTTGCCCTTAGAGTACAGTTCAGCAGAACCTTAGCCTCCCTCTGCGCCAGGCTTAATGGCTACTGACGCCATGGCCCTGCCAAGTGAAGATGCTTCACTGACCAGAGCCAGAGCTAGTCACCCGGACAAAGCTGTGCCTCTGTTTAAGTCTAGGTTTGAAGGTTGCTGAAGCAATATTTGAAGGAAATTTAACAAACTGAAGGACATTGTCATCTTTCTATGCTCCTCCCGGAGGAAACACGCAGATGGGGACAGATATACCCCTGCTTTAAGCCATTTACATACTGTCTTCTCTTCTATATTATTTACTACAAAGCTTGATGACTAAGCTCCTTAGCAACGAAACGTAGGATTTCCAGAACAACGTCTGAGCGCTGAACCACTGGTATATTACAAGTGGACTCTTTATTACTGCATTTGCTATTGTTTAAGATAAAACCTATTTGGGAAAGAAACTGCTTTTGCCATTTTTACGGACTTTTATTGTTTGTTTACAGTTGGCAGTAGTCATTGTATCACCACCCTGTTCGTTGTTTTATTGAAGCAATATTTGAGTCTGCTCATATGCCTCTCAGGTTGAGCTTCAGGCACAACTATGCAGGGTGCTACCCAGTTTATTTGACTTTGCCTTCCAGGAACTTGACTTTTGCTTTGCTTGAATTTTGCCTTACCAGAATCTGAACTTGTGCCTTATTTTGTCTTGCTCCCTTTGGAGCAGTGGTGGGAAACCTTTTTGGCTCCATGGGCCAGACCTTTATCAGGATCTGCTTCACGGGTCAAATCTTGACAGGTAAGTGGGGCTGCCCACCTGTCAAAATCCCTTTTGCTGCTCTTAAAAGGGAAGTGGGAGGAGACTTAAGAGAAGGGGACTCTTTTGCCAAGTCTCCTCCTCCTCCTTCCCTTTTAAATCCCCAGATCTTGCTCCACTCAAATCTTGCTGCCTAGCCTGCTGAGAACAGGATTGTGCAGCCAGTACAGATTGAAACCTTGTTCTCCCACCCATCAGTTGATGGGTGCATGTGGTTTGGGGAGGGGGAATGGCTTGGCAGGCAATGGCTGGCTCAGGGTCAGAGGTTCCCCACTCTTGCCTTGGAGGAAGCCAAACCTGTGCCTACAGTACACATGAACCCATCAGGCTGCAATTACATCCAGCCAAAAACTCTGCCTGGAACTAACAGCATCTCAACTTAATAAGCAGAGAAATGATCACCTGAATTGAGCCAATTTCTCATGTCTTACAAGCAGATGTCTGTCTCATTCCTGCTACCAGAGTTAATTAAAAGAGATGGAGGGCTGAAGCAGGGAGCTTGTGGGTGCAAATCGCACACCTTGCCACTGAACAATGGCCTCTGTGGGTACCACATCACACAGCAGGTGGGAATGGTGCAAATCAGTCACAGGACCCACCCTATTTCAGTGACTCTGTTTCATTTTTGAACTGTTTCCAACAGTTAAAGTTCAGATGACTGAATTTTAGATTGTTTTAACACGCTCTGGGACCTGATGCTGAAAAGTGCATGCGAAATCTTTTTATAAACAGTTCCACGCATGCTCATATGTTTTCACAACTATGTAGTGACTATCATGTCTATTTTACAGATGGAGAAGAGAGGCGCAGAATTCTTTGCAAACAAGGCTTTTCAGGAGAAAACCTGGATGCTGCAACTCAGCACTGTGTTTTCCAGCTTCCTGCCTGATTTCATATTTCCTTTATATCCCCTGCCCTGGCTCTGTACTCTCATGGCAAAGCGAGGATGACCTGAAATTCAGTAATGTCATGGAAGGCATACAGTGCCAGAAAGCTAGATAATAACTTTATGGCCTTTTAAAAAGAAGAACAGAAGACACACAGGCAATTACTGACTCCACCTAGATACAACTATATCCAGTGCCACCTGGCGACTAAAGCGTATAATGACACCATCTACTCAAGCACCTTCTGAAAACCAGGCGTGCCAAGGGGGGAGACTGCAAACTTTTGAATAAATATGGGCCAATAATAAGAAACTGGTGACATAATTCCATGACAACCTTTTTCTCTGGTGCAAAAACGCAGCACTGCTCTGTCTGACATATTAGCATTTTAGACACAGCATTATGCAACTACCACACATTACATATTGCAACTTCCACAGCTAATCGGTAAAGCTCTGGAGATTTCCAGAGCAAACATCATGCACATACATGGGCAAATGAGGGAGAAAAAGATGGACAAACAGGACCAAAGACTTGGGACTCAGCTACATTGGCAAAGAAAAATTACTTTATATGTGTTGTTTATGCATTCTAACACTGTGACACCAGATGGCGCTGTGGAGTTCCGTTTTTGCTAACCTGATTTCTCATACAAAGTTTGCAACGCGTTTAACTGAAACACTTCTTTGATGTGTCTAGATCCAGCCTTGGCGCACACTTCCCGCCTGCCCTCCACTACCCGTTACCTTCAGATCGTACTTCCTGTGCACGGTAAGCCTGTGGCTGAACATGTTCCTCATGACCAGCATGTAGCTCTCCTCGTTGTCCACACTGAGCCGGTACATACCCAGGAACTGAGGCAGGAGGGTGCTCCCATGACACTTCACAATGTACTGGAAGAAGGAAACAAGATGTTCAGGAAGTACTATTTGATAAGTACTGTACTAGTGGGCCCAGAACAAAGATCACCAAAAGCTTAGACAAGACTTATGCACAGTAGGAGGATGACTTCAGGAAGGCAAATCCAGAAATGGAATCCTAATCTTCTCTGTTGGAGTCCCAGTCCCCAAACCACAATTCTCCTGCATTTTGGCTTGTTGGGGCTTTCATTGGCCAGGGTGCAACAGACTCAGCTAGCTATCCTTTGCCAATGAGGACTATTCCTCAGCACTTAGCTTGCTATCCAGTTCTTTGGGTCCTACTCCCTCTTCACTAACCTCCATCCTCTCTTGATCACAAGACCACGTCTTTTCTTGAGCACCAAGTATACCCAGCCTAGATTTAAAAGGGACTCTAGATCTTCCACCACAGCGGCTCAAGGAGGACTAATACCCACCCACCCACTCACACAGAGGCAGACAGTGAAAATCCAGTCACTGTTTTCTTAGTGCATGATCTGTAATTAATCTCTGGCCTTGCTAATACAGACATTGCCATGCTTTTCTTTACTTCTCCACTCTGCCTTATGAGTCCTGTGCATGCTGGTTAGCACCAGAGACACATATTAAAAAATCAGCAATATTTTGATTTTCTTTTTTAAAGGAGAGTAGCCATTGTTTTCTTCACCCCAGAACACATCAACCTGCAACCTGTTTTGCATCATAACCTAACCTAAGGAAGCTGGTGTGAAGTTACAGGGAACCAGGCAGAGGGCCTTCTCAGCAGTGGTGCCATCCCTGTGGAACACCCTCCCATCAGATGTCAAGGAGATAAAGAACTACACAACTTTTAGACTACATCTGAAGGCAGCACTGTATCAAGAAGTTTTAATGTTTGATATTTTATTATGTTTTTATATGTGCTGAAGCTGCCCAGAGGAGCTGGGGAAACAAAGCCAGATGGGCAGGATATAAATAATAAAATTATTATTATTACAATTCATCCTAAAGCTATTATAAAGTACAAACTAGGGCTTTTCATCATGGCCAGCAATATTCTTCACCACATTTTTTTATAAATGCTTAACATGTAATCTGAAAAAGAGTCCTGGTGGACTCAAAAGTTTGCTCACTACTTTGTGAATTTTACTTTGTTCTGTTTAAAGGTACTGCAATAATGTTGCTGTTTGGATTTTTTCATCCTAGTGGACCAACATGGCTGTCTATATGGAATGCTTCCATACCAATACTGATGAACAGGTCTCATTGTATTCCTTCCACCTATTATTAGATGGCCCAAATGAAGAATTTGGCAGCCTGAGGATAGGGCCTGTTTTGTGTTTTGAACTTCAGTACAGTGCCCACATCTGTGAGGTGCTTTACAAACAACACTGGTGTTGGTCTTAGCTAGCAGGGCACTCAGCATTCCTTAAATGTCAGCTTTCAGTATTTTTCCTTTTGAAAATTGCTCCTAAGGCTATGGAGAGAAGCTTGACAGCATGCGGTAATGCCTGCTCAGATCTCAGAAGTAGGTGAGGAACGGAGAACAACTTCCAGTGGTCAGGGGGCAGGAGCTACGCAGAACCCTGAAGCCCTTTTCCCTGTCCATGGCTAGCAGAAAGAACTGTGCAAACTTGCTTAATTCGCTTAAGTTTTGCTCTTCAGTGCACTAAGATTTTATATTTACTGTTATTTATTATATTCTCGTGGGGGTTGGTTTGGAGGTTTGGATCCCAAGTTACCGCATTTTTTGCTCTATAAGATGCACCAGACCACAAGACGCACCTAGTTTTTGGAGGAGGAAAACAAGAAAAAAAAAATCTGAATCTCAGAAGCCAGAACAGCAAGAGGGATCGCTGCGCAGTTAAAGCAGCAATCCCTCTTGCTGTTCTGGCTTCTGTGATAGCTGCGCAGCCTGCATTCGCTCCATAAGACGCACACACATTTCCCCTTACTTTTTAGGAGGGAAAAAGTGAGTCATATAGAGCAAAAAATACGGTAATTTTAAAAAGTTCACAGAAAGACAGACCACTTCCTGTCCCCGCCTCCCGTCGTGCAGCTACCTGCACACCAAGAAGTCACTCTGGAGGATCAATGGGCCTTACTGAACAGATGTGGGGTGAGGCACAGGTGGCCCTTTGCTTCCATGAGCGTCCTTCAGGTGAACTTATTTTACGCTCCAAGTCAGAGTCCACATGCCTACAACCCCATACAAAGAGGCCCACTTGCCTTCACGTCTTACCTGGTGGTAGTGAGACAGAAGGCTATGCACGTCAGCCACATCTTCACTGGAGATCTCCTTGATCACCAACGTTCTGTCGTAGGACAGGAGGAAGCGCCCCCCACCCTCAATCTCATAAGTGGGCGGACTGCGTGTCAGCGAGACCTGAAGAAGTCAGAATGAACCAATGACAACAAGGCTCTGTACCGATGACCCTGGCATGGCTGATTTATCTTTTTGATAAGGGTGGACAACAAGGGAGTTAAAGATAAACCTTCCCTGGCTATGGAGTAGCAAAAAGCTGAACAAAACTTCTGGGCTCCAGATCTTCCCTCACGTCCCCTGTGGCATTGCCTCTTTCACAGCCACCCTCAAGGCAGCCGTTCCTTTAAAAAGGCTCTTAGGGAAATGGGGTGGTGCAGGAAATGCTGAGTCATAGAATCATCGATTTGGAAGAGACCACAAGGACCATCTAGGAATGCAGGTGGCGCTGTGGGTTAAACCACAGAGCCTAGGACTTGCCGATCAGAAGCTCGGCGGTTCGATTCCTCATGACGGGGTGAGCTCCCGTTGCTTGGTCCCAGCTCCTGCCAACCTAGCAGTTTGAAAGCATGTCAAAGTGCAAGTAGATAAATAGATACCACTCCAGCGGGAAGGTAAACGGCATTTCCGTGCGCTGCTCTGGTTCGCCAAAAGCAGCTTAGTCATGCTGGCCACATGACCCGGAAGCTGTACGCCTGCTACCTCGGCCAATAAAGCGAGATGAGCGCAGCAACCCCAGAGTCGTCCGCGACTGGACCTAATGGTCAGGGGTCCCTTTACCTTTTACAAGGACCATCTAGTCCAACCCCCAGCAATGCAGGAATCTTTCTGCCCAAGGTGGGGCTCAAACCCACAACTCTGAGATTAAGAGTCTCATGTTCTACTAACTGAGCTATCAATAATATTTATGAAGTCCAGGAAAGAAATTCTGCTGCTTGCTTCAGTTTGCTTCAGTGCAAAGCCAGAGCGGTGCCCTCCGGATGTTTTTGGACTACAAAACTGACCACTGGGTCATACTAGCTGGGGCTGATGGAAACTGTAGTCCACAACATTTGGAAGGCACCATGTTTGTTACCCTTGCTCTCATGATGGAAACCAGACCAAGAACACATTAAAGAGGGTACACTCAAATGATGCTTTGTTAGTCTCACCCTCTGGCTCTCTTTAAAGAAAAGGAAACTTGGAGGGTTAAAATGTGCAGAGAAAAATGGCCAGTTCAAGGGGTCTGTGGGAGCTGCTGGGGGGCTCTTTCCCCTTCTATTGTGATCTCTCATATGCTAATCTTTCCCTCTTCTCCCTCTTCCAAATACAGAGAATGCAAGTCACAAATAGTGATGTAAGGTGAGAATATTCTCGAGAATGCAAATATTCTTGAGAATATTTTCTGCTAGAAAATTCTCTGGAGAATATTCTCCACAAACTGTAAATTCTAGTGTAGGAACCAGTTTTATAACCCACATTAAAAAAATCTAGTAAATAATAAGTCAAGCTGTGATATTGCCAGTGTAAGTAATGAATAATGATTTATTTTTTTCTGGTCCAGTTACATTACTAGGCATTGTGTCTTTCAATATGGGCAGTTCTGAAATGTGAGCTACAGAAAACATTTTAATTTTTTTTAAGTTTTAAAAATGCCATTCGTTTAATTTGATGAACATTTGAATCTGTATGTATTTCAACTATATGTGATAGCCTTTTTTTCTAGTTTGGTGTGACCTTATTCTTAGCAACTGTATACCCTTGGCCATACAGTGTAATTTTTTTTTTAAAAAAAGAAAGTAGCTTTAATGTTTTATACACTTAAAGTACCTAAGCCTATACAATTATGTGTAACAGCATGTGAGGTAGCCTTGATTTAAACAGTTGACGTTTCTATATTTTTATTTAGTGCCAGTAACTGGTTTTGCAGTGCCATTTTTTAATATTCCTTTTACTTTAAAAGCTACATTTCATGCATACACAACATAATTTGAATTCAAATTGGATGGTAAATATACGTTTAGTGGCAGGCTCAGTGAATAACGCGAGTCATTCACGTTGCATTTTCAATTTCAAGTTTGGTGCAAAAAATCAAAGAATGTGAATTCACTGCATTGCACCATTGAATTAAAGTATCTGTACAGTTTTTGGTTGCCATCTGAACAAGTTTACCCATGAACAAACAAGTATATCAACTAATTATATCATTTTCAATGCATTAAAATGAATATTCTCCTATTTTAAATGAAAATTCTCTAATATTCTCATTAATTGAGAATATTCTCCAAAAGATTATTCTCGAGAATTTAACATTACTAGTCACAAACATCCATTTGTCACATCTTATCTTGCAACCATCTTGTTGGGACGCGGGTGGCGCTGTGGGTAAAACCTCAGTGCCTAGGACTTGCCGATCGTATGGTCGGCGGTTCGAATCCCCGCGGCGGGGTGAGCTCCCGTCTTTCGGTCCCAGCTCCTGCCCACCTAGCAGTTCGAAAGCACCCCTAAGTGCAAGTAGATAAATAGGGAGCGCTTTATAGCGGGAAGGTAAACGGCGTTTCCGTGTGCTGCGCTGGTGCTGGCTCGCCAGAGCAGCTCCGTCACGCTGGCCACGTGACCCGGAAGTGTCTTCGGACAGCGCTGGCTCCCGGCCTCTTAAGTGAGATGAGCGCACAACCCTAGAGTCGGACACGACTGGACCATACGGGCAGGGGTACCTTTTACCTATCTTGCAACCATCTTATATGCAGTAGCCCAGCCTCACTACCCTCACAGTGCAGACAGGAGCGGGGCCATCTAGACAGCAGTTCATGGCAGAGGTAAGGTTCAGAGTGGGGACTTTGTAATTAATAGCCTTCCAACTCCCACTGGGTGTTCATACACAACTCAGTACCCAACTGGCTATTTGTAACAGGTGTCATAACTACTGCAGTGCCTGGGCAAGCAAATTCAGGAACAAAGGCAGTAATCTATGGCTGCTGTCAGAACACTGGCCTTATCCCACCTCAAACATCAGTTTCTCTCAAGAGAACATGCCTGCAACCAATGCCTCCAGTGAGCATATTAGTAGCCTATGATTGCACCTTATGCGGCAATCTTCTTGCACTGTGTCCAGCTGAGCAATTTATAACCCTCCCAATTAGCTCCACACTGGAAGTGTACACTATGATTTATTAGCTGAATTTCAAACTTGCTTTCGAACCAGCATTCTCAGTGTTCAAAAAACAAATTACTGAAGTTGTGCATGATTTTAAATTTAAAATTAGCAGATACATACTATAAACTATAAAACCTGAGCAAAATCACAAAACTATAAAACCTGAATATATAATAAAATAACAGCAACTATAAAATCTGAATGAACCCAGTAAGAAAACACCTGCTCAATAGCTTTATTCTAAAACAGGAGAAACCTAACGGGAAAAGCATCAGCAATTTCTCCAAAAGCAGGCCTGGAGGGCATCTCTGGGAAAGGAGTTCCACAACAAGGGTGCCTTGGGCAAGAAGGCTTTCAGCCTCGTGCATTATACTCTGAAGTCCAGTATATGACAGCAGTAAGGGGGTCGGAGGCAGATATACTGCATGCACACTACAGCCGAGTACCTAAATTTTGTGCAGGCTTGTAGAGTCTGAAGTGTAAGACATACCTGATAATCCTGGTCATCAATGCTGAAACGTTCGCGAAGATTGCGGAAGACCTGTGGGCAGTATTCCTTGAATTTGAAATGGCTGGGCAGGTTTTCTCTGCAAGAGTCGAGTGACAAGAGTTAGCTGCTACTCCAAAACTCGGACTGCACATGCAGCAGGGTGAGCTGGAGGAAGGAGGTGAACTAGAGCTGGGGTGGGGGGAATCACATTTCTGAATGCACCTCTATGAAAAAACAAAAACAAAAAAGCCTCCCCCCCTTCCGCACAAAAATAAGAACCTAGCACATCAGTGAAGACTACAGCCCAGCCAATTCGCTCCCTGTTGCGCTAGTTTCTACTTACAGGGTGGGTTTTGGTTTCAACAAATAAAGAAGCATGATGAGGTTTGATTCTACCCACCTTGCAGCAGTCTGAAGTGGTACAGCCACTCAGACTCTGCTATGTTTGTGGTCCAGGCCTTACCTTCTCCTGCTGTAGATGGAACCAGCTCTCCATCAGAAGCAGCCCATTACAACCCAATCTTATACATAACCAAGCTCCTTCTGCTTCTTTACCAGAAGGCCAGTTTTTCTGACAAGTGAGCAAGGCCTAGTAATAGCTACCAAGTCAATCTGGGCATTATCTCAGTAATCTGCGACCCAAGCCCCATAATCCCCTGCCCATTAGTATCCTCTACCACAGGGTGTAATCCTCCATTATTATGCAAATGGTCTCATGACCAGACAGGCAGAACAATCTTCCTTTAATACTAAGCATTAAATACCAGGCAGAGGGGACAGCGTGTGAGAGGGAAATGATTTTTTTGTCCAGCTTTGCACGCGCTATTCAATTTTTTTGTACTTTTCCTGGAGGAAGGTTCAAATCAGGCAATTGCTGGCCTTTCTGGAGTGCTACAACAGAAGTGGGTAACCTGTGGCCACATGCAGCTCCTAACACATTCTGACACCACCCCATCCTTCCATCCCATCAGAGGTCCTACCTTCCTCCTTAATTTCCATAGCTTTAAAAAGCTGTTTCCCCATCCTCACCCCTCTCTTCCTGTGTGGATTCAGAATAAAAGGGGCCATATATTATTTGATAGAAATAAACTGATGTGTTTAACAAATCTTTTTCCTGGTATCAAAGCTTGGGAAAAAGACGTTTTCTTCTTGGCTTCTGCTCTCTCTGTGTGTGGTCACACTAAAATCAGAAAAGAATTATTTTCACATGCTTTCTAGAGCAGTAGCTGCATTGGTCTGCTGAATTAAAAACAATAATCTCTGTACAGTTATTTGAGAGTAAACCTTTCAAACCAGGTGGGGCTTACTACTCTTCCCAAGAGTAGGCTGGCAGGGGACTGGAAATTCTGAGTGAAGGTAAAGATGGAAGAAGGGGAGTTGAAATTCAGGTTCAATAATCCATAACATTTTTGGAGTGCCCTCCATCCGTCGCTAACATGCAGTCCCCGACCAGTTATCCTGAAGGAATGAGGCCCTTAACAGAAAACACTTGCCCTCCCCTGTGTCACAGTCATAGGATAACTAGACACCTACACTGCCGCCCATGTGCAGGCTATGCTCTTAAAACGAGAGTGTTGCTAATAGCTGACTTATGGTGAGAGTTGGAGGGTGCTTAATAATAATAATAATAATAATAATAATAATAATTTATTATTTATACCCCACCCATCTGGCTGGGTTTCCCCAGCCGCTCTGGGCGGCTTCCAACAAAACACTAAAATACAATAACCTATGTTAGCTTCCCCTATATTATAGCATGTGCATTTGGAGGAACTATGTCCCTAGGGTACAGCATCTGCAGTCTTTTCTCAGATGCCTGAGGGAAGCCCACAAGCAAGAGCCGAGCACTACAGCTCCCTCCTGCTCATGATCCCAAGCAGCAGGTATATAGAGGTATACTGTCTCTGATAGTGGAGGTAATACATAGCCATCATGGCTGAAGGCGCCAAGCCTAATACCTTGCACTTCCAGTTAAAGGATCTCAAGCAGCAGGGGTGGAATCTGAAGTTGGGCTAGGAAGACTATGTGCCTTTCCGCTCCTAGACATATGCACCACCGGTCCTCACCTGTTGAAGAGATGATTGTTCACCTTTATTTTAGAATTCGCTTTGAAGTCATCAGGGAGAAGCATCACTGGCTGGGGAACTTGACTCAGTTCATTGATCTAAAGAAGGAAAGCAAATGTGAAGCCACTGGCTTCTCTTGTACGAAGCAGCACATGCCAGGAGAATGTAATAGCACCAAGGCAAGGCCTTGAGAGGAGAGTTCTTGTCTACCAAGAGCCCCCGGAGGAAGTGACATCCGGCCGAATGCCATGCCATTTGCAACCTAAGACTTAGGCACTAAAGCTATGCTGTTAGTTTCTCCAGGCACAGGCTTCCTCAAACTCGGCCCTCCAGATGTTTTGAGACTACAATTCCCATCATCCCTGACCACTGGTCCTGCTAGCTAGGGATCATGGGAGTTGTAGGCCAAAAACATCTGGAGGGCCGAGTTTGAGGAAGCCTGTCAAAGCATATCAGCAGGATGGACCTTTGGCAAAGGGCCATGGCTCAGGGGTACCAGCACACCTGCTTTGCACGCAGAAGGTCTCAGATTCAATCTCTGGCACTTCCAGGTACAGGTGAGAAAGATCCTGGTCTGAAATCCTGGAGAACTGCTACGAGTTGGCATAGGCAGTACTAAGCTTGACTAACCAGTGGCCTGGCGCAGTGCAAGGCATCTTTCTAAGGCAGCTTCATGCGGTCCTAGCGTGGCGTACAACCAACAATAAATTAAGTTCAAAGTTGCACCAAGAACCTATGAAAATGTATACAGTATATACTTACATGAAGAGCATTCAAGAACATTTGGGTTATCAACAAAGTTAATACAGCAGTTCAGACAGGATTAGCCTAGGAAGACTAAGCTAGAGACTCATAGCCAGTCAAGACAATGGGCTTCAGATGGAGACAACCAAGGAGGAAGGTTATGGTGAGGATTAAGCGCGCTGAAGAAAATGTTGCTTTAGTCCAGGGGTCAAATAGTCACAAAATAGGTTGCCTCAAAGCATGGGAAAGGAAGACTATAGGGTTGAAAAATGGATTTTCTTGTATTTGCATAATTTTTACCTGGGATTTACTCCAAGCCACCATCAAAAGAAATATCATACCTATCTCCAGTGCTATTTTTCTAGAAAAATAGGTGCAGGAACTCACCACAAACACCTCTCTTGTTCTCTTCAAATGGCAATGGCACCCACCTGAGAGGTGCCGGAACGGAGTTCTGGCTAAAAATAAGCCCTGCCTACCTCCATGGAATGACCTGTAAAAATCACATATTCAGCACCTGTCAGTGCCATCATGGCACAAAACATGGGCCCTTGGAACAAACCCACGTGCTATAGTGGCTGCAATAAGTGCTGGATAGCTGCGAGGGGAGGTTACAATGCAAGCCACAGAAACCAACGGCAGGTTCAATTTGATGGTTGTTTGGAGGAGATGCCTTAAAAAAGTCTTAAGGATCCATGGGTTTTTTTGCCATCCCTGACCCCACCCTGCTGCCCTGAGGTCACCCTTTGCCCATACATCTATCTTTCTGTTCCTCACAAGCCCATCCACCACAGCTCAGTTTCCTTTGTTCTAGATAGCATTTAGAAGGGATGTCCAATCAGAAGGGCAGAGGGCGTGTTTCAAACATTATACCCACATTCATCACCCCAAGTACCAGCATCTCTCAGGATGTTCCCCCCACATTGTGCTCCTCCAGTGAGTTTTCCTTAGGGGCACCTAGCTTGCCACTGCAGGAGACAGAATCCCAGGCTAGGAAGACCTTTTGGCTGACCCAGCAAGGCAGTTTTTAGGGATCTGTCACTAACTCAGGAGCTATGGTCAAATTGGACTGTCAGTTCTTGTTCATGGACTAATCCCAGGATAAAAACTCTGTGATAACAGTCTGGAGTTAATCACCTCTGAAACTTGATTATGAGAACGAGTCCAAAAGAGAAGTATCAAACTGATTGTTGTGTAGGCTTCCACATTTAGGAGAGTGAATCTCCCACAGGGAGTTTCTTTCAAGCACCGTCCAGTTCACAAGCCAGGAAAAACATGGGAAATGTACCAGCAGCCTGGGCTGCTACAAAAGATCAGGACGTGATCTGTATTGATATGATCATGGAGACATGAGTGAAGGTGACTCATCGGCATACATATCTGGGCCTGGCCTCTGTGGGAGAGACTGTTTGCTGGCAAGGGAGATGGCAATGCTGAGGAGCCAGCCTGAATTTCAGTCGCCACAGCCCTTTCTCCTGCAGCGGAAGCTGCAATGCTGAGGTAACTTTAAAACCAGTCCTAAGCTAAAGTGATAAGTATGAGCTGACCGGCTGCTAGCATCCAGCATGTCTTGTTTGGGGGGAGGGGGGCTGTGATACCTGCTTTGCTGGGGATAGTGTATTATGGAAGGAAGTGTGGACTACATGGAACTGGCAGAAATGACTGGCAGAATCCGAGACCAGAGAGAAGAGTCGGTGGAAGAAGATTGGAAAAAATTTAAAGCATACTTACAGAAACATTGTAAAATTAATGAGTGTTAGAAGGATGCTGGAATGAAGTTATATGGTTTTAGTAGAAATGCAACAAAGAATTAAGTAAAAGCTGACTGATAACGGGTTAAAACGAAAAATTTAAGGTTAGACCGTTAAGATTAATTATAGGAAAAAAATTGAGAAAGATGGGAAGAATTTGCTGAATTAGTGAATTGAACTAGAATACAAAAAAAGGGAGGTGTGAGGAGGTCGATGAAACAAGTAAAGGAAAGGTAAAGATATAGAATATTGGATGCGTGTTTTAGTTTTTTTTCTTTTCTTTGTTTCTTTTTTGCTGTATTGTTGTATTGTTTTTCTATGTTTTTTCGTTTTTCTTTTTTCTTGTTGTCCTTTTACTTTTTTCTGTAATTTCTAAACTTTTAATAAATATCATTTAAAAAAAAAATATTATGGAATGAAGTGTTCAAGTCTGCAACAGGTATAAATTACACAAATTAAGCAAATTTGCTCAATCTCTTGTTTTGTAAATTTAAGCCGCAAAAAATGGTAAAAAAATAAAAACAAAACAAAAATGTTCTGTCTTTGCCAGTGAGAGAGAGGGGGGGGGGGAGGCAAGAAAAAAAGTCTGTTGGAGGACATGGAAGCTCTGCACTTGGCCACAAGAAGACTGGGCTGGCTTCTGTTATTTCCACAGGCATCACCTACACATTTTCAAGAATGTAATTGAAACCATAGGGTCTAGAAACTTGTCTTTACAAATATTAAAGGTTTGATATTCAGGAAGTTGAATCCCACTGGATTCTCCATGTTCTCTGTACTGCCCCAGAATCACAGCATACAGACTGCATAGGCAAAGTCAGTGGGTACAGAATACACAGGGATGACTGAGTAGAGAGAACCAAATAGTAGGTATCATAGACTGACTAATGCTGAATATGGTGTGAGGACCCTGCATACATAGCACCAAAGAGGGGGCACTTGTGGTCCTCCAGGTGTTGCTGTTGGGCTTCAACTCCCAACACCCTCAGGCACCATGGGCAATGGTGATGGGAGTTCGTCCCATCTGGAAGTCCATATTCCTGATCCCTGCAGTACACTATTCCTCATGAATTTATTCCACTTTCACTTCACTTTCCCTCCAAAGAGTTCATAGCTGTTTATATACAGTTCCCATGCAGTCTCCCATCAAAATACCTAAAAGGGCCTGACCTACTTGGCTTCAAAACCGCAGAACTGTGTCATGTGCCTCTGGACTAGACTCAAATCGAGAGCAGTTATTGTCAGCCACCAACAGAACCAATGGAGTTCAGTAGCTTTTCCTTACTTCAGGTTTCTGAGAAAGATCAAAGTTATTTATTGGGCCTACAGGAATGAACCAATCTGGGATATATCCTTTGTGGCAAAAAAACTGCAAGACTCAATATGCTTCAGAGAAAACAGTAACTGCAGCAAAATAATCAGGCAAATTATTTGCACAGGGTTGTGACTACAAGCTCATTCAGCTGGAAGTCTTCTGACATGGGACAGTCTGACCTATCAAACAAAGCCATAAACAGTGCATTGATTTGAACATCATATTAAACCAGTGTTAAAAATATACTATGGTTTGTATCTAACTAAATCACTTTATGTGCAGAACAATTTCCACAAGTGCCACTGAACTTCTGCCCTTCCTTTCCCCATGCACTACCCCCAATCGGCTCCACAAGGTTTTTTGGGGGGAATCTGGAGCAGGATGGGGGGTGTATATGCAGGGGGAGAAGTTCTATTGGGGTTTGGGCTGGATGTTCACCAGTATGTAGATGATACCCAGCTCAACCTCGTCTTCCAATCAGAACCAGTGAATGTCCTGTCTGGAGGCAGTTGGAGGATGGATGGCGGCTAACAGATTGAGGTTGAATCCTGACAAGACAGAAGTACTGTTTTGGGGGGATGGGGTGGGCAGGTGTGGAGGACTCCCTGGTCCTGAATGGGATAACTGTGCCCCTGAGGACCAGGTACACAGCCTGGGAGTCATTTTGGACTCACAGCTGTCCATAGAGGCGCAGGTCAATTCTGTGTCCAGGGCATCTGTCTACCAGCTCCACCTGGTACGCAGGATGAGACCCTCCCTGCCCGCAGACTGTCTCGCCAGAGTGGTGCATGCTCTGGTTATCTCCCGCTTGGACTACTGCAATGCGCTCTATGTGGGGCTACCTTTGAAGGTGACTCGGAAACTACCACTAAGCTAGAATGCAGCAGCTAGACTGGTGACTGGGAGTGGCCACCAGGACCATATAACACCAGTCCTGAAAGACCTACACTGGCTCCCAGTGCATTTCTGAGCACAATTCAAAGTGTTGGTGCTGACCTTTAAAGCCCTAAATGGCTTCAGCCTAGTATACCTGAAGGAGTGTCTCCACCCCCATCGTTCTGCCCGGACACTGAGGTCCAGCTTTGAGGCCCTTCTGGCCTTTCCCTCACTGTGAGAAGTAAAGCTACAGGGAACCAGGCAGAGGGCCTTCTTGGTAGTGGCACCTGCCCTGTAGAACATCCTCCCATCAGATGTTAAGGAAATAAACAACTATCTGACTTTTAGAAGACATCTGAAGGCAGCTCTGTTTAGGGAAGTTTTTAATGCTTGATGTATTTTTACTATTCTGCTGGGAGCCGCCCAGAGTGGCTGGGGAAACCCAGCCAGATGGGTGGGGTATAAATATCATTACTGTCGTACCTTGGTTTTCAAACACCTTAGTTCTTGAACATTTTGGCTCCTGAATGCTGCAAATCTGGAAGTGATTGTTCCAGTTTGCAAACTATTTTTTGAAGTTTCAGTGGCTTCCGATTTGTGGTAGGAGTGTCCTGCAGCCAATCAGCAGCTGCGCTTTGGTTTCCGAATATTTTGGAAGCTGAACGGACTTCTGGAACAGATTCTGTTCGACTTCCAAGGTACGACTGTACATTATTATTATTATTATTACTACTACTATTATTCCCACAAACGCTATTCTGCACATGCAGTCATTTAGTTTGAGAGCAGAGATGGTGAACTGAGGTCAAGAGGCAATGCCTTGCTAATGCCAGTGAACCCAGTGTGATCCAAGGGCAAAGACTGCTTCAGTTTCCTTTCTCAAACAGTAAGAAAAATTTGCAAGGCTGTTACGAGGAAGAAAGAGAGAGACTGGGACTGTACGATGCTATGCATATTTAAACTGTTCCATGCATAATTATCAAGTTTCTCTGGTATCATTCCCAGCACTGAATGAGGGTCAGAACAGAGTCAATGCTTCTAAATGAGTTAATGCAGCTTGCAATTTAGTAAGCCAGTTCTAAAATGGAAACTATCTCCCACCAATATTAATAGCCATACAGAAGAAGACTGCACATACAGAGTTAAGAGGTTAGAATGATCTGGAAACACCTAAGCCAAGATATATTACCAGAAAGTTTCCATCCAGGCCAAGTGAAAAGGACCCAAGACACGCAAGGCAGACTTAACTTCACCAATTCTATTTTATCTCGTTTCTTAAAAGAGAGAAGGGGAGGGAACACGAGCCACACAGCATATTATTTTTAGGCACAAATACAAGCTTTGCAATCACACTTTGGAAGCACTGAAGGGCAAAACGGAAGGAAGCAAACTGGCTTTTTGTTCATCAAGAGGCTTATGCTTGCGGCAATCAAGACAGTTTGCACGGCAGAAGGGCATGCTATGAGGCCCACGTACCAGCCGCCTCCTTCGTTCCGGAATCTGAATTATCCTGGTGTTGTGCCATAGAGCTCATATGCTCCGCCCTCCCCCAATACTTTGGGGTCGTAAAACTGTTGGAATCAGAGGGAAAGGGTCAGTTGAGCTTAGGGAGGGAAAAGAAAGGAATGCAGCCAGACAGCTTAAGACCTGTGCAAGCATCTCACAAAGAGATGCCACTATTGTTCTACAGAAAACACACTTTAGGCCTATAGGTGTTGGTTAATTCCCTTCACATCCAAGGTCTGGGGAGTGACATTATTTTGGAGCTGAAAAATGAAGCCAGGCTCGTCACAGAGGATGTTGCAGTGTACTACAGGAACTGCAGCTTCCACTCATGATGCTTTAATACATTTATCAGAGCACTGCACTCTTGACACTTTTGCAGTGCCCAAAATCAGGCTACTCATGTTCCTATGAGCCATGGAAAGGAGTCCCTCAGTAAGCAATCCCAGTTTGTTAATAGGAGAGCACTCCAGGGCATTCATGGCCCAACTGACCTGGTCATTCCATCACATGTGCATTCTAACTGTGGAAACAGAAGCCAAGAACACCAAGAATCTACATGTAGCGTACTTGGCACAAACCTCCATATTCATAGCCACAAATCCTCTTCTTAAAGAGAAAGTAAGTAAATTTTGATTGAGCCATACTTGGACATGTAAAGTTCATTCTATACCTTCCCCTATTAACTCAGATGAATAAAAAGAACCTAGATGCAAGTTCACAGGAGACTTCAGCAAGGGATTTCAGTAAAGAACAGGAAACACCACACTTCAAGGGTTTACATGGAAGTTGCCTCCCAATGGGACCAAAACAAGGCTAAATAGTATTGGTGAACCCCTTGTCACAAGGAATATGAAAATAGTGATGCTGAAGAGCAAGATGTTGACTACCATCCTGAATTTTAGACTATATGTAGTCACCTGGGAAGTACTGCCTTAACAAAGGCATGGCACTCTGGAAAGCCTTACCTGTTGACCTTGAGAAGTCCACAACAGTAATCATTTCGGAAAGCTGTGCTGTGAGAACAGTTTCAGGTGGCTTGTGGACAGGCAGCATTATTCAGCTGTAGGAATCTTTTACTGCCGATGTTATATAGAATGCGTCATCTGAATTGCCTTTCAGGAGTTTCAGGTTGGGTCTGCATATGTGTGTTTTATTCTGTCACAGTTGATGATGTACTTTTAACACGCAAGCCAGCTTGGATGAATTTTTTATTCAAAAAGATAGTATGTAAACATTCTAAAGTAAAAATTGAAAAGATATCTAAGTGACAAAAAGGACAAAGGCTAGAGAAATCAGTAGCAGCACAATCCTACAAGCGTTTTCTTGAAAATAAGTCCCACTGTGTTTAGTGAAGCTTATACCCAATTAAGTGTGGAAAGCAGTTTTGCTGTTCCGTCTACTGTCTAAAAATAATCTTTGCCAGAAGCTTTGGATGCATGAGAGGGAGCCTAACTGGCCAATCAATCTTCAGCCAGTCAGAGTCCTGTAAAAAATCCCCAATATGGTGAGAGGGTTTATATAATCTCTACTGACATCACAAACACTCCCAACAAAGCTTCTATGGGGTTGAGAAAGCATACCACTCACTAATGAAAAGGACTAGCATAGGATACTGGTAGCAGGTCAAGAGCAAAAACACAGAATAAAAACAGCAAGAATGGAGGATGGAAAGAGGATTTCACAAGACAACAGTTCAGCTATTAGCCCCAACACATCTCCGCTGTTCATGCCTCCCAGTCCCACAAGGGAGACTAAAAGGTAAATGTTAAGAGAATAGATGACAAACCATAGAATTGACCGCAACAATGATTGGGGGGGGAAATGGGGAAGGCAATCTTCAGGTACTTCAGTACAGATACCTAACAATGACAGCAAAAAACTATGCAGGTCCCAGAGGAAGAAGTGTATTTGCCCAGGTAACAATGGCAGGATACTCAATGTTGAGTAACTGATGACATTTCAGCATCTCTGTCTCTTTGATGATTCCCCAAACTACCGTCTCAAGAGATGAGAGTCTGATGGGGAGAAGGGCATTGTTTGGTAAGAGATTAAAACTAAGACGTGCTGGTATCAACCAAGAATAGCCTATGTGGGTGCCCTCCAGATTTTGTGAACTACAACTCCCATCCAACCCCAGTTAGCATCACCAACAGTCAGGGACCATGGGAACTGTAGTCCACAGCATCTGGAGGGCACCACATTAGCTATCGCTTTATAGAGCCACAGAATCATAGAGTTGGAAGGGACTCAGGGGGTCCAACACCCTGAAAGAATCAAATGAAAAAGCAAGAAAGTGAAGGGGATGGGTATTTGGAGAATGAAAAGTGACATTTTGAGAAGTTATCCGTCTACTTCTTTGTTCATTCATTTCTGTTCGCTGGTGAAAATCCTTTAATGCAAAATTCCAAGATTATGATCTCAAATGGAGGGAAATATTTTTTGATGTCAGGTTGACCCAGAGAGTTCCTTGAGAGCCAGTCCACAAATACATGACTGAAAGAGTAATATTTTGCACGTTCACTGAGAAGTAGGCTCCACTGTGTTCAGTGGAGCTTACTGCTCGGTTAAGTGTGTTTAGGACTGCAACCTGGGTATTCATTTATTTACGGTATATCTGTATACTGCTTTTCACCTGAAGATCACAGGCTGGTTCACAACATAGAAATACAAAATGAAGACACAAAACACATAATCAAACCAAAACAAACAAAGGTACCTGTTTGATCTCAAGAAAGTCCCACAGCAGCTACCTGACTGCTTTCCAAAACTCCACCTGCTAGTCCCAGGCAGAAGGAAATTATCACCAAGCAACAGATGAATACAGGGATGTTTCAGATCCGGTTACCGGAAGACTGCTACCTGCAACTACACTCTTCCAACTGAAGAAATGTTCTCTTTTTCTACTGCAAGGCTAAAGTGGTCAGAACACCTGTCTCTCCTCCACATTTTGAAGCAGCACATGGGCTATTCACAGGCATGTAAGAAGGGTGAGCCTTGCAGTAAATAAGGAAAATCTCCCTGAAACTATGGCAAATAGGATACCTGTGCGATATATGGTTGAGATTCTTTCTTAGCCACCCTAGTATCAGATGGGCAGTCCTCATCCACCAGATTTGGAACCAAGGGACAAGACAGAAAAGGGGAAAGAGATGAATGTGTTGGTTCACCCCTTCAGTGTCAACACAATGATTGCTTCAGCCTAGCCATCAAAAGCAGTGTCCCCAGAGAACATGGAGAAATAAGTTTAATATCAATATTTGACTAATGTACTTATTGATGCTGTTTATTTGCCTTTGGAATGCTTCATTTTCAAGCAAATACTACACTTCCCTCACACGCATTCAAAACAGCTCACAATAGCCGAGGAAGTGCCTACATTAACGTAAAGCCAATATAAACTGTAACAAAGCAGAAATTATTGCTAGCCAGTGTATTCACACAGTGAACAATTCTTAGCACCAGGTATTGGGGAAGATTAACTGAAAAGAGAAGAGGGGCAGCTACTATAAGCTATTATATCTTGAAGAATGGTGATGGTGAAGTGATAAAAAGAAAGAGGTAACAAGTGGTGGTGGGAAGGAATGTGTTGGATACCAAAGTTGCCAAATACCTCTGGATCAGGATAATGCTTTATGTGCATGTGATGAAGGGGATTCTGGCCCGTGAAAGCATGTGCCATAATGACGTCTTATGGTCTGTAAGGAGTTTGGGGGTTGTTGTTTTGCTACAGAGAGATTAAGCATGTAAATAATAATAATTTGTATACTGTCCTTCATCCAAAGATCCCATGGTGGATCACAATAGAAAAACGCAAATTATTGCAATTCAGGACAGTTTTGTGAATGCATCCTAAACAAGAACGGTCCTTCCTTCTCCCACCTACCAGGAGTAGATCTCGCCCCGCCCCAGCTCAGCAGCTGCCCGCCGCATCCCACATACACGGTCAAGGGTAGAATTGGAAGGGATTCCGACGGTCATCCAGCCCAACCCCTTGCAATGCAGGAACCTTTCACCCAACGTAGGGCTCGAACTCACGACCCTGAATTACGAGTCCCACACTCTACCCACTGAGCCATCCCAATCTGGGGTCTGACCGGGAGGCGTTACCTGGTGGTTGATCCCCCAGCCCAGCACGCCCAGCAGAGGGTCGGCTGACCGCAGCACCTTCACACGCTGCGGCACGAAGTGCTTCTTCTTGGTCTTGGTGCGGGTCCCCGGCCCCACCGAGGCTGCCATCCCCGGGCGCCGCCGCTGCCAGCCTCGCCCGCTCAGCCGCCCTGCCCGCCGCTCGCTCAGCTCAGCCTCGCCGCCGGCAACGGAAGCGGCGATCAGCTGATGCCGCCGTCACGTGACCCAAGGGAGGGAGGGGAGGAAGTCGGCTGGGGCAGAGAGGAAAAGCGCGGAGTGACGCACAGAGGGAGGGAGAATGACCTGCACTTCCGGGAACAGATGAATCATAGGTAGAAGGATAGAGTTCATGAGGGATGCAAGAAGCTCAACTAGATCATACAGGGCAGATGGCCAGCCAGCCTCTGCGGAGAAACCTCCAAGGGAGGAGAGCCCACCACCTTCCGAGGAATCTCATCTGCTGCCGAACAGCTCCTAGTGACAAAAAGTTTTTCCTGATATTTAGTCGGAATTTCCTTTCTTGTAACTTGAAGCCATGGGTTCGAGTCCTGCCCTTCGGAGCAGGAGAAAACAAGCACGCTCCATCCTCCACGTGGCAGCCCTTGAGACATTGGAAGATGGCTGTCATATACTTTTCCTCAGACCTTGTATTTTGGAGGGGGGGAGAACGAATTCCTATGCCCCACAAATGACCCAGAGATGCATTTTAAATAAAAGGACACATTCTACTCATGTAAAAACACGCTGAGTCCCAGACCGTCTGCGGGATGGATTGAGAAGGCGATTGGGCCCCAGGGCCTTAGTTTGCCTACCCATCATATATAGCGGGCCCACGAGCTGCACTTTGCTTCCCATGCAAGGCCGGACCAGTGCCCAGCCGTCGCGCCCTTTGCTGAGGGAGAGCCAGCGTGGAGCCAGGGCAGGCGTGCAGTTGGCTCCACTGAGGGAGACGGCTGCGCGCTCCACTTTGTAAGCGCTGGGCAGGAGCCTACTGCTGAGTCCACACATTACAGTCCTGCCCTCCCTGTCTCAGATTAGCTGGTTTAATGTAGGTTTTGGACGGCTCTTATTGTTTTGTTACGTTTTCCTCACAATGACCCTGTGAGGTAGGCTAGGGGGCAGGTCCCTCCACTCTCTATTTTCTAAGCCAGCATTGTTTCCAGAAAGGTGCTGTTGGGGAAGGAACTAAAAGGTGTCCAGGGTTCAAGTCCCCTCTTGGCTATCAAACTCCCTGGGTAACCTTGGACCAGGTTTTGGGCTCTCAGCCTAGCCTACCTCACAGGGTTACTGTGAGGATAATTTGGAGAGACGAATTGCATCTTGTGCACCACTTTGAGTTCCTTGGAGAAGATGTAGAGTTTTCATGTAATAAAGCACCAAGAAAGGCCTCTAGGTGCACAAACAAATTTTAAAAAGATGCCTAGAGGTGGCAATTGTGGGTGAGCAGCTAGGCCATGGGTAGGCAAACTAAGGCCCAGGGGCCAGATCCGGCCCAATCGCCTTCTAAATCCAGCCCGCAGACGGTCCAGGAATCAGCATGTTTTTACATGAGTAGAATGTGTCCTTTTATTTAAAATGCATCTCTGGGTTATTTGCGGGGCCTGCCTGGTGTTTTTACATGAGTAGAATATGTGCTTTTATTTAAAATGCATCTCTGGGTTATTTGTGGGGCATAGGAACTCGTTCATTTTTTTCCTTCCAAAATATAGCCCGGCCCCCCACAAGGTCTGAGGGACAGTGGACCAGCCCCCTGCTGAAAAGTTTGCTGACCCCTGACCTAGGCAGACAGAGAAGGTGGCTTCATAATACAATGAAGTGCCCTCCCCAACAAAAATTTTTAAAAGAAGATTCAGTCCACTGGAACCTATAATACACTGTGACCGAATGATGAACCACTAGCCAGCCAACACCTGGGCAAACAGGTGAGTTTTAAGGAGGGGCCAGAAACTGGACCACAGCCCTGGTCTGCCTTATTTTATTGATTATCCAGAGGGATGCAAAGCTGGGAGAATTGGGGGAAACTCTTAAGGGGAGCCTAGATCCAGCTTCCTGAGCCTTCTGCTTGGGGGTAAATGCAGGGGTGGGCCACACGCTTGGCAGCTGCCTGAAGTTGCCCAGTGGTGCCATGGGCCTGGCAGTTAGAGCGTTCCCAGAGCCCATTGGCTCCAGTCCTTCTTCAGGCTCTGACCTCACAATCAGCTGTGGAATCCTTCAGAATGTTTGGTTTCCTAGGAGGCCAGGTGAGTTGTTTAAAAGGATCCCTGGGTCAGTTGAAAGCCAGTTGAATCAGTCAGCCGCCCATAAAGCATCCATTCTTCTTTTGTTGTCTTGAAAGCTGTTTGACTGACTTTCTGGGCCTTTTTGCTTCTGAAGATCTTTTGCATAATGTGCCGCTGGTGGCATAGAAGGTAAAGTCATGGAAAAGAGGGGAGGCATCCTGAAGATTTGTGCCCCCGCCACATGCCTAGTTTTTAAAGATGCTCCTTGGTTATTTGACCTTTTTAACCCCCATGCTGTGTGTTACACAAGCCAGCAATTTCCCCAAGGAGTTTTCAGATGAATTTTCTGAGTTTTCATTATTGTCACCATCCAAATTGCAACAGAACTGCAACAGTTGGAGTCCAGTAGCAACATCTGGAGGGAACCAGGTTTGGGGAGGCTTGATGTAGAAGACATCAGGGTAATTTAGCATCGTAACACTGGGTGACTGGACAGAGGCTTATTTTGGCCCTGAACAAGGGCTGGAGACCTATAGCACAGACTTGAGACCCCTGCTTCTCCCTTCTTCCACAGAAGAGCCAGAGTCTCCGACCTGAGAGCCAAGGCAGACGCCTCCCTCCCAGCGCAGCTGGAAGAAGAATTCTGCGATGAAAGCCTATGGAGAGATAGATAGATAGATAGATAGATAGATAGATAGATAGATAAATTTATTGTCATTGTCCGTATATACACAGTATACACAACAACGAAAATCAAACACCCACTCGAAGACCGGGTTCACATACACATTTGCACGTATCTCCAACACTCTCATCCTATTCAGACATAATCTATAAAAACATATCATACTCCAGAATGTAACATAACCTATTAAAAGCATAACATAACCTAAAAACCTGTCTCATTCCTTCCTACTCCCTGCTTGCTATTCCTTGCAACTGGCCCTGAGATCATTATTTAGTGCAATCAGAGCTCTTGGATAGAAACTATTCAGAAGGCGTGTGGTTCGTGTTTTCATTGTCCTATATCTTCTGCCCGAAGGCAACAGTTCAAAGAAGTTGTGAGCAGGATGGGTGGGATCTCTCAGGATATTGTGTGACTTCTTCAAAGTGCGAGACGTGAAGATCTCATCCAGGGTTGGTAGTTGGAGCCCAATAACATTCTGGGCAATTTTAATTATTCTCTGTAAAGCTTTTTATCCGTTTCAGAGCTGCTCCCATACCACGATAATATACTATATGTTAAGACACTCTCGATGGTACTGTGATAATAGGACAGAAGTAGGTGCTGAGATAGATTCAGTCCCCTGAGCATTCTCAGGAAATACAACCCCCCAGCACCTTCCTCACAACCATATTAATATTTACAGTCCATGAGAGGTCCTCAGAGATGTAAGTGCCCAGGTATTTAAAACTACCAACCCTCTCCACCTCCTCGCCATTTATGTGCAATGGTAAAAATACGCTTTTCTTTCTCCTAAAGTCAATTATGAGTTCTTTGGTTTTTTGGTGTTAAGCATAAGATTGTTTTCTTTACACCATTGAATTAACCCCTGTACTTCTTTCCTATAAGCAGTCTCATCGTCTCACTAATGAGCCCCACCACTGTTGTATCATCCGCAAATTTGATGATTGTGTTGGACTCATACAGTGGGTGCAATCAAATGTGTACAGGGAATAGAGAAAGGGACTTAGCACACATCCCTGAGGGGCTCCTGTGCTTAATACTAGAGTAGAAGAATAGTAAGGGCCCATTCTCACTGTCTGCGGCCTATCAGTCAGGAAATTCCTTACCCACAGACAGATCTTCTGATGTATACCCAAATTGGTCATTTTAAGAAATAACCTGTCTGGCAGAATTGTATTGAAGGCAGAACTGTAGTCCACAAACAACAGCCTTGCGTAGGTTCCCTGTCGTTCTAGATGACTCAGTACAGTATGGACAGCGATGGAAATAGCATCATCAGTAGATCTATTTCTTCTGTATGCAAACTGGAACGGGTCTAGAGTGGATGGAAGACCAGCCTTAATATGATCTAGCACCAATCTCTCAAAACATTTCATAACGACAGATGTTAAGGCTATTGGTCTATAGTCATTGAGAGATACCACCACTGACTGCTTGGGGACTGGCACTATAATCGATGTCTTCAGGCAGGAGAGAGACAGGAGATTGCCGCTTCTCTTCCAGCATGGGAGACCCTCCGCCAAGAAGCCATGCATGGTGAGGAGGGTCTTTATGTGGCTCTTTCCTCAGGTCTCCCTCAGAAATATTGGGCAAGGGAGTCCAGGGGGATCTTCACTTTCTGAAAGCGTGGGGAGGGAGAGAGTGCCTGGGAGATCTGCTGGGAAGTGGGTCCTTCTCCCTCCCAAGGGGAGCCTGGAACCTTTGAGTTCTCGAAAATGGCCAGGAGATAATTTTTCTCCAAACAAGACCCAGAATGGCAGTGGTGACCTTGGGGCTCTCAAATTCCAGTGCCACCCTGTGCAACTCCTCCCCTCCCCCAGCCCACTGCCGCCTTTGGCGCTCTGTTCTACAGCATTGTTTCGGCACCCCCTGCAGTGCGGCGCCCAGCGTGGCCACACCGGTCACGCCTCCCTAAAACCAGCAGAGCTATTGGGTGCTTCCTGGTGTCCAGGCTGGCAAATGGCCACAGCTCAGTGGTGCAGCACTTGCCTTGCCTACATGAGCCCCAAGTGCAGTAGCATCTCCAGGAAGGCCTGGGAAGGAGAGACCCCCTTCCTGAGGTGCTGGAGAGTCACCTGCTGGACAGTGTGGAGGTCACTTTGGGCCAAGGAGGACCCCACCAATGGCCACTCTTTTGGCTCTGCTCCCAGTTCAGGAGGAGAGCAGGATTCATCTCTCCTTGTCAGGCAGAGCCCAAGTCTTTTTGGAAAGAACAACCCGCTTTAGCTGCCTCTTTTCCAGACCCTGCTGGGATTCAGCCTCTACCTAACCTTCTTCCCCTTCTGCCCTCTTTGCACAGAGCTGTTTATGACGGAGGCCTCCCATCTGCACTCACTGCATATTCATATTGCTCCCCTTAAGGCCCTTTCCACCTGGCCCGGGGGGCTGGGCCCACACTCACCAGCCCCACTGAAGAGGCTCCTCATGAGGCCAGAGGAACATCGCCTGGCTATTGTTTTATTGATTGATTGATTTAATATGCTGTAAACCGCTTTGAGTTTTTCATTAAAAATATAAAGCGGTATAGAAATTTAAAAATAAAGAAATACTGGTGGTCCTGTTTTACCAGTGGATGTATCAGGATAAACTCCAATCACAGGAGGAGCTGTCCCCAATCTACGAGAACTCCTTAAGATCCATAGTAAGCCTGCTTCCCCTCCAGACTGGTCCCCATTCTGTGTCTGGCCCAGGCCTCTGCTTCTTCCTGGGTGGGTCAGGAGCAGAGGGAGGAGGGACAAAAATAGAAGCACAGCATCCAAAGAGCTCTGCCGCAGGATCAGGCCCAAGGGGCCCAGTTAGACCTGCAGCCTGTTTTCAGGGGGGCCCACAAGCAGCAGGGCAGGAGTGCAAGCACAATGCGCCCCCCCCCCCCAGGAATGGGGATTGTTCAGAGGCATCCACTGCCTTGGGCAGGGGAGGATGGAGGTGGCAGCCAGTTGCTGCCTCTAAGCCTAACCTACCCCACAGGGTTGTGAGGATTAAATGAGGAGGGAATCCATGGAACCCTCTTAAGCTCCTTGGAGGATAAGGTGGGGTGTAAATGACATAAACAAATGAGATTCCTGGTCTCTCCAGCACTGAGAAAGTAGTATTAAAAAAAGAGCAGGCCGTCTCCATCCCCCTCCTGTCTCTGCTGGGGTTATTCTTTATTCCCCCACTCCCATTGCCTTGTTCAACCTCCCCTCCCATGTTTCTTCCCTCTCCTCCTAGGTTCTCTGTTGAGGAAAATGAAGGATCTGCAGGAGAAAGGGCCTCTCATTGAGGAGATCAGGGACCTGCTGCTTTCCCAAGGTAAGGATCCCAGAGCAGGGTGGAGACTCTGGCGGCAACTGGGAGGGGGCTGCTTGTGGGTCTCCAGTGGACTTTGGCCCTTGATTTCCTGATTCTCACCAGGTGTGTTTCCTCTCCGCTGCCCCCCTCCTTCCTTCCTTCCCCCCCGTTTGGTGTGGCTGCAAGCGAGGAGCTCCGGCAGGCCGTCCTGAAGTGCAGCTTGCAGCAGGCCAGGGCCCGGGAGATCCTTCAGGAGAAGCAGCAGAGGGAGGCTCGGTTCTGGCGTGTCATCCAGGTAAGCTGTGTGAGAAGAGGAGGCTGAGCTCACGGTAGGGGCCTTCTCAGCTGCTAGCTGGCCACTGTCCCCGGGGGGCTCTTTTCCCATGCGAGGGGAGGGGAAGGAGGCCTGTCCTCTTCTCCCTGCTGCCCACTCCCTGGGCAAATGCAAACGTGCAGGAGAACCAGCCAGATGGTGTAGGTTAGGGGGTAAACTCTAGCTCCATGCCACCCCAATCTCCAGGTGGTGCGAGATTGCAGGGGTTCTGGGGGCTTTCCCTGGGTTTGGTGTCCTTGGAATGAGGGGCGGCCTTCTGTTCTGACAGCAGCAACCCAGCTGCCCCAACAGAGAATTCCCTAAGCATTCAGGAGCTGAGCAGCAAGGCTCACCCCACTGGTTTTGCTGCTTGTGACCCTGGAGGTGGCTGACTTTCTCTGGTGTCCAGAAACATGCTGTCTGTCTGCTTTCTTCTCTGCCTTTCCCTGGAAATTGAGAGCAGCCCTGAATGCCACGACCACCAACTGACCGATTTCCTGGATTGTGAGCTGCAGTGCCTGGCCAGTTACCCTCTGCTGCTGAGTAAGATCATCCAGCACACCAATGGTATAGCTCTCTTTCTCCATGTCTTTGTGTGGTGGGGAGGGTGTCCCAGGAGAGCTGCTGCATCTCTCCATGATTCCATGTTGATATGCTTTCTATCTTTGGGAGATTGTGAGCTGCATTGAGCCTGCCTTACTAGGGAAAGCCAGCACCCAAGAGGGTGATGGGGGGGGGGAGACGATGGTGTGTGTTTATACAACCCCCGTCTGCTTGCATTAGTGCCCCCTGAGGCTGTAGGGCATAGGCCACTTTTTCCTACCAGCAAACAAGGATCCATTTGCCTTGTGCATCTGGGCTGCTGCTGCTCATCTGCCTTCCAGACCTGTTTGCTTTTAAATGCAGCCTTGTTCCTAGTTTGTGCTGGGAGTTGCTTTAAATAAAACCAACTTTGCAGGCAATCTCTGTGCCCCACTCTCTCTCTTTGCACCTTCCTCGCTCAGAGTCAACCTATGAGCACCAGTATCTCTGCCTGGCCCGTGATGAGGTCAAGGAGATCCTGGAAAACATCCAGGATCGGCAGGCAGAGAACCACTGGCAGCTGCAAGTCTACCAACAGCGCCTGGATGACCTATCTCTGTGCAAGAGCAGCCAGCCACTGGCCAGGTAGTTCCAGGTAGAGCCTCCCCTTCACCCTCCCCTCCAATCCCTGGCCTTGTCCCGCTCTTCCCCTCTGTGAATTGCCGGCTTTTTTCTGCCCCTGCTGTGCAAAACCTTGACCTTATGGAGCACCAGCTAATCCAGGAGGGGCGTCTACAGCTGCGCATCAGCAAAAAGAAGACTGTGGGTAAGTGGAAGAAAAAACCTCTCCTGCCAAGACACACCCACGTGTCCACTTTTGGAATCATAATTCTTTTTTTGCAAATATGGGACATTCTGTAAGATGTCCATTATCAACAATGTAAATGACTTTAGCCATTTTATTTTATTTCCTTACATTTATATCCCACCTTTCTCCCATCATTGAACCGAAGGTGGCATGCATGCAGTTCCCAGGTCACCTCATCGAAGCCTTGACCGGACCCAGACCTGCTTAGCTTCAACATACAAAGTGGTCTCATGTGCTCTCAGATCATACCCTGGGACTGTATCATTTGTAACTTAAATGTGCAAATTGCCCACTCCCAACTACTATTTTCTAGAACAGTATTGCTTATGCAGATTTGTTTCAATCTGCATTTGGGAATTCAGCACTACCTTTCTTTTTTCTTAAAAATAATTTTTATTAATCATTTTCTTTGGTTACGTACGTGCGGTAGAGTCTTTTTTTTTAATAGATCAGTTACATTCGAAGTGTGTGAGGGGGTTGATTTTTGGATCAGGTTTGCCATATTAATTCATATGCTGTCAGCGGATTCTTGTTGTTGTCTTGTTGGGCTGTGTATATGATGAAGAGGAACCATACTGGGGTGAAGGCATCCTCTTTTAATTGTCCCCAGGTCAGTTGCAGCCTGCTGGTTAGCTTTTCTAGTAAGGGTGTTTCCCATATGATTTAGTGCCAGCGATCCATGTTCACTCCTGACAGGTCTCTCCAGTGTCTGGCTATGGTGCTTCTGGCTGCTGAGAATAGGTGGGTTATAAGCTCTTTATAATGTGAGTGGGCATTATATTGGAAAATGTTCAATAGGGCCAGTTCTGGGGTGACTTCTAATACCTGTTTAGTTATTTTGTACATTTATTGTAGGACTGCTGCCCCAAAGGGTCGGATTATGGGGCATTCCCACCATATGTGTAGGTATGGGCCTGTAGAGGTGCAGTCTCTCCACCATTTTGGGGAGGTTCCTGGGTGTATCAGCACCAGTTTTGTGGCGTTAGGTACCATCTGTAAGCAAGTTTCAATGTGATATCCTTTATTTTGGCTGAGATGGCTTTAAAGGGAGCTGTAGACCACATTCTAGTCCATTGGATAGGGTTCATTTCATAGCCTATGTCATGCTCTCATTGTTTTTTGATTGCATTGAGGGGGTTTGTGGGATTCCGAAGCAGTATTTTGTATATTATGGATACCAAGCCCCTGCCATATTCCTCTGCTGCCAGGAGAAAGTTTTTGAAGGTGGTCAAGGGCCAATGACTACTGATTTTACTGTGGGATTGTTTAAGAAAGTGTGCAAGTTGGTGGTGTGTTAACAAAGGTATATGAGTGTCCCCTATTTTGTCTTGTATTTCTTGTGTTGATATGGGTATGTTATTTTTGTAGGTGTTTTAGGTAATATAGGCCTTTGGCTTGCCAAGTCTTTATTTGGAGGTTTTGTGCTGCATGCTGGAATAGTGGGTGATGAGCCAGGGGGATTAGTGGGGATGGGATTGGGGACAGTTTACCTAATTTTTCATGTGAACCTGCTTAGTGTTGTGGGGATTTTCGTTAGTTTGTGTTGGAGAAATGTGGTGGGGGTGTTTTCGATTGTGCCTGTCTCCAAGTGAACCCATTGTTTCGTTTTATCTTCTAGGACAGGCATAGGCAAACTCAGCCCTCCAGATGTTTTGGGACTACACTTCCCATCAACTCTGACCACTGGTCCTGTTAGCTAGGGATCATGGGAGTTGTAGTCCCAAAACATCTGGAGGGCCGATTTTGCCTATGCCTGTTCTAGGATGTATAGCATTGTGTGGAGCACTTAGTTGGCAATGTAATATAATTCTATGTTGGGAATTCCCCATCCTCCTTCTGAGGAGGGAAGGCAGCACCATCTTCCTTATGCTTTGAATATCTCAAAACTTGTTTATGCCCATCATGTATCATGAAGAATTCTGTGAAGCTCATATAGCAACCTAAGTCTGACTAGCCAAAGATGGCATTTAACCTATCACGTATCTTCAGTTTTTGAAAAAGACTGCAGCCAGACTACCTACTGAGTTGATATTTTTTGTCTCGCACACCTTAGATACCTTTTTGTTCCTCTTGCAGTTCATCCTGTCCAGCTATACTCCTTCAACTTATGTACAAGAAGAGACAGAATGCAAAATTGTTATTTTTTAACATATTTGTTCATTTATTTTTAAATAAACTTCTTAATATTCTGACATGCAACATTTGGTGTGATCTGAGCAGACAGGAATAAAGTTACAGGGTGTTAGCAGCTCCAGCAAGGCAGCCAAAACAAGGCTATTGCCATTAAGCATTTTGACAGCAAACAGACCTGTAAGTCCCCCATAAGAGCTGCCATCTCCCCACTGCTCCCCCAACCCTGTCTGCTCTGCGTGACTCAAAAGTGGTGACATTAATTGAAGATGTGCAGTGGACTCACTCTTCCCCTTAGGGACATAAATAGAAATAACAGACTAAAGGCCACTGACCCAGCTATCAAGAGACACAAAAAAGGAGCAACCAAAAATGTGTTGATAGCAGCCTCGTTTTTGTCCCACTTTGAAGAATCATTAGACCCCTAGCCCTGCCTACTTGGATGTGCAGTGTTTCTGGTTGGTTGGGACATGTTACAGAACTGACAACCACATCCAGTCTGTCTGCTCCGGAAACTGTATTCTTCCCCCGCTCCCCCCCCCCAAACAACTTTGTCTCCCCTTTATAGAATGGAATGGAGCCCCTGTGTTCCTCATGCCCAGTTGCAGGCTTAAGCAGGGGCTGCCCATCTCCTCCTCCACTGTACAGTCCCCATTATGTGCTCCCTCCTTTGTTCCCAATGGTAAAACATCAGCTGATCACCCTTCCTCATTAACAAGGGATCAGCTCATTCTCAAAGAATAGGCAGCATTTGTATTGTACCTACTGAAGGAGATGGCCAGCAGAGCTTTGAAAGCAACAAGTAAGCAGCTCTGTTTTGCAGAAAACCATATCCCAGCCATCCCTAAAGTGGTCCAGCATTGCCAGGCTAGGATCAGTAAGTTTTGAGGGGGATGCCTTATTGTCCCTCTCTTAGGCAGAAACTTGTTCCTACAGCAGGGTGCTTCTATGTCTGGGTTCTTCAGTGGCAGCCAGTCCCTTAAGGCAACTGAGGCAGGAAAGAAGAAGGGGCACCAGGCTCCTGGACTAAGGAGCAGGGGGCCCGATGAAAGAAGCAAATACATCGTTGTCGAGTTAAGTGAGTAGAACAGAGAAACAGTGGGAGTGAAGCAGCAGCTGGATAAATATACAGGACATGGAGAGAGCAGGACACACAAACAGGGCCCATTTGCAGCAGAGGTCATGGAAAGCCAGGCTGCAGCATGCAGAGTTGAGGCTTCCGTCCCATTTAGAAACTAAAAGAGAAGAGAAAAAGAAGGGAAAGAGAAGAGTAAGTAGGGATGGCCTCAAGACACCAGGCTCCTGCACTCCAGCTGCATGTATAGGAAAAGAGGAAGGTTCCACCTATTATTATTATTATTATTATTATTATTATTATTATTGCTCCTACTAGTCCCACCACCACTGGAAGGTCCCTGGGTGGGTTACAGTAATAAAAAATACAGTATTAGCAACAGTTCAAATCAAATTGCAATCACAACTAGACTGGGTCCACATATTGGTAACACATCACTCCAAATCTCCTAATGACAGCTTAGCAGCTTCACATAGATGTTAAAGCGTATGGGGAACAAGATGGAACTTTCCTGGACACCAAAGGACAGCTCCTATGGCACTGAAAGGTGCCCCCCATACCTACTTTCTAGAAATGCCCCTGGAAGTAAGAGTGGAACCACTGAAGTACAGCGTCTGCAACACCACCTCCCTGAGCCACTCCAGAAGGATACCATGGTCACCAAGAAGAAGAAGAAGAGTTTGGATTTGATATCCCGCCTTTCACTCCCCTTCAGGAGTCTCAAAGCGGCTAACATTCTCCTTTCCCTTCCTCCTCCACAACAAACACTCTGTGAGGTGAGTGGGGCTGAGAGACTTCAGAGAAGTGTGACTGGCCCAAGGTCACCCAGCAGCTGCATGTGGAGGAGCGGAGACGCGAACCCGGTTCCCCAGATTACGAGACTACCGCTCTTAACCACTACACCACACTGGCTCTCAGTATTAAAAGTGCTAAGAGATCACAGAGAATGAGTAGGGCCATACTCCCCACATCTCTCTCCTGACAAATGTCATCAACCAGGGTGACCAAAGCAGTTTCAGTGCCATAACCAGCCCTGAAGCCATACTGGGATGCATACTCAATTTCTTCCAAGCAAGCCTGAAGCTGTGCTGCCACCATCCTTTCTAGCACCTTGCTCAAAATGAGGTATTCACTACTGGGTGATTTAACACTTATGGGTACAGGGAGGTCTTCATAAGGAAGGAACGCACCACTACCTTCTTCAAGATGGAGTATTGACTACTCTGACTCGCAGTGGCTCTCCAGGGTCTCAGGCAGAGAGCTTTTTAACAAGAAAATAAAGGAGAGGGCAAATATATCTCTCTCCCCAGTCTTTCAGGGAGTAACTGTAGGGATGGAAATGCCTTCAGATAAGGCTGGGAATGTCCTTTGTCTACAACCCTGAAGAGCACCAGCCAGTTAGCATGGACAATACTGAGCTAGATGGACCATTGGTCTGCCTTGGTAAAAGCAACTTCCTATATCCTTATATTCCTATGTACACATTCTCTGTAATGTTACCTTTGATGCAACATTTAAAGAGAAAATTTGAACGCTTGCATTGTTGCTGGTAGTCCTGTGGCTTCCTGCTTGTGTGGTGGGTGGGTGGGATGTCAGATGGTGGGCAAGCTGTGGAATGTTAATAGTGGGATCTGTACCATCTCTAGGAGTCCTTTTTAAAGGATGCTGTAGGTATAGGATGTCTTACTTGTGCCAGGCATCTTTTTAATGAAGCGGTCTCCTAGTTCTTAGGGACTATGTTGGGGGTTTGGGCTCTGAAGTTGTACACAATGAGAGAGTACTTGTGTTCCTATCTATGGTCCTGTGCAGCTTGGTAAATCTTGAGAGAAAGTAACAGCATAGGTGGAGAGAGTTGAAAGAAAGGCTTGTTAGATTCCTGAGAAGACACAGTTTTAAAAGAGCCCCAGAAAAGGGGATGAGCCGCTGTGGAGAACAGGGGAGGCTGTACCTGATGGTGTGTTGAGGCCCGATAGGGAAGTTGGTGCTGCTGCTGCTATTAGCTGGCTGCAGTCTCCTGGTGAAGCGGGAAGAGCTTGGCTTGTTCATCAGCTTCAACCCCACAGGGCAGGTCACTTCTACAGGAAGGGACATTTAATGCACGGCAGCTCAGACATCCCCTCTCCCACTTATTCAACTTTCCCCCCCTACGCCTACACACAGAAAGTGATAGTCTTTTTTTGGTATCCAGCCACCCTGAATGACCAAGGGAACTATTTTATTCAATCTATAAGGAACCTCCCTCAGCAGAGTTCCACCCTGCAGTTTCTCACCTGTTATCATTGATGTCTGTGGCATTTCCTGGGCAATGGTCCAGGTGAATAACATAGAAGGATAAAAACGGCAGCATTAAAGTTAGAATCACATAATTGTAGAGTTGGAAGGGACCCCGAGGTGTGCAAAGAGAAGTCAATCCCACTCCCAAGAGGATAAACGCTGTCCACAATATACCCAATACTGCTGTACAAAAGTTTACTCTTGGTTTGGTGGGCTCTACAAAGATCCCAGGCAGCCATCAGAGGCAACTACAGTCAGTTCAAAGAAGTGAATGTATACATCTCCCCGAGGCACTCTCCTGCCCCATGACTGTACATGCATCTCTCACTGCCCCAGCCCCTTACCGTTATCCACATTGAGCTTCTGATAGGAGGTCAGAGGGGCATTGGAGGAGCTGCTCCCACTGCTGGAAGAGGCATTGGTAAAGCTGGGTGGGTGAAAAGCAGAGAAAGTGATTTGTGAGGGCTGAATGGAAGTCTGGGACTCTTTCCACCTATGGTCTGGTGGGGTGGGGGGAAAGGGCTGATTGGAGGACTCCAAAGCAAAGTGCTTCCTAATGGGCTTGGGGAGGAAAGACATGGATTGTGAGTGCTTGCAAGATCTGACTAGCGAATAGAAGGAGACCATATGCCCATTGGGGGAGTCACTGCATATAGTCTGGAAACGGGGTGGGTACACATCTCATAAAATCACCAGTGGGAGCAAGAAAGTCCATTTCACAATTTTCCATCCTGACTGCAATAATTATTTCAATAGTTCATATCTCCATGAACATTTATTAAGAATTTTTTTTTTAAGTAGGTTGAACTGTACCAGCTGAGGTTTTTTAATCATCTCCAGCAACAGCTCAGTCTAATAAAATTCTTTTATCCATGATATGCAGCTGCTTACTGGTGAGCCAGAGTTTCTGATCTGATGTGAGGTGGAAAACAGAATATGAACCAGGGGACAAAAAGCCTTGCCTCTTGGTTCAAAAAGGTTGGCCTGGGAATAGGACTAGGCAAGCCTATCAAGTAGGCCTTGATTTAAGCCAGAGGGTGGGATTTTAGTGAGCCATAAGTAGTTTGCACATTATTCTTCTGAACAGGCGAAGGATACTCACTAGCTGTCAGGCACAGTGCTGCCAGCATTCTGCAGGTAGACATTCTGATAGTTCTGGAAGAGGCTGTTGGTGTAGCTGATGCATTCAGGGTTGCGGACACCATAGGCGTTGGTGGGGGATGAAGCTGGGTAGTGCCCTGGCCGCACCGGCTTGGCTGCAAAGGGACACAGATAGCAGACATAGCACAACATATTAATTCATTTATTCATTCTGAGCTTCTCCTCCCCCGCGTAGCTTAGCCAACGGCTCTTAGAACAGCCAGTGTGCAAGTTTCTTCCTTCCTACCAGCTATCAATGTCCACAGCAGCATCAACATACATGGTATTTTATAGAGTTTCCTAGCTGGAACATCTGAAGAGGGGTGGGGAGGCCTCTAGCACTTTTACTCCTCCAGTGCCTCCTGCATCTGACACCAGAGCCGCAATGAGAAACATCTGGAGCAACCCAATGAGGAAGTCCTGCCCTGTGAAGTACTCAGCTTCTGATTGCTTTGGCAGCCATTAACAGACCAGAAGACTCAGCTGGAATGTCAATACCTATGTCACACTCTAGTAACTCTTGTCCATTTTATTGTATTTTAAATGTGTCGTAAGCTACCACAAGAACTTCAGGGTCCTAGCCAACAAGTCATCCCATTTGTACAAGGACTTGCACTTGTGCAACAGAACTTACCCTCCATCTCCTCCCACCTTAAACTGCCCATAAAAAGAGAGTCTAGAATCAAAGACTAGGGTGATCTCCACTGTCTCCAGGAACTCATCTCATTGTGAGACTTTTGTGGGTGAGCTGAGTTTGTTTGGCCCTGGGTGAGAACCCAGAGGCTGAGATGGAAATGAACTGATACTGATTTTTATATATTATTAACTTTGTAATAATGTAACATTTTTATATGTACCTGCCTATTTTTGTAAGATGTTTAAGTTGTCTGTTGTTGCTTCTTTTTTGTACACCACTTAGAAATATTTTAAATATATGAAGCAGAATAGAAATCAAATAATCAATTCTTATCAGAGAGCCATCCTCACTGAACACAGTGAGATGCAACATCTGAATGTGCATACATAAGGTTACCACAGTACCAGCAATTTCCACATGCAACACCCCCCCACTTGCTGCTTGCTTGCTTACCAATCTGCGCAGAGTGGTTGCGCTTCATGCTGTTCTTGTAGCGCACTGCCTCCTTGATGCGGTCCACCTCCTGCTGGTAGCGACGCTTGTCTTTCATAGCACCCTCCTTAGCCTCCTTCAGTGCACCCTCCAGGGCCTTAACTCTCTCAGCCGTAGCCCGAAGACGTTTCTCCAGTTTAGGAAGCTCACAACGCAAATCTGCATTGTCGCGAACCAGCTGAGCCCCATGAGTTCACAGGGAGAGAAGAGAAAAAGGGAGTATGGATAAAGAAGAGGAGGTCGAGGGGCCTCTGAAGACCCAAAACACTGGCCCTTGCCCTCACTCCCATGCATTTCTACTCTGCCAGTCCTCCAGGCATTTGCCTCCCATTTCCAGAAAAACACTTGCGCCCTGTTTTGGACCCTGTCCCAGAAGCTTCACATGCCCACTTCTCACACCATATATGTTCTGCAAGAATGTTAAACACCCCCCTCATCTCTGGGAAGGCATCCGTGGCCTCTGAGCATCTGGATTCTTACTCTTGTCCTGTGTCTGAACACCCAGCTAGTGAATCCAACACATCTGTGAGATCATACTGTGGAACTAGTCTTGGGCCTCCTAGTTTGAAGAGATGGCAGAGCTCTCAGACATTGAAAGAGTTGCACAGAAGGGCATTTTTAGTAAATATAGTTTCTGCCACCATAGCAGGGCTATGATAATATGGTGGGGGGGGGACATTCCTCCTGTTGCACATCTATTAAAGCAGAGGTGGTTGACCAGTGTCACCCTCCAGATGTTGTTAGACTCCCACCAGCCCCTCAACAACATGGCCAATGGTCAGAGACGATGGGAACTGGAGTTTGACAACATCTGGAGAGTGACCAGTTAGCCACCTCTGTATTAAAGGCAGCATTGGGGAATCTATAGCCTTTCATATATTGCTGGGCTCCAACTTCTATAATTCCTGACCACTGGTTGTTCTAGCCTGGGCAGGTGGGAGCTAGAGTTCAACAACACCTGGAGTGCCAAATGTACTCCATCTGTGATCAAAGACATATGAACCTGTATTCATTAGAACCTATCTTCAGCCTGGATGCTGGTGACAAGCTCCCGTCCATTCAAAGTAGCATCCACCCCTTGCTCTCTCTAAGCTGGTGGGTCCCAGTCTTTGCCCAAGTGTCACAGATCCAAGCCGTGCACCATGCTGCAGCACAGGAGAATACCATGAGGTGCAAATTGAGGGTCTGAAGGTGAGCGCCTCCCTTCTCCAGGCCCAGGCATTCCTTTAGCTCTCCCGTCAAACACAAACTCTATAATCTACAGGCAGGCGGGTGAGCAGCATGCAAGGAGGTCAAGAGCACGGCAGCAAGAGGAGAATAAGCGCGGGGGGGGCAGCCACCAGCATGATTATATAAAAAAAAAATAGGGGAGCCACTGGGAAGCACAGCCTCCAAGGGAGAGGGAGAAAATATCTGAGGTGATAACATTTGACTCCCACATCTGAGAGATTGATATTGGGGGTGGGGGGAGGGCTGGGGGCTTTTGAATCATGCCTTTCCAGAAAACCACAGGGCCTTGATCTGTGAGTTTCTCCAGAGTCCAAAACTAGCCATTTCCAATCTTTACAACACCCCCACCTATTCCTGAAGCAGAGGAGAGAGAGAGAGCCGCTGTTGAGAATTTAGAAAGGAGCAACTCACTTTTATTTCACTGTTTCTTTCCCTTGTAGCAGCTGCTGATGGACAGGCAAAAACTGGTCAGTGTTGCCATGGCAGCAGAACTGCCAGATGCCATAGAAGTCACACATGAGATTGCCAAGAATGGGGCCATGGTGTCAGCCATGCAGGCCACAGTGACTGGGGTTGTCATGGTAGCAGTGAGAGGCCTAGTACCAGATGATGCCACAGTTGTCAACGTGGATAGGCTTGCCATGGCAGTGAAATGGTGAGGAGGAAACAGACACCTGACTGCCCCCCCCATATGCATGTGCTCCCAATTTGGTCACCAAGTGCAAACATTTCCTGCCCAGCACAGCAGGCGGATAAACATGGGGGAGAGGCCATACGGTACCTTGGAGACCCAGCGATCCAACTAGGGTGCAGCAGCGAGGGGAAAAGGGGGACACAGACAGTGACTGAGCACCCTGACAGAGTCCCCAGCCAAACCCTGCTCTGTATACTCAGAGAGGGACAAGTTAAACACCCCAGCAGCAGAGTGTGCCTATGGCTGACTGTATGAAGACAGTACCCATCCTTCCTTCCTAGAGCTGCAAGCAAGGGAACTCCTCTTTTTGGGGCTGAACTGTTGGGTAGGACACACCAGCCCAACATCTGCTAAGTACAGAGAATTCTATGGGGGAAAGAGATAACAGCAGGGATAATGGAAGGATGTGAAAGCTTAGACACACAAACAATCCAGAGAAAGTCTGGGCTGGGAAGCAAGGCAGGAAATGAATACAGCAAATGTCAGTTCAGCATCCATTCTGAGGTTCATTGTTTTCCTGCTCCCACCCAACCTTGGACTGAACCAGTCCATTCCAGTGGTTAGCACACAAGTCTCCAAAGGGGGTAGAACTGTAAAAGAGCCATTCACCTCTAAACACATGGCAAGCCCTCATGATCAATATCCACTTCCTCCTTGCCCCATCATTTGATTCAGGATCTGGAGCCTGCCTACTCCTCCCACCCAGCTACCAAAACCCCCTCCAGTTTGCACAGGAGTCTTGTTTGTAATAGAGAAAGAAAATAAGGTGGCCTGACTCACATTAGTCCTCACTAATGGCTGATCACATGGCAGCCAGGGGACAAATGAGGAACCCTGGGGTGCTTCCAGACTGCCACTGCTTTCAGGTGGGATTCTATCACATATGGGCAAATTCAGGTTGGGCAGTTACAGAGGATTTGGCACTCCTCTGCAACAAACTCACTTCCCCTAAAAAATGACTTTTTGCAATAAGGAAAGTGGTGGGAGAAAGCATTGGAAAGGGGTGGGGTAACTCTTGAAGCAGCATCACATCAATGAAGACAAATAAGAATGCATGCTCAATAAGCAGCCAGTTTTGACTTATCTCTATGCAAACAAATCAGGTTGGCTGCTCAATAAGCAGGATGTCTGGAAGCAATTCTAGTGTCCCCCTCTACAACCCCCCCTCAAAAAAACACAGGTGATTGTAGATGATAACAACATTTTGGGAGAGGAAGTGAATGGGAGGAGCATGTGGATTTGGCATAGAACCCCCTTTCACATCTGTAACATCAGCACTGGGTTGGTGTTGTCCCTAGGCTGCCCTGGCGTCAGTGCCCCTCAGACTGCAAGTTTCCACCAGTGAATTTTATTTCCCTTGCTGTTGGCAAGCTCTTTCAGGCCACATATAGAATTTGGACTCGCTCAACCGTGTAGGTCTGACCCCATGTTTATTACTCTAAAGCCTTGGAGAAGGTACAGAATAAAATGTAAGAAGCATGAGAGGTGAAAAAGAACAAGAGATGCCTTCTTGACCGCACACATGCATGCAACCAGGTTACATGTTCTAAGCCTATTACCCTCATGCCCACTGGTATATAAAAAGCTGCCTGGAGATTCTGGGAATCGAAGAACATGGGTCTTTCTGCAGGCAAAGTGTATATTCTACCTTTCCCCTACTAAGCTGCTCAAGTGCTGTCTCTGTGGCTGCAGGACTGTTACGCCAGAGGTTTCCCACCTTTTAGGCCAGTGAGAATATTTGGATTTTTTTCATGTGTGACATTGGCAGCACTCTCTCTGATCACTTCCCTACCCTTGTCCCTGCACTTTACACATACGGTCAAGAGAGAGAGCAAGCAAATGCACACTTCACTTTTCTAAATAGAGTTGCCACCTTTGGATGGGCAAAATAAGGGACAGGTAGGAGGAATCTGGAAAGAGAGAGAGTTGGCCCGGGGGTGTGTGCAGGTGGGCAACCTCCTGCTTCCTTTGAGGGTTTCTCTGCCACTGGCTACCTCAGCAAGTTTAGGTTAGAGAGAAAGCTCTCTATGGGTTGCTGAGGTTTTTTAAAATATATATATATTAAAGATTTCTTAGTTTACAAAAATACGTGCATTGTCTATTTTTTCAAGCTGTGTTTCCTACAGATGAGTTTCATTTGTTGTGAGATATTAGTGCTGCATACAGTATAAGGTTGGTAAGAAGAGAGGGGGAAAGGGAGGAGGGTAGGGTGGGATGGTAATGCTTCTATTCTTCTACTTAGCGTATGTGCCGGGTTTTGTGTCAGCGTCATTTGTGTGGATTCTCTTACTATTTTGTTTAGTCGTTTAGTCGTGTCCGACTCTTCGTGACCCCATGGACCAGAGCACGCCAGGCACTCCTGTCTTCCACTGCCTTCCGCAGTTTAGTCAGGCTCATGTTTGTAACTTTGAGAACACTATCCAACCACCTCGTCCTCTGTCGTCCCCTTCTCCTTGTGCCCTCCATCTTTCCCAACATCAGGGTCTTTTCCAGGGAGTCTTCTCTTCTCATGAGGTGGCCAAAGTATTGGAGCCTCAGCTTCAGGATCTGGCCTTCCAGGGAGTACTCAGGGCTGATTTCCTTAAGAATGGATACGTTTGATCTTCTTGCAGTCCATGGGACTCTCAAGAGTCTTCTCCAGCACCATAATTCAAAAGCATCAATTCTTTGGAGATCAGCCTTCTTGATGGTCCAGCTCTCACTTCCATACATCACTACTGTCTCTTACTATTAACCTGTTGTATTTCCTTGGTGGTGAGAGAAGTTGGGACTGGCCTAGGATTTGGTTGGTTGTCTTTGGTTGGCTGTAGTGAGATTTGTTTATATGTGTGTGAGGGGATGGATTTTTGGATCAGGTTGGCCATATTGAGTCATATGCTGTCAGCGTATTCTTATTGTTGTCTTGTTGGGCTGTGTATATGATGAAGGGGAACCATACTGGGGTGAAGGCATCTTCTTCTATTTGTCCGTATTTGTGTCAGTTTCAGTTTATTGGTTAGCTTTTCTAGTAAGGGTGTTTCCCATACTATTTGATACCATTGGTCCATGTTCACTCCTGACAGGTCTCTCCAGTGCCCGGCTATGGTGCTTCTGGCTACTGAGAGTAGGTGGGTTATAAGCGCTTTATAATGTGAGTGGGCATTATTATATTGGAAAATGTTTAATAGGGCCAGTACTGGGGCGACTTCTAATACCTGTTTAGTTATTTTGTAGGACTACTGCCCCAAAGCGTTGGATTATGGGGCATTCCCACCACATGTGAAGGTATGGGCCTTTGGAGGTGCAGCCTCTCCAGCATTTTGGTGAGGCTCCTGGGCATATCAGCACTGGTTTCTGTAGTGTTAGGTACCATCTGTGAGTTTCTGGGTGAGTTCTTTTCTTTTAGCTGAGATGAGCTCTCTAACTATGGTTGAAGCAAAAGAAAACCAGTGTGAGTGAGAAAGAAATGGGGGGGAGAGGGAGGGGTAGCCGCCTGCTTTCTTTTAGAAGAGCTCGTTTCCTGGGCAAGCCGCTTACTGAGAAGGCAAAGCAAAGAATTGGCTTTGAATGAGTTGTTGCCATTGTCACTCTTTGGCTGAAGCTGCTGCTCCAGGAAACAGTTCCCCCGTTCTCTTCGAACCACTGGCTAGCCTGGAGTGTCAATCAGCCAGAGGGTGGGTTTTACTTCCGAGATGTCTAGCAATCTTGCGGCATGACAGTAGGGCAGGAGGTGGCACATTCCCGCTTCACCTCAGGTTGCAAAATAGGACAGGTCGCCCCTGCCCACATCAGCACCCCATACACAGTCAGAAGAAAGATACATAAACAACACAGAGCCTTCCCACTTAGACCCAAACGCCACTCTCAGCCCAAACACCACCACTGCAGGGGGGTTGCTTGGCAAGCGTTTCTCGGCAGTGGCACAGTAAGATGGGCAGAATGTTGCAGGTGGGCAAAACAAACGTGCAGATAGCTCAGCACAAACTGGAAGTCTGTGCCTATTTTAGGAGCTGCCCAGGATCTAAATCTGGCACCATACCAGAGCCACGTTGGCAGGAGTGGCTCTGGTATGGTGGAAGGGGGAGAAGATCTAAGTCAGGGATGGGGAATCTGTGACCCTCCAAACGTTGATGGGCTATGACTCCCATTATCCCTTACCATAAGTCATGCTGGCTGGACCTGATAGAAGTTGGGAGTCCAACAACATCTGGAGAGTCACAGGTCCCCTGGTCCCTGAACTAAGCAAAAACCGTACTAAATGGTGTAAGCAAGGTTTGATCAGGGAAGGGGATAGCCACAGAGACAATATATCTAGCAGGGATGAGTGTATGAGCCACCCATGCAGTGCTTTCTGCCAAGCTGGTTTTGCGAGTGGAGGGGGGTGGGACTGGGAGAAAATCCAGATAGCGTTTCCAGCAAAGTAGAGGGTGTCATGAAGAAACATTCACAGCTGCTACAATACACAGAGACAATGCGGAGTGGGGAAGGAGGGGGGGAGGCTTCCCACCCAGAGGGCTGAGTGTAGATAAATAAATAAATAAACAAACAGGGCTGCACTCACCAGCTGTCTTACCTTGCCCAGATGGTTCTCCACCCCCATCCACCCACCCCACTTATGATGGTTCTCCAGCTCCCATCCACCCACTCACCTGTTTGTGAACTTTTGTAAGCTGCTCCAAGTTGTTCTCAAGAAAGGAAATCTTCTGCTTCTGGGAATGAGCCCCCCCGCTATCCTCGGGTTCCAGCTCCGCGCTCTGGAAGGCAAATACAGAGTGAACTTGTACCTCTAGGAGCGTGAATGGGATGGGATAGAAAACCCAGCCAAAGTTATGCAGCCACACAACCAGAATCCAAACCCAATCCCTTCGTTTGATTGGCCAGCCCCAAAATAGGCAGGGTTCTGGGAGGCTTCCTTGGGTGGCTTGCTCCAGAATAATAAGGAGGCTATTATGGTGGTGGTGGTGGTAGTGGTGGTTGTTATTATGAATGATATAATGAGGCTAGCATAGGATTAAGGACAGCGCTGGTGTATCCTGGAATGGGAGACACAGCTGGCTCTGAATGGGCCAGAGCATGTGGAGTGACTTGCTGAATTTCCAGTAAGAATGGAAATGGGTTTCCTGGGGAATGTGGCCTGCAGGCAGGTTTGGGGCCCCATAGCTCCCTCTTTAAAATCAAAGCACTGGTCAGTTTTAGAGTTGACTAAGGGCTCAACCAGGTTTCCTTTTGTGCTGCTGAAAGCCAAGGGTTTCAGAAGTAAGCAGCTAGTGTAGAGCAGAGCTGTGAAGCGGGAGGTGCTTGGATCAAATCTTGCCTCTGCCATGATGGCCTTAGGTGAGCCACCATCTCCCAGGCTTAGCCGACTCCTTCAGGGTGCAACATAGGGCTAGCGCCACTAACATGCCTTTAAACATTTGTTATAAGGATTTCTGAGTGTATGTGAAGGGTTCTCAACCCTCTAAAGTGTTTGTGGGGAGCCTGTCATCCTCCAGTTATTGCTGGACTACAACTCCCTTCATCCCTGATCACTGGCCCATGCAAGTTAAGGCTGATGAGAGGTGGGAGTCAGGAGGGGAACAGATTTCCCTAGGGAACCCTGTATAAATGCTGAATAAACAATGAAGTTGGCTAAAAGAACAACAACATACTTTCTTAACTCGAGTCGTGACGTCTTGAACGAACAGCTTGCGAAGGTTGTGGAGGGTCTGGAGTTCACGGGCCTGGAGGGGTACGAAAAGAAAGGCAGGGATGAAGTGGTGAGACAAGACTGGGGGCTTCAGCCCAGCTCCCTGCCCCCATCCCCCTGCCCCCATCCTTCACTTCTTCTTTAGCTACTTACAACAGTCTCCTCCAGCCCTTTGAGGTCCTGTTTGGACTGCTCATGTCGCTCATACAGAAATCTGTGAAGAAGATAGACAGTGATGGTCAAAGCGGTATGTGGAGAGTGGGGAAGAAGGGTCCAGTTGCGCTCCTTGAAGCAGAACTGGCAGTGCAAGGATCTGCTGTCCCCTATGTCAAGGACTAGACCCCAGCATCTGGCAAGGGAGGGAGGCAGGCACTAATCAGGCCCCTGATCACCATGATCAAGAGGTGGGCAAATTTTAGGAGGGGCCTGGACATATTTGCAAACCAGATAAACTGTTGCGGGTGCCACACACATGCTGCAACTCTCTCTTCCCCTGCTGTAACCCCCCTGAATTTTCCCAAATTAGGCTGGGGTGGGGGGAATCTATTGGTAGAAGAAATCTTCTTTTGAGACCAATTCCAGCAAGTTGGAGGAGACCCTGTGGGCACCAATGAAAGCTTCTGCAGACACATATGGGCCCACAGCCTCCATACTGGTGACTCACCCATTGGTCCTTATCACCCATTGATGAGGGCACTGATATTGGGGGGGGGTGACTTGGTGGTGGAAGAAAAATGGAGAACTGAGCAGGAAGCTGCTTACCCCTAGTCTCAAGGCATGCACAGGCAGGTAGAAATCTCTCATGAGAGGGGATTTGAGTTACCACTTCCCTAGCGAGAGCTCTAGAATGTTACAGAGCATTCTTCCTATTCCATGGAGGCCCAGAACCTGCATGTGGAGCTATGTGCTTATCTCTAATTAGGGGTGCTTGAAGTGGAGGAGAGGGAGATCGTGCACAAGGGTTTAGGAAAGCGGAATCTTGGCTAATGCCCGCTCCTAAAATCTGTTAAGAGTTTCTCAGCACTGGGGCCAATGCGATTGGGTCAGCGGTGGGATGGGAAAGGTGCACACTATAGGAGTGAGAAATGAGAAGAGCATTCTGACATCTAGCTTCTACATCAAGGAGCAATTTCCCTGCTTTGCACTGGTCTCCTCTTTTACCAGGAAAATGCTCAATCTTACACCCATTTCTATTCCTCCTTTTAAAGTTACCTATCTGTAACTGCAATAGAGGACCATTCCACACAAGTCTGCTACCAAGTATGCATGCAAAAGAGATTTGCAGGCAACTCTGCTTCAGTGGTAAGTATTCCTATATAATACACCCATATTTGTCAACATGTTTCTCTCATTCCCAAACTACCTTGTCAAGCATAAGGCATGGGAAATCAGCCTTTGAAGTGGCATGTCAAAGCAGGAGAAATCTAGGATATTGCCTTATATCGGGTCAGATTGCCTAGGCTAGTATTGTCTACTCTGACTGGCAGCAGCTCTTCAGGGTCTGAGGCAGAGAGTCTTTCCCAACACTTTCTCCTTTTTAAAGTGAAGGCTTGAAATTGGGAACCTCTACATGCTAAGCATGTATTCCACCACTTAGCTATGCCCCCTCCACCCTCTAAGCACAGTAGGTCAATATCAGCATTCCCTCTGTGGTGCCCTCCAGATGTTTTGTACTACAATCCTCATCAGCCTCAGATAGCATCATGTGCTGGCAGGAATTGTAGTCCAAACCACCTGGAGGGCACCAGGTTGGGGAAGGCTGGTCTAGACAGAGGTGGTTGCTCTCAGATGCTGGCTTTTGTTTCTCTTGTGGTTTGCTCCTTGGTTGGGATGAGCAGAGTCCGCTGAAAGTGTCTGGGAAAGGAAGGGCAGCAGGGCCTTCTCACGTCAGCTCCTGTAGCTTCTGGGATTTCTCCTGTTCCTCACTCTTGAGTTTCTCATAGTCAGCACGCAGTTTCTCCAGTTCAAGCTCTAATTTCTGGTTCAAGCTAAGCAGGGATAGAATAGAGAGAAAAACAGGGACACTAACACAGGGACAGCAAACACGTCACTTGACTCCCGTGCTTTCTTAAAGGTCTTATCCCCCTCAGATCAACACAGGAAGCAAATGTTAAATGCTTGAGGCAGAGAGAGACGAAAGAGCCCTGGCCTGCAGTCCTTGAGAGCCCCCAAATTGGGACAAAGCACAGACACTGCTGCTTGACTCACCCACTTGCTTAAGCCTTTCCACTGCTACCAGTCTTGGACACATTCCTAGCCCTGACAACCTGATTTTTAACCAGGTTAAACCCAATAACTTTGGGAAGTGGAGGGTGTTTTGTTTCAGGGGGAGGGGGTTGGTCAATCCCAGCTTCCTTGTCAGAACCCCAACTCTTAGAAGGGGGAACAATCACATTTAAAATTGGTTCAAGTTTGTGGTCCACATATGTCCCAAGCTGTGAGAGCCTGGCTCAAGCCCTGAACTGGCTGCCTGGAGCTCCTTACTGGATATGTGCTTCCTAAACACCTCCACTCAGCTAGCTTTATATCACACTAGGGGCATGGACTTGCATCCCACACACCACAACAGCTTTGAGCTGCATTGCCATTAGCCCCAAAGTGGCTCCTGCCTCACTCCTGGTTCTGACTTTCCTTCTGGTTCTTACCTCCTATAAGCTACGTGGCTGTGGTTGGTTTGTCTCCTCTGCTTCTCACAGAAGCCCAGACCTTCCAAGCCTTGCCTCAGCTCCAACCCACAACAGCCCCCCACCCGGGCCCTGCTAGTACGCCAAGTCTCCCAACTTCTGCACAGCCTGTCTCATCACGAGACCCACCCACACTACGTGGTGCACCACATCCCACCCATGGAAGAGACTTGGCCCATCCTCAGGATGACTCACTCCTTGAGCTCATCGATGATCTTCTGCTTCTGGTTGATCTCATCACGCAGTCGCGCCAGCTGTTTGTGGTGGGCCTCACGGTGGCTCTCCAGTTGCACTTCCAGGGCCTTCTGTGTGATAGGGATGAAACAGGTCAGAAAGGCAGAAAGCCAAACCCAGGAACATGGCCACACACACCTTGGATCCTCTCCACAAGTACAGAGGAAGCTGCCTTATTCTGATTCAGGTCATTGGTGCATCTAAACTCAGTAATGTCCACACTGACTAGCAGTGGCTCTTCAGGGGGCTACCTCGGCCCTGCCTGGAGACGCCGGGGATTGAACCAGGCAGGACACTGCTGTGATACGAACCTTCACTTCATCTGTATCCTGGATCAAGTCCTTCTCCTTGCCCACTTCATGAACAGTCTCTGTGAAAGAGAAGGAGGAGGATAAATAATCCTTGGGGTACAGCCAGAATTAGAGACATGGCCATCCTATCCCTTGAATTTACCCTGTGACCTCTTGAGCGTGCAAGTCACTGTCACAGCTTAATCTCTCAGCTTCTGTGCAGCCATGGGGTGGAGTCCATGTCCATTTAAAGAATAACACAACTAATCAACTAGCTCATCTGTACAGTAGAAATTAAAATGGCCTGCCTCACAGGGTTGTTGTGAGAGTAAACAATGAAGACCATAAAACACTTTGAAAATGAAAAAAAGCGCTTGAATCTGCTGAAGGTTGCTTGTCAGCAAACTAGATTGCAGACCCCAGTGTAATCAGATGATCAAGGATTCTGCTTTTAACAGTCAAACACATTATGCAGCTGTCTCCGTCTTTCTTTCTTTCTTTCTTTCTTTCTTTCTTTCTTTCTTTCTTTCTTTCTCTCTCTCTCTCTCTCTCTCTCTCTCTCTCTCTCACACACACACACACACAAGCACCATTTTCTGGCACAAATGTTGCAACCATTCACATGTTCTGCATCAGATATAAGCCAAGGCACAGCCTAACCTTGGGCTTGCAGTTTAGCTAGCTCTTCACTCAGAGTGTCATAGGATTCCTCCAGGTTCCTCTTCTTTAGCTCCACACTCTGCATGTACTCCGTAAGTGAGCGGATCTTTGCCTCATGCTGGGGGGTTGCAGGGAGAAGAACAAGCAAGAGATAACTTTTACAGGTACATCAAATACAAAGGTGCATTTAACAGCCTATCCAGTTTGACCTTGAGCCACCCTACAGCACCTGCCATGCCCCCTGGTCAGGACAGGACAGCAAATAGGTGTTAGCATATTTCTCAGAGAGCAAGGTTGAAGCTACTGTCAAGGGTGTACCCCACAGCAAACCTGAGTGTGCAATGGCTTTCAAAGTCCTCACATTGGGGAGACAGGCTTGCCAGCCTCCCCAAACATTAGTTTTGTGGAATGCAACCAAATGTATCCCTTTCAGCTGAGAGGTAAGCTAACGGATCCAACCCTGCTGGAATGCTTTCTCTGAATTGGAAAGGAACTGATCCAAGACCACAAAAGCTGCTAGAATTAGGTAGAAGTCACCTGAGCAGATGGGATGGAACCACCTTGTAAGTGATCTCCTTCCTGCCCCCACTAGGAGGAAAGAGGAAGCCTGTTAAGTCAGATATCTTCTTGGTCAGATTTACTTTCCTTTTGCACTCTGGTTTATAAGGATCTAGAACAGGCAAGGGGGAACTTGTGGGCCCTCAAGTGATTAAGACTCCTATCATCCCTGACTGCTAACCACGCTGGCTTGGGATGGCAGGAGTTGGGAGTCCAGCAGCACTTGGAGGACCACAGGAGCCCCACCACTGCTCTTGAATTAGAGAAAGATGCACTACCCTAGCTGCCCCCATTTGCCCTGGATCAAAGCAAAGCCCAGCCTGTCTCCCTGGGTCGAGGTAAGGGCAATCAGTGCCTATGCTTCCGGATGTTTTTGTTTTTTAGTATTGGGAAACACTGAGGGCCTCCCCACAATCCTTCTACCTCAGGGGTGGGGAATCTTCAGTTCGCAGGTCAGATCTGGCCCAATCAGCTTGTGAAGCCATTTTCTCCAAACCACATCCAGCTGCCCCACACCTGTTGTCAGGTGTGTAGCAGTAGAGACCTGGCTGGTTGGCTGCTCATGCAGCAGGAAACAGGATTTAACTCCTCATACATCTGCAGATGCATGAGGAGTTCAATCCACTTGGTTTGGATTTGCAAGGGACTTCCCCATGTGCACCCTCTTGGTGCACCCTTCAGAAAGCAGGAGATCAGTCCTCCTTGATCACAATCTCCTTGCACAGGCCAGCTTTGAATGGTGGGCAGGATCACCAACCTGTCAAGGTTGGGGCAGGAAAATAAAGGTCTGGCCTGCCAAGCCAAAAAAGGTTCCCTAACTTGTTCCACATTCTCAAAGCCCCACTTCCCCATGACTGCAGTTCTTCTGTCCTGGCTCCCACAGGTCTGACCTGAGAGATGAGGAGCTGGCAGGAAGACAGTTCTCGCCCTGTCACCTCCATCTTGCGGTGACACTCGACTTGCAGTCCCTCCAGTTGCCGGCAGCGCTTCACAACAGACTTCACCTCCGATTTGATCTTGCTGATGTAGAGCCGGGCAACGGTGAATTCCTCCTCAATGGCACCACTGATCTCGACTGGCTGAGAATGGGGAAGAGGGAGAGTGGGCATGAACGCACTGACCAGCCTCTTCCAGCCAGATCTGTTTGCTGAGCATTCACCCTGACTCTTTTTCAAAATGTCTGCCCGTAGGGTATAAATCATCACTTCAAGCAATTGTTATCCCATGATTCCCGGGGCGTTTTCCTATCATTTTCCTTACCACAAAAAGTTCATTTTTTAAAAAGTGGGCTTGATGGACAAGAGCACCAAAACCAGTTTAATTGAATACCCTAAATTTGCTGGGATATGGCTGAAAACCACCCTGCAACATACCGACAGTGTTGAAGCAGCCACTGTCTGGGGCACACAGTTCAACCACATGACCCTTGCAAGCAGAGCCATTCAAACTGGTTGCTTCCACATTAGCTATTTAATATGGATTTGCCACCCTTCATTCCCTCTTTTTGGACTGGGAATGGTTTAACTCAGAGGAGAACTATTGAAATTAATGGGCCTAAGTTAGCCATGTCTATTAATTTCAGTGAGTTTTCCTCTAAGGCTAACACGTGATACAACACTTGGATTCCAATGGTTTTCCAGGTTGTCCTGTTTCTTTTCAGACCTGGTATGTAGAAATCCCGCCTCACAGCTTAACACACAGTTATAGTACCAGCCTGCCCAGAGGTGGCACCATCAACTCCAGTTAACCCTTGTGTTGCTATTTTCTGTAATAAAAGTAAAATTGGGAAGGGCCAATGCTGAAGCTAGGAATCTCTTGCAGGTCCATAATACATACAATATTGTATATTCTCACCAGGTGTTCTTCCCAAGTGTCTCCCCTCTTTCTTACCAGCTTGATCTCACCATTGCCCACGATGACGCTGAACTCGCTCAGATCCTTCATGAGGCCATTGAGGACCTCAGCAATGCGCTTGCGCTGATGCGCGCTGAACTCCTGCAACCGCTGCAATTCTGATTCCAAGGACAGCATGGTGGCCTGCAGGGTGGGAAGATGGTTCAGCCAACCCAAGAAAACTGAACTTCTGATTTGCAAACAAGGAACCCTCTCTTTTGGCAGGATAAAGGGTTAGGCTACAACTCCCATCAGCAGAGGCTTATGGGATGGCTAGGGCAATGTGAGTCATAGTCCAGAACAACTGCAGGACACCAGGTTGGCAAAGGCTGGGTTAAAGCTTCCCTCCCAGCTCTGTCATTTGAAGTGGACCAGATTCTTTAGAAGGATGCTGGAATGAAGCTATATGGCTTTAGCAGGAATGTTATAAAGAATTAAGTAAAAATAGATTGTTAATGGACCAAAGTGGAAAATTTAAGGTTAGAGTGTCTTAAGTTAAATTTTAGAACGAAAATTGAGAAAGATGGAAAGGACTTGCTGAAATAGCTAATTGAACTCGAATACAAAAAAGGGAGGTGTGAGGAGGTCGATGAAGCAAGTATATGAAAGGTAAAGACATGGAAAAGTTGGATGTGTTTTTAAATATTTTTGTTCTGTTTTTTTGTTATTTTATTGTATTGTTTTTTTGTTTTTTTGTTTTTTTTTAATGTATTGTAAGATATTGCTTTGTTTTGTTTAATTCTTTATTGTTCTTTTTCTTTTTCTGTAACTTGCAAACTCCTAATAAATATCTTAAAAATAAAAAAAAATGAAGTGGACCAGATTCTGCAAACAGAAGCCTCGGAGGGAAATAAATGCCATATCACAATGCTAGTACAATCCATTCCTGAAAGTTTAGGTCAACATTTTCTACGGAACTCTTGATTCACATGTTGCAGGACAAACAGAGGCAGTTTTAGTGTAGTGTGACAGGTGCAGTCGCACTGGGTGTCGCACTGCAGGGGGCACCAAAACAATGCTGTAGAACACAGTGTGCGAGGTGGAGGAGCACTGAATTTTAGCGTCTCTCGCAGGATGCCACTGAAATTTGAGAACCCAAAGTCCGCCACTGGACAAAGCCTTCAAAGGAGCACTTGCAAGGAGCGCTTGGCTGAAAGCAATGGACCTGAAATTGGATCTAAACTGAAGTGCCTCAGCAATCAGAAGACTAAGGGTGAATGGGGGCTTTCTCTGCTCTAGCTCTGCCTCACTGAAAGACTGTTGTGAGTTCACTCAAAGGCAGGACTGAGTACATTCTACACTTGAAAGAAGAAAGATTAGCATTCTGCACCAAGAATAAATGAATTCTGCAATCTGTATAAATTATGCAAATCAAGCTCCAGATTCTCATACTCTTAATAATTTTTCTTTTTTACTGTTTTGAGTAATTTATACTGCTAGTACTAGTTATGCTGAGGAGTAAGGTGCTATGTGGAGGACAGAATCCCCAACAACAGGAAATTTTATTTAAGTGCTCTTCAGACTCCAGAGATTTTAGCAGACATTGGTCAGATGCTTTCAAGAATATTTTTGCAGCCATAAGGGGTAGATACTTGATTCTTATTTTAAAAGCTGAAATTTTCAGGAAGGTGAATTCACCCAGTTCTGCACTGTGCACTTTTCCTATGCTTTTGCAGCACTGTGCACTTTTCCTATGCTTTTGCAGAATTGCAGAGTATATGCGTGCGCACACACACACACACACACACACACACTATACTCTTGAGGACTAAGCCAAGATTCAATGTGGTCCTGATCCTCCTCTACCAAGGGATCTCAAGGTTTACTAACCCCAAGGAAGGACCTGGCATCCCAGCACTTACCACCTTCTGGGACAGCTCATCCACCAGCAGCTGATTCTGCTGGTTTTTCTCTTCTACCTCCTGGGATTTCTGGTCGTAGTTGACAGCCAGCTCTTCCAGAGCTTGCAGCACCTCCTTGACCTCCTCCTTGGCTGAGTCGTTCTCTGACTGCAAGTGGCTTAGCTCACGCTGCACCTTTTCATTGTCCCCACGAGTTGACATTAGCAGCTGGTGGGGAAGAGGCAGAGAATGGGATAAGGAAGGACCCAGTAAGCCAAAAGTTGTCAAGGGCAGTCAAGAAAGAAGCAAGACGGACTGAACAGGAGGCTCAAATAGCGATGATGTGGGATAGACAGGCATCCGAACAGAGTGCGATAGAGGAGTGTCAAGAGAGAGGGCTCGTCCACTCTTACCTTTTGCCCCATGCTTTCTACACACAACTCTGCTCTTTCCCAATCTATGTCCAAATGCTTTTTTGTTTTGCCATGCCACTTTCCCCAGGAAAATCCGCTCTTTAATTTGGGACAAAGGGCAATGCAGGTTTTCCATTGATTGTCATTTGCTCTGATTCAGTGGTAAAGAGTGAGAATTTGAGGAGAAAGCTCCAGGGCAAAAAAAAATATGTCTTCTCAGACAGGTGCCTAGAAATGTGGAGCAACGGTACGTGTGGATAAGCCAGAAGATGAAGAGAAAGAGAGTGAGCATGAGTGTGGCGTTTGCCTCCTAGGGTGGATCATAAGGAAAGGGTTAAAATGGGTGTGATATGATTGGCCAGTGAGAATGCAAGGGGAGAGTAAAAGTTAGAGTGGGGGGTTTTGAAAGTAAGTTGAGGTGTGGGAGTTGAAGAAGGAAGAGGGAGGTTTAGGTGTGAGTTGGTAGAGTTGTATTGTGAGAGAGTGAGAGGAATTGTTAGGTGGAGTCAGATAGATAGTTGGAATAATCAGTTTGGAGTTGTTAGGAACTAAGAATAAGAAACTGACAAGAGAAAAATTAACTGAAACCATAAGCTTGTTCCTGCATTTAAAAGTAAACTTGATTATTTGTTTATGTTAACAACTGACTGGACTCCATGTGTCCCCGTGAGATAAGGGGTGGTGGCAGCGGAAAAAGCAATCGCAGTGGCGGCACAGGGTCAATAGACCGTCAAGCGTCCGGGGGCCCTGTGTGTGATCACCACAATGAGAGAGAAAGCATGCAAGCTGGAATGGGGTAGTGGTTAGCATATTCGACTGGAATACCAGAGTTCAAATCCCCCAGCCTAAGCTACCTCACAGGGTTCTTGTGAAGGCAAAATAGGAAGGGGCACCATAAGTTCCTTGAAGGAAGGGTCAGATATGACTGCAGCATGCAAGTATAAAGATGATATACTCAATAGAAAGAACATAGCAAGGAGAGAGACAAAGTTCACACCAGCATGCATGCACATACATGTCAACATAGAAGCAAACTCTTGTAAACAAACACATACAGCACTGCTCACCTCCTCTTGGTCCAGCATCTGCTGCTTGAGCTTCTCCATCAGTTGGCTCTGCTGATTGATTTCATCATCCTGGATGGAGAGGAAACAAACATGTCAGTGGTGGTAGCCACCACGTGCTCTGCCACAGACACAAGATACCAGGCATGGAGAGAAAGGTTCAGGGTCTGAGGTGAGGGTAGAATTTCAGGCATCCAAGCGACCCGAGGGGGAGGGGAGGCTGAACAGCATAAAGGAAGGAGGGGAGGCCTCAGACCTTGTCATCAAGTTGCTTGTAGAGTTTGCGGATTTCCTCCTCATACTTGTGCCGCTCCTCATCTGAGATCCGGATGACAATGGAGGAGTTGTTGTCATTCATAGGCATCTCATCACAGGTATCAGGCACCACCTTCTCATCATCACTCAGCTGCTCTGTTTCTGGGACGTTCTCACCTGGGAGGATTGTTTAAAAAAAGCAATTAAAATAATAAAAAACCCCACTGTGTCCCATCCCCACATGATTTAAATAAGCAGCAGCACCTTATTTGGATGCTGTCATGAAGGCAGCTACGCAGTGCTGCCCCACAACATTGGCCACTCCTATTCTAAGAAATCTGTTTGCCATTTCCTGCCTTTGGCACTTTGAAGAATTGGAAGGTGGTTATATTTTGTATTAATACCCAAGTGCCCTGAAAAGTGCTATCATATATGACTCTAGTTTATTTATTTCAACTTAAACAATATCAACTGATATGTGTTCTAGTAATCAATATCACCTATTTTACAGTGAATCTAAAATGTTATACTGTTAGTAGTGCTGTAACAAATTGCTTGTGTGGAATGTTGTACTATGTTTTGAAACAAACGGATAGTAGGTTGCTGGGAGCAAAGATCAGCTGTGGTTGTCCCCAGATGCAGACATGGTCATAATTCTTGCTACAAGTATTTCTCCACCACCACAATTTTGGTCTGTGTGATGGCTGCTATGATGGGAGGATGTGCAATTATTATTGTATCATTTTAAAAGAAGGTGGGGTAGTTTCCCAAAGGGAAAACTTTCAACAAGAACAAGCCCACTTGTGCCAGAGGACACCTCCCACTCCAAATACATGGGGTGGATGTGGATGGTGATGTGTCCCTTGAAAGACCTGAAACTTTATTACGAATCGGCTTGCTTATGTTGGCTAAAATAATGGATGACATTGCAGAACTCAGATTTACTAGATTTGGAAGGTTTCGATAATCGCTTTGGGTGGCATGCCTACGTGAGATATGAAAAAGGTAAAATTCATAGAGGCTTCCTGAATCATATCATAAGGAAGTCACTATATAAGTTATGGGAAAAGTATAAAGATGTATCGGAACCAAAAACTCCCTGGTGGTTATCCCCTCTGGAGGCCATTGCAGTGAAAAGAAAAAATATGGAAACAAACTGAGCCATGTACAAAGACCTATTAGAAGAAGATAATCAATCGTAAGTGAAAAAATTCGAAGAAATCAGACATCACCTAACGGACTGGCTACAATATTACCAATTAAATGAGGTTTTTAAGATAGACAGGAAAAATGGTTTTGCAACAGAAGAATCAAAATTAGATAAAGAATTAATACAAAATAAGAAACGAGTAATATCTAGAATATACAAGCTTCTTTTAGAGTGGGAGGTGAAAGATGAAGAGGTGAAAGAAGTAATGATTAAGTGGGCAAAAGATTTTGGCAAGAATATCCAATCATCAGCATGGGAAAGATTATGGAATAAAGAATGGAAATTTACGGCCTGTTATCCACTAAAGGAAAATTTCTTGAAGATGTTCTATAGGTAATTAACTCCCAGCAAACTGGCCAAAATGTATAAAATGAGATCTAATACTTGCTGGAGGTGTAAACAGGCAGAAGGGACATTGCTTCATATGTGGTGGGGCTGTAAAAAAATTAAGAATTTCTGGGATACTATTTATGAGGAACTGAAAAAAAAATGTTTAAGCAAACTTTTATAAAGAAACCAGCAGCCTTCCTCTTGGGCATTTTAGATTCAGATATTCCAGATGAAAAAAGGAGAATATTTCTATATTCTACAACAGCAACAAGAATACTGATTGCCAAAAAATGAAAAGGAGAATCAGTACCAAAGAAGCAGATTAACAAAAAGATAAGACAGACATCTATTGGAAGACATCTATTGGGAAAGCTAAGTAATTGGAAATTCAGAATATGGTGGCATAAGTTTTCTTTTAAGAACTTATGGATGTATGTACCGTATTTTTCGCCCCATAGGGCGCACCGCCCCATAGGATGCCCCTAGTTTTTTGGGGGGGGGGAATAAAGGGGAAAAAAATTATTTCCCCCCCAAGCACGGGGCTGGTGCGGGGGAAGCCCGAGCTTCCCCCGACCCCAGCCCCAAGAACAGCCTGCTATCCGCAAGCCTAGGGAGCCCGGCGGAAGTCATGCCGGTCTCCCCAGGCTTGCGGAGAGCTGCGCGAAGCCCGGGCATGCTCTTCAGCGCGCCCCAGGCTTCGGAATGCAGGCAGCTCTGCGCAACCCTCGGGAGACCTACGTGAAGTCGCACCGGTCTCCCGAGGGTTGCGCAGAGCTTCCTGAAGCCTGGAGAGCGAGAGGGGTCACTGCGCACCAACCCCTCTCGCTCTCCAGGCTTCAGCGAAAGCCTGCATTTGCCCCATAGGACGCACACACATTTCCCCTTCATTTTTGGAGGGGAAAAAGTGCATCCTATAGGGTGAAAAATACGGTATGTTCTTCCTTTTTTATTATTTTCCTACATTCTTCAATTTTGTGTGTGTGTTTGTGTGTGTGTGTGTTATTTGTTAGTAAGAAATGGAACAATTTGTAAAATGTAAGAAAACTAATAAAAAGCATTATAAAAAAGAAAGTCCCATGCCTTCTTAAAAAGATGCAACAGAAGTAGATTGAACTGCAATCCAAACACAGCCTGCGGATTTCCTGCTCACCATTGCGCCAGCGCCCTAGCTCAGCCTCCAGCTTGGCAATTGTCTCCTTCAGGACCTTGTTCTTCTCCTTCTCCTTCTCAAACTTCTTCTTCCACTGCTCAGCTGTCAGTTCCAGATTCACCGATGCTGTATTCTTGATTGTCTTGGCCCTGCAGTGGGGCAGAACTAAGCGTAAGATCCTTTACGCAGATAATTGTGTTAGGGATGCCAAATACCCTTCACAGAGATACAGGGCTCCCTGAAGAGAAGGAATTATTGTTAGATAAATTTCCAGCTGTAGTGCATACCCCATATATTCCAAGTGATTAGGAATTTTGCCTTGCCAGGTAAAAATCTACTTTCCCCCAAACTTTTGCTCTTAAATTCCCTGTGCCTGAAGGAAAACTGTGTGTGTTTCTAAGACTTGCAACTTTTCCAGCAACATTCATTTTTTGTCTTTCCCTGCAACAGAACTCAATGAAAGGAGTAGGATGTGGCTGGGTAATTACCTCTGTCCAAACATGAGTGTAGATTTGGTCTCGGCATCATTGTAGCTGGAAGGTGAGCAGCAGATGAACATGGTCGTGCGGCAGTTTCCACCAAGGGAATCCTGGAGGATGCGAGTCATCTTGCTGTCCCGGTAGGGCACGTAGCTCTTCTGCATAAGACAGTACGAAGCAGGCACATTTGACTTACTGGTATTCATGCACTGGCAAAACTGGCCACCAGACACCCCAAAACACTCCACGGCACCCTCTTAGAAGGGAAAGGAAAATTCATTTTACCCAAGTCATTTTGGAATCAATCTACTACTGAATATAAATTTATCCATAAAAATTTGGATATTTCTCAACCAATGGTAGTTAATCTACTATATATTTGGAAAGTTGCTTTTTTTGTTTATTCAATATGCATTTGAATAAACCTCTTAAGATATTGTAACCCATTTTACAGAATGCAGAGAAAAACATGAGTTGAGAAATCAGAGAGAGGAGCTGAGGGAAGTGTTGGAGGAGAGGGAGGGAGGGTTCATTGGGGAGGTGGGGGGAGAAATTAATGAAGATGATTTGTTTTGATAATTTGTTATGTTGAAATTGTTAATAAAATTTATTAAAATAATAAAAAAAGATATTGTAGCCCAAAGTTTGCATGATGGTTCCTAAGATAAAACAGCAGGTTTTCATCTCTGTATACAATTGGGAACCATTTTAAATCAAGATGCCAGACCGAACCTTTCAAAACTGCACTGATTTTAACCATTGGTTTCAAAATGGCAATTTTCTTTTTGGTTTCTTAGGATACCCAAACAACATCAAGTATGAAGCTGCTAGCTCGTTATAGCTGTTGACCAGTAATCATTGTTAATGGAGGTTTTTAAGCAAAAAGAGGTCCATCTGTCATGGATGCTTAGTTGAGATTCCTGCATTGCGTGAGGTTGGACTAAATGACCCTTGGGTTCCTTCCAACTCTACAATTCTAGGATTGTATATTCATAGTGATCTCAAAGTGCCAGTCCATATAGCCAAATGGCATAATCCATGCACAAGACAGAGGGGTCAACAGGTTTGGGAGAATCAAAGGTTTGCAGAATTTAATTTATTTGGGTTTTTTTTTTAATAGAAAACATATCCTAAGGGGGAACTCCCCACAACTGTAGAACCTCTATACCCTAAATCTCACAAGCACCTGCTGCCTTTGCCATGAATCCATGGTGGAGAACATTCCCTCTTGAAACCTTGCATAATCACTTAATTTTCACATTCTTGCTTTTCTCCAGTTAACGGAAAGCATATGTGCTCTCTTCAAATATCATGGTACCAATATTTTTGCTGCTGAGAGACAATTCAAGATAACATCCACTTGTTATTGGTTATGTTTCCAATTACCTTCAGATAATAATACAGAGATTTAATGATATAACACCTTGTTGATTCTGGATTTTAACTAGTTTGCTGCTTTGTCTGTTGAACTTTGACTACTAAATTTAGGCTATATACAAACGTTGGTGACTTTATTTATTTATTTATTTACTAGGTTATATACAGCTCTCTGACAGACCTCCCAACACAAGCCTGCAGCAGGGTTTATCCTGGTCTAAGTGGGCATCTGAAAGCTGGGCTGTAGTTAAGGAGACTGCCCACTGTTCTTTTCCTGTGCCTGAATGCAACACATTTGCCTCCACATTTACACACTTACCTCTGTGGGAAACTCTCAGAGCTCTAATAGCAGCCTGCAGGATATACAAGACTCTTGTGGAGAGCTTACAGGATGTATGCAGCAGTGGTCCATGAGGTGGCTTAGCTTACTTTCTGTTATTCAAGTCCTTGCAGTGTACTACTGGTAGGGAGAGGAGGAAGGAAGAGGTGGTGGCAAGGCCAGCATGGCGCAAACAGGCTGGTGAGGCCAATCTGGCACTCCGACAGACGCATTTGCACCTCACCAAACTCTCCACCACTTCATCCCTCCCAGGACGACACAGTGAGGCAGTAACAGGAGGTCAGGTGAGCACTGCTGCCCTGCTTTGCTGAGCATTGCTGGTTGTATGTTGCTCTAGTTTGTTCTATTTAAGGCTGGCTGAACATGCTCAGACACAACGGCTTCATGTGTTTGGTGTTCCAGTCTAAATAGTGCAAAGCTATTGTCTCCCAAGGAACCAGAGCTCACCGTGCCCTCAGCCAGAGCAGAGATGACATTGCCAAGCGCTGACAGGGACTTGTTGATATTCTTGGCCTCATCCAAGACAGCTCCCTCAGCTCCAGTCTTGCTGACCTGCCAGGAAAAAAGAGAAGCTTGATTACTGTGTTGAATAATTGTTGATAAGTATAATTATTTCAGGCATTGCTGGGATCTGTATAGATTTCCAACATGGGACAGCTAAATCTTTTGTTTATGGGAGAAATTAGACCTCGCCTGACTCTACAACTGGGCCAGGGATACCTGGCACCTACACCCCCTTGAAAAAACCCCAGCACCTTCTCACTGCCAGCCAGATCCACCAGGTAAAGCTTCCCACTCAGTTTCTGTTCAGTCTCCATGTTCTCCTGCTTGATGTTGATGAGGAAGATGCTGTGGCTGCGGGAACTGTGTTCATTCATGTCTGCAGGGGCAAAACAGTGAGAACATGGGAGTGCTAGAACCAAGCCGGTTCCCTATAGGGAAATTCTGAGCAGGGATTTCCTGCACTGGAAAAAAAAATACCCCAACTCGATGCCTATCTAGGCCTAGGGTGGTATTCAATTAAATAGTTTCACAGGCAGAATAGAGGTGTTGTTACCCAATTGTTTGTACACACACTTGTGTCTTTTTCACTGTGGTCTCTGGACAAATGTCAATGCATTAGGAAAAAAACACTCAAAGAGCCATTTGACCAGAGAGAAGAATGAAATGAACATGAGGGAGCCCTGGTGAATCAAGCCAAAGGCTCACCATAGTCCAGCACACTGTTCTGACAACAGACAACCAGATGCCTGTGTGAAGCCCACAGCAAGGCCTGAGTCCATCAGCCACTCTCCTCACTGCAGTTCTCAGCAACTGGTATTAAGAGGCACTTTGCCTCCAACTGTGAACCACTGCAGGCACAGTATGAGCAACACAGTATGGCCTCATCATGTCTTGTCCAACTCTCTGGATAAAGGGGGTATTGTGTGTGGCCTGGAATCCACACATACAAATGCATAAACATTTTTCTCAAATATTTCTTACTTCCCAAAGGCTGAGGCGAGGATGGAATTACTGTGCTCAGAAAACACAAAATGTGAGGCTGTATTAGAACGCTTATCTTATTTTTCTAAGAAAAATAAAGGGTTTATTTGATAAACGAGGGAATATTCAGTCATGCAGACTCGCAGCTGAAATTGTAAGCCCAGGAAGAATGTTATCACACTCTGTGCTGTTTGTGTAATAGCAGGTCCATGTTTTGTGACTTAGGCATGATTGGGAGCAACACCACACACTGCCTCTAGGGTGCAGCAAGATTGTTGTTTATGATTTCACAGTTGGATTAGAGACTCTGTTAAGACGTGGCTGAGATTCACAGAAGCCAGAACACACCTTCCCAAAGCACTGATGCTACACAGAAGCCCCATTGCCACCACAGCTCCCTGGTATGTTACTTACCAATCACAGTCTAGCTCACTGGCCCTCTTTAACCCAAAGTCCATGATGGGAACCTCCATCCTTTCCATATAGAATCATAGAATTGTAGAGTTGGAAGGGACCATGAGGGTCATCAAGTCCAACCCCCTGAAATGCAGGAATCTTTTGCCCAATTTGGGGCTCGGACCCACAATCCTTAGATTAAGAGTCTCATGCACCACTGACTGAGCTATCATCCATCACTTCTGACTGAGGTTAGGGTGTCAGGCTAGCACTGCGAAGACCCAGGTTCACATCAGCACTCTGTCATAAAGCTTGCTGGGTGACCTCAGACTAATCCGTTTCTCGCAGCCTAAACTACATCACAGGATTGTTGTGAGGAAAAAATTGTGGAGAGAGACGTGTTCACTCCTTTGAGGAAAGGCAAGATATATATGTCATAAGTGAATGAATAAACAATACTGTCTATATCTCAGGCTCCACATCTCAGACATTTCAAATTTGACACCTTTCATTTCCACGACCAGGCTCAATTTTTTAAAAAGTAAATAAGTAAATAGAGAAGTCATATTTAATTCCTGGTAATTTTTATTTTCCTGTGTTTGAGACACACTGGAGCAGAAAGGGTATTTCCACGTCACAGATTTAAAAGGGTTCAATAGCCATTCCTGCACCAACAGTATTGAAAAAGGGATCACATTTGACCACCCCAATAGCATTCTGAGGAAAAATAATAATGAACTCACAATAAAAAGGATGTCTGGAAGGGCCCACAACTTTTCAGTGTAGATGCTATAAAGGTTTAACAAGGCTCAAGCACGTGTTGCTTGTCAACCCCTAGGCTGTGTTCACACCTGATATTTAAAGTATCGTGATCCCTCTTTAAACCTTCATGGCTTACTCCAAAGAATTCTGGTTGCTGCAGTCTGCTGTGTGGAGGTTTGTTAGGAGACCTCTGTTCCCCTTCCAGAACTACATTTTTCAGTTCCTCTTCGCAGATAATTCCCCTTTTGTGAGGGGAATATAGGGATCTCCTAAGAACACGAAGCAGCCTTAATAAACTCCAGCCCCCAGGATTCTTTGGGGGAAGCCATGGCTGTTTAAAGTGGCATCATGGTGTCTTAAATGTGGCTTTCGTTTATTAAAGTGTGAGAATCTATTAGGAGTAGCTCTCTCTGCTTGAAACCTGAGCCCACCTCACTCAGTCCTTCCCTTAGCATGAACATAGTACTATCCCAGTGTTTCCTGGGATACAGACCACGCCTGTAACGACTTGCAACCCACCAAACCGCATGCAGCCAGCCTGCCATGGCAGACACCACTGAGGGGTTTGATTATAACAAACAAGTTGTACTGAACTAGTTCAGAGCTCCCCATTCACCCAACCACACCATCATAATCCCTCCGGCCCATTTTTATTTCTCAGAACTCACTGGTAACAGCCACATGACGGTTAGATTTCCCCTCGTCAATGACATCCAGGATTTCTTCAGGGCTCGAGACAAAGCGCTCAGTGCAGCCCTGAGGGGGGGAGAAGAAAAGGGCATTTGTCATAGTATATATGGTGATGTTGACCTCATTTCTCTTTTTTTTAATCCAGGCTGCCACCACCACCACGCCTCACACAGCTCAACCTGGGCAGCTGCCCCTGTCTTCTGGCCGTAGACAGATGCCCTAGGGTAGGTTTCCCTAAACTAGTGCCCTTCTGCATTTTTTAGGATAATAATGTCCATCAGACCCAGCCAGCATGGCCAATGGCAAGGGATGATGGGAGCTGGAGTTCATCACTACCTGTAAGGCACAAGTTGGGGCAGGAGGCCTTAGGATATACACAAAGGTTCGACTGAGGAAGGGAGAAAATTGTGGGGACTGGTTAGACCATGATAATTATACAAAAGTATCTACACCTCTAGTTATTATGAGATTTAATGACCAGCACAGTAACTGCTCTCAAAACTGCCTTTTTGTTAACTTAAACTTGGATGTATCCAAGCACAAGCCTTGGAATCTTACTGAAAATCCTGCCTTCCCATCCAAAGCTTAAAAATGCACCCCTGAGGTAACCACTGGCTAGACCCAACACTCAGGCCACTAGTGCTCTCTCCCTTCCATTTTGGCCAGGAGTGTGACACTTGCCCAGGAATCTCACCTTCACAAATGGTACCCGGTTCTTGTCCTCGTGAACAGAAAGATTGGTCTTGGTCACTATGGGCAAGGAGAGGAGATCATTCAAAGAGGGCACAGTTGATCCAGGAGCATACATTTCACTTCAGTCCTTCACCAGGGCCAGCACCCCAGACAAAATCCCCCCATGTCACTATTTCCTATCAAGCCCTTCTCCTTTACTCTTTCAATGCCCTGTTCGTACCATTTCCCCTCAACATCCCTGATGATAACTCACCATCTAACAGATCACGGATTTTGTCCAAGTAGATTTCAAAGTAGGAAACCTGGGATGGGGAGAGAGAGTAATTAAATAGAACAGACATAAAGATGTGGGGGCCCTCAATTTTCCCTCAGGTATCATCCTTGTGACCACATACCTTTCTAAGAACCACAGTGCTCAAAGTGAGAATAAGTGATACACTCTTGTCACACATCTACACCATACATCTAATCTAAAGCATATTTATGCTGCTTCTGAGCAGTCACGACTTCCCCCAAAGGATCCAGGGAGTTGTAGTTTACCCCTCACAGAACTGCAATTCCCAGCATCCTTAACCAATTACAGTCCCCATGATTCTTTGGGGGGTGCCATATGCATTACATGGAGGGTGTGGATGAAACTGCCAACAATTCCTTGAGAAAACAGAGGGGGAGCCCTGCAGTTGAGGACTGGCCCCTTTGTTCAGTCCTGACCTTTATAGCCTCTTTAAATACAACAGTGGACCTGAGGGCTTATCCACACTTACCTTTTGCCCCACTCTCTCCAGACAAAGGTCCATGCTTTAAAGCTCCATGTCCAAGGATCCCTGCTTTTGTGGTTGTTGTTGCTCCAGAGCTTTCCCCATAAAAACCTGCTCTTTAAAGCTGAATCAGAGCAAACAGTCACCCATGGAAAACCCAAATTGGTATTTACTCCAAAGCACTACAAAGTAGTTTTTCAAGGGGAAGGCTGAAAAAATAAACCACACACATGGACACATAGCTTTTAAGCACAGAGCAGTGTCTGAAAAGTGGGGGTGGGGTGGTAAGTGTGAATAAGCCCTTCTTCCCTGGACTGCTTTGTGTCAGGCCTTGGCTCCCTGCTCCATAGGGTGAAAGGAGTGGAGATTAACCTTTCACTAGCTGATTTGCAGGACCCTTTAAGACCCAAATCCTTCTGGTCCTAGGACCCCAAAGCACCTGTCCCATGTCACTGCTGCCTATGGGAACATGGGAAGTTGCCTTATACCAGGCCGGAGTATTTTCCTGTCTAGCCCAGCTTTGTCTGCTCTGACTGGAAGTGGCTCCTTCCATCATCTCAGGCAGAGAATATTTCCCATTACCTGATTTTTATTTTTTAGGGTTTTTTTACTGAAAATGCCAGGGATCAGACTTGGGACTTTCTTCATGGAAACCATGTGCTCTTCCATTGAGCTATGGTTCCTGTAAAGCTTCTCGATTCTCTGCACTAGTTTTGTCTGGGTAGCTCATGCCCAAGAAATATTATTGAACTTTCCCTCCACGTTCACCAGCTGAGTTCACCTACCGGAGGTCCTTTGCCAGCCCTGGAACCAGAGGATCTGACTCCCTGACCAAGATGTGCCTTTCCAACCATCTCATTTGAGCATCCCACCCATTGCAAATACAGATCCTTTGTTCCCAGTAGCCACCACTGTTGCCCATACCCCTGGCCCCACCGCTATTCCGTATGCCTCTGACCTTAATGTGGAATTCCAGGTTCTCATCCATAGAGTAGATGTGGTTGAAGATGTCCTGGGCAATGCGAGGGATGATACCCATGAGCTGGGGGTCATGCAGCTTACCCTGGAGGAACAGAAACATCAGGATCTCCTCAAATGTTTTAGAGCTAAGCTTTTAGGGGATAAATAGTCCCATCTCCAGGTGGTAAGGTGGCAAGGATCCCCTACCACTGGGGTAGGGAACCTGTGTCTCTCGAGATGTGGTTGATGTACTGCAACCCCAGGACTACAATGCCAGCTGAGACTGATGAGGGTTGAAGTCCAACACCATTTTGAGGGCCACAGGTTCCTCACCCCATTCCACTTTTGCTTCTTGAACTTATGACATGGCCTTCTTGTCAGTGGCTTCCTAGCTATGACCTAGTTTTTTCCATGCCTTATATTATATTATATGCCTTCTCACCTCCATGGTGTGAGTCTTTCCCGAGGATGTCTGCCCATAAGCAAAGATGGTGCCATTGTACCCAGCCAGCACATCTGCAAGAGAAAGAAAGAAAGAAAGAAAGAGGACTCATTTATTTCCCCAGTTGGCTTTCTGCCTCGCCCTTCCTGCCCCTTTATACAACTCCTACTAAATGCCCACCATTTTACCGATACCCAGACTAACCTTTGACAATCTGCATGGCACAGGCATGGTACACCTGATCCTGGGTAGTGTTGGGTGGGAAGACACGATCAAAGACATAAGGCTTGCCCTAGAAGGGGAGAGAAAAGAGAGGTCAAGGGCTACCTAGGAACACCAGAGGCTTATAGGAAATGCCCATTCCATCTAACTCATGCAGCACACACCTCACTGTCCACCTATTCTGTTTCCATACTCAACCAGCTCAACAGCAACCAAATCCTATGCATTCTTACTTGCAAACCCAACTCCAGTGTGCCTTAAAGGTACCCCTGCCCGTACGGGCCAGTCATGTCTGACTCTAGGGTTGTGCGCTCATCTCACTTAAGAGGCCGGGAGCCAGCGCTGTCCACAGACACTTCCGGGTCACGTGGCCAGTGTGACGAAGCTGCTCTGGTGAGCCGGCACCAGCGCAGCACACGGAAACGCCGTTTACCTTCCCGCTATAAAGCAGTACCTATTTATCTACTTGCACTTAGGGGTGCTTTCGAACTGCTAGGTGGGCAGGAGCTGGGACCGAAAGACGGGAGCTCACCCCGCCGCGGGGATTCGAACCGCCGACCATACGACCGGCAAGTCCTAGGCACTGAGGTTTTACCCACAGCGCCACCCGCGTCCCGTCCAGTGTGCCTTAATCCCAAGTAAATCTGCACAGACCTGAATATGGAAGGGTCCCCTCCTACAATCGCCCTCCCAACCCTATTTTTGTTTTCCAAATGTCACGACAAGGCCTTATCATCAGGGGCACCTAGGCTATGGAACTCTCTACCCCATGAAAGCTGGCAGGTTACATCTTTAAGCACCTTACTATGAACCTGTTTAGATGCGGGAGGGCTTTATGAAAATTTAAATTGTGATTGATTTTGGTTCTTGCTTATTATTATGCTGTTCAGATACTTTATGTCCCCCCCCACTTACTGTTTATGATTACATTGTTTATTTAGACACCCATATGCAATAGAAGGTCTAGGGGATCTATAATTACACACATACATACATACTATATACATATTTCTTCCACTCCTCCTAGATAGTCTTACCTTGGAATTTCCAAAGTATTACACCACAGCTTGCCTCTGGGAGATCTAATTATTTACAGAGCTTGGATAAGAAAAGTGGATTTAAAAAGCCCCCATTCCCTCAGCCTTTTTGTCCTGCTGCTATCCCTGGTGCTATGCTACTCTGCTAGGTCTTGCCACAAAACAAACAGCACTACATGCTTTGTGGAGATGCTTCATTTTTTATATACTGTCCACACACTCTTTTTTGTGCAAGCAAGTCCCATCCGCCCCTAGCCAGAAGGAGGTGGAAATCCAGTGAAATCATACAAAGGAACCAGAGGGCTACTTTACCAAAGGGTATGTGTTATTCAGTCTAGACCAGCCTTTCTCAACCTTGGGCCCCCATATGCTGCCGGATGACAACTCCCATCATCCCTGACCACTGGTCCTGCTAGCTAGGGATGATGGGATTTGTAGTCCAACAACATACGTTTGGAATCCAACGTTGAGAAAGGCTGGCCTAGACACTATGGTTCTGACAATTGGCAGGTTTTTTGTGTAAAATGATCCTCTGGGTCTGCAGCTCTTCCCTGATGCATCAGAAAGGGTCCAGCAGAGCCAGGCCAGGCCACAAGACCTGTGTCAAGGAGCCCACATGGGAAGGACCGGCTGAGTTTCTGCCCTTGCGCACAGACTGCTCTGAGAACAGGGAGCTGTCCAACTGCTGGATGCCTTTAAACATAGATTTGGTGGCTGTTCTTAACGCCAAGCCTCTTTGCAGTGGCCTCTGTCCCTCCATTTGCTATAGCTCTGATATGGTTCTCCCAAGAACTGTCAAAAGATGACTCTTAAAATCAGGCACATGCGATGTAATACTTCCCAGTACCAATGTGGCTCCTCCACCCTGTGTAGATCACAGCACAGCCATAGCTCAAGCATCTTGCTTGCTCTTTGGGGCACTCCATCCACTTCAACCTGCTGTTGCACTCATGCTCACTTTGCAAGCTTCCCTACAGGCAACTGGTTCACCACTGTGAGAACAACATGCTGGACCAGATGGGCCACTGGCCTCATCCAGCAAGACTCTCCTTCTGTTCTTATGACTTGTGGCAGGATAACATGTACCTGAAGTGCTTCTGTGCAGTAATTGCTTAACAATCTGATGCATTCCGTTTTGACTATACACGATTTTGTCTTTTGGCACGATCCCTGGAACGTAACCCTGTGTAAGCTGAGAAACGCTTGTATATAGATATCTTCAACTCGGAACACCATGCATTTGAAAAAGTGGACTTTGGTCCACGAAAGCTTATGATATAATAAATTTGTTAGCCTTTAAGGTATCACAATTGTTATTAAAAATCTGAGTGCCTGAACTGAAACTGAGCTAGAATAATGAAGAAGCTTAACAGCAGTGGGCCCTTTAAAAAGTTTGGTTTCTCTGTTTCGAGTTGTTTCACAAGACAGCTGGACACAGTCAGATGTTTTCCCATCAGCACAGATGCCCTCATGGGCAAGTTATTTGTCTGACTTTCCCTTTAAGGTGCCATCAATCTGCCTCTCCAGGAGCCAAGCCTGCTGCTACTCAGTCAGTAAAGGCAGAAGCAAGGTGGGGATGGGAGCAGCTGCCATCACTAGGGCCTATTGAAGGGCTATGGAGGCTCAGGAATTTAAATAGCCTAGAGGGAAGGTGGTAAGTGGCCTCCTGGAGAAGGAGAGACCCAGACTGAGACCACCACTACAGTCCCTTCTGCCATTTGCAGAGAGAGCCCTGAGAAAAGACCTCCCCAGTTTCCCCCAACTATATTGCACTAGGATTTGGGATGACCTGGCCTTTGAGGGTGGCCTTGGGCTATGTGAAAAAGGGTCCAGCAGCAGAACCCCAGAACTTTCATTCTACAAACACTGGAGCCTTGGGAAAGGCGCCATCAAGGATGGTTTGGGATGCATGAGCTGGGAAGAGGTGATTGTTCTACCTAGGAAAGGCAGGTGAGAGTTGGGAGCCTGATCCTGTATGCAATGAGAAACCTCATAAGTAGCTGCACTTGGCTTGTCTGGCCTGCATTGGGGGCTTAGTTTTTGAACTTATTTATCCTTGGAGACCATGGACTCTGAAGCATTTAACATCACACAGTCCATCTGAGCACAAACCATGAAAACACTTCATTCTCTGCAAATTTAGTAGACTATTTTCTATCATTCTTCTGCACCTGCTTCCTTTCCTTATCACATTTTGTGGACACAGAAGTCCATAGCTGTCAACTTTTCCCTTTTCTTGCGAGGAATCCTATTCGGATTAAGGGGATTTCCCTTAAAAAAAGGGAAACATTGACAGCTATGAAGACTTCTGTTCTATTTTTAGGAGAAATATTATTTAAAAAAACCTGGGAAAGAAGGGGTTTTTTTTTTTTGCAAGGGGGTAGAAGAACAGGAAGTGATGCTCTTGTGATTTTCCTTTGATGTACCATACCATTTTCTTGAGACAGCTACACTGCAGCTTGAGACAAGCTGAGATAACAGCCCCCTTCCAACTAACTAGCCTGGGAAAAGCTCTTCATTATTTACAGCCTGATGAGTGAATCACTGATTTCATTTCAACTTCCTTGTCAAAGCAATGAAGGCAGGGGAGGCAGGGAGAGAAAATGGATTCTCTAACATGCATGCAGTGCTAGTGATGTATGGAAGTGAGAGCTGGACCATAAGAATCAATGCTTTCGAATTATGGTGCTGGAGGAGACTCTTGAGAGTCCCATGGACTGCAAGAAGATCAAACGTATCCATTCTTAAGGAAATCAGCCCTGAGTGCTCACTGGAAGGACAGATCCTGAAGCTGAGGTTCCAGTACTTTGGCCACCTCATGAAAAGAGAAGACTCCTTGGAAAAGGCCCTGATGTTGGGAAAGATGGAGGGCACAAGGAGAAGGGGACGATAGAGGACGAGATGGTTGGACAGTGTCCTCGAAGCTACCAGCATGAGTTTGACCAAACTGCGGGAGGCAGTGGAAGACAGGAGTGCCTGGCGTGCTCTGGTCCATGGGGTCACGAAGAGGCGGACACGACTAAATAACTAAACAACAACAAACATGCCGTGCTTGGATACTCTCACCCATTGTAGCTTCTTGCAGGCTCTCCACTTCTTTTCAAATCTGCTTATATTCCTACCCCCTCAATCAGAAAGGTTGATGTTTTTTTCTCCGTTAGGCAATATCACAAGCAGACTTACTTGAAAGTAAGCTTGCTTGAGGCCAACAAGCCTAGACAACAATTAGCCCAACCTAATATTTGGCACTGATGAAACTATCCTCCAACCTTCAGTAAGTCCTTATCCTGGAATCCTTGTTATCCTCTAGGAATCCTTTGCAGCTGGAATGGGAAATAATGAGAACAGCTCAATCGTCCTACTCTAATTGAAGTTTGAATCTGTGAAATTATTTCCCCAACTAATCCCATAATCAGAGATTGATTGATTGATTGATTGATCGATCAGTTAACAATATTTTTTAAAGAGGCACAACGTGCAAACCAACTGCTGTACTGCTTCATGCAGGAAAAAAATTAATTTGTACTGAAATATCAGTACCAAACAAAGATAGTCTAGAGTAGAACAAATAAAAAATAAAATCCTTCCAACTAGGCTGTAAAAGTTACAGCTAGCAAGAGAGCCAGAGATATAATTAAATTTAGATTAGGAGAAAAATTGAGAGCTTTAAAAGTAGATGCACTGGGGACTGCACTCACAATGAATTCTGTACCAAAACATGCTAAAGTTTTGTAAGTGAAAATGGAGCAAGTTTGCATAATTTATTTCTGCATCAACTAGCAATGTAACACATAGAGCAATGAGAAGGTGTCTAGAAACACTAGTCCCTGTTCTGGCTTCTATGATTTCACAAGTCACCGCCCACACATATTCAGATCTATCTATCCTCACAGTCGTAAGAGCTTGACTAGAATATGCTTGAGGGAGGGCTTATGCAGCAATTATCAGGATATTGCATTGTGCCCAATGTTGAATTCTGCAATAGTGTGGTGTGATCCTGAAGTATGGAATACACACAACCTTGACACAAGCCCTGACTTTTTCTTCTTTCATTTCCTGGATTAATACACTAACCTGTATTATTAGATATGATCAAATGATTAAAGTTTATTTTGCTTTTTAGAAATATGCTCCCATGCTATGCTCTTACTGAGAGCAAGACAACCCCCCCACCATCATTAGAGCAGAGCTCAGATGCTTAGTTTTTGTAGGGTACTAAAACTAGCATCTGACAACCAGCAATGCAGATAGCCGAGACAATGCTGATTCACAAGAACACGGGGGAAATGTCCTCTAGACTATTCCTAGTAAATAGGCATGTTTTAGAATAGGAGACTCTGTAGCCCTCCAAACATTGACTAAAAAATGCATCATTCTTTACCATTGCTCACACTGGTTGGGGATGATGTGAACTGGAGTCCAACAATATTCCCACCCCTGATTTAAAACAAACCCCATGAGTTAAGAACAAAAATGCTCAGTTTTCTGAAGTGGCTTGCCAGGTGGGGCAGAGCTGCTAAGGTAGCTTCCTGGTAGGTAGGCTGCTGGTGCTTACTGGGAGGAAGAAGGGCAAGATGACTTGGAGGCCATCCTGGGGTCAATGTCCTGGCAGGAGCACTGGATTGGCTCCACTGGTTTAACTGCACTGAGCCAGCCCCTCTTGGTAAGCAACAGTGCCCCATCTGCAAGCCACTCCTGCATCAATTACAAAAAGCCAAGAAAGCTGTCCCCTGCACCTACCAGCTCTGAAATTGAGCAAAGCTGGGTGCAGTTTCCTATGAGCCTGTTCCCCCTTGGCTACACCCATGCAATGGTGGATTCAGCTAACTGGTCCCACTAGCAAAAGCCTTCCTCTAGCACAGCGGGGCTTTTCCCTCCCTCTTCTCCCTCCACACCTCCCCAATTGGCTCAGGTGTGTTTGCATGGGGAAGAAGAGGTGATATTGTTCCACCAGGCAAGCGGAAATGTTTGTGCATGACATTGAATGCCTCCCCCACCATGTTAAAAATGGGTAGTATTCAATGCTCATCCTACTCAGAGTAGACCCATTGAATCGCAAATGAGGAGAGCGCTATTTCACACATGTCCTGCTTGTGGGCTTCCCTTCGGGGCATCTTGCCGGCCACTGTGAGAAAAGTTAATGAACATGACTAATTTAGGTTTGTTCATTTCAGTGGGTTTGCTCTGAGTAGGACTTGATTACAACCCTTAGAAATGTGTTGAGATAAAATACATATGTAAATATGCATTTTCTAATAAAATACATACTTACAAGTTGTATTTTTAATTTTAAAAAAAACAGATTAATGTGGAAATGTGATGAAATGGATTTGTGAATGAAGGAGATGGAAGCAGCCTCGTGTAGTAGGTGCCTGTAGTAGTGCTACTTCTCATTGAAAAAAGCAAGGGCAGAAAGCCAGGCCACTCAGCAATTACAGCAAACCTGACCAATCCAGAACCTTCATACTACCAGCCAGCCAGCCAGTGGCAAGGGCTGATGTTGCATAACCTTCCCCACCAACTTTCTGTGGCTTGGAGACACACAGTGTCCAGAAAGCCCACTATACTAGGCAGGCACCAGCCTCAGACCACCGAGATTCCCATTACAATGTGCTGAACTCTTCCATAGCCTCTTTGCCATCTTTCATTGGAAAATTGTCAGCACAAGAGTTCTTGGTTTAGAGCAATGGGGATCATCAGAAGAGGTTAGCAGCTGGGGAAGCATCTTCTCCTGCTCCTTTGGGCTTCTGGCGCTTACTTTTGTTTCCAGGCTGGGGTAGACCCCATAGGGAAAAGGTCACAAAAGAATCATCTGGTTTGTAATCACTAAAATGGGAATAAGCACTTAGATCACTTACAGCAATGCGATTCCCCCAGGGAGGTTTGATAGTGATGAGATAATTCAGTGCTTGACTAATTCTCACTGCCTTGCAGGAAGCAAGTGTATTCAAGCTCTCTTGTCTTCTCAGCATCTAAACTGGCACTGCTGGATGGGATGAGCAACAACAGCAAAAGGGAGCAGGACAGCCAGGCCATTGTGATGGCAGCAGCCTTGTCAGAGCAGACACACACTGCCTCCTTATTGTGATACTGCTGCCTGTGTCCAGCCAGAGGAGGGGAAAGAGGTAGCAGCCAGCTGTCTCTTATCTGCCTCTGCTGCAGATGCTGTTGAGTAGGGCAGCAACTGGGCCCAGCCACCCAGCAGGCAGGAACTAGCAGAGTAATAGAGCGTAGATCTTCCTAGGGCTTTGAGCTTTTGAAAGACTGGCTCCCTTGCATGACCAGATCTAAGCAACTGGAGGCGGAGGAGCCTCGGGCCACAGCTGCCACCCAACCAGATGCTTACTCAGGGCCTTATCAAAGCAATGCCATTGGCTCCAATGTGACTCCCTGACTGTGGAATGCTCTCCCCAGAGAGGCTCTCCTGGTGCCATCATTGCACGTCTTTAGGCACCAGGTAAAAACATTCCTCTTTACCCAGGCCCTTGGCCATTAAATAATCCATGGCTTGTTATTATGATTATGTTATTATTGTGCTGCATTATGTGTATTGTGTTTTTATTATTATCCTGCATAAATTACATTCTTAATGTACACCAGCCTGGAATCTTTGGATAAAGGGCAGTATATGAATCAAATCAAATAAATAAAATACTACAGCAATAAGATGAGCAGAACCGCAAAGAGAGGGAGACAGGAGCAGCAAGAAGGTTAAGGGAGGGGCATGGAGCAAGAGGAGGGGCTCAGCACCTCTATTAGGATTCTCCCCAGGCCACACCATGCACCACCCCCAGGCCACACCTCTCCTTAATTCTATTTTTGGGCTGGCTCAAGTGTGTCTTTCAGCTTTGAAAACATCTCTGGGTTGGGGCAGGGTATTGGATGTGTGGAGAAACTGGCCTGCAGCAAGTACATAGGTAAAATTTGTGTTAGTTTCTCCACCCACTTTTGCCTCTGGCCCCACCCACCACTGACATGTGCCCCCCTCCCAAAGGTCTGGCGCAGTAAGAAACTGGCATCCATTCTGAACCATCTATTAGCCTTCTGCCCAGCCCATGGGATACTTGCATTGGCCCTAACCATTATGCGCCTTCTGGCACCATAAAATGGCAACAGCTGAAAACAGAATCTCCCAAGGAATGCAACAAATGTCGTCAGTTTAGTCAGATGGGTAACAATAATGAATCTGGAATACATAATTGGATTTTGAGAAGATATTTTGAGGCATATGGATGTAATAAGACTCAGCAATATTGAATGTCATCTAATTTGATTATTACATTATAAAGTTGTTCATATTTTATAACAGAAATACTGCAAAAAAAATCTAGAATGAGAAAGGGGTGACCCAAATTATTTTGTACTGAGACACGGATGTTCTGCCCCTCATCCCTTTTTTAAAAATGTTTTTAAAAAGTGGTATAAATTAAACTAAATAGTTGTACTATCAAGACCCAGTGCAATTGGCGTTCCTTCCTCTCTTCCCCCCATGTGCCCCCCAATTGGCTGTGGGAGGCAGGATAGCACCCAGAGCAGTGCTCCAGAGGGGAGGGGGGAGTTTGTTCTGTCTGGCAAACAAAATGCTTGTGCTGATGGAACAATGGCAATAGTGTGACATTGAATTCCACCCTTTTTTACTTTGCTCACAGCAATGCCAGGGCATCTGTGGCCTATCACTTGTTGTTGGACTCTAACTCCCATCATCCCTGGCTAGTATGCTGGCTGGGGCTGATGGGAGCTGGAGTCCAGCAACCTCTGGAAGGCCACAGGTTCTCCATCCCCAGCTCACAGAACAGCTGGGCACGTTGCAGTTTGACCAGAGGCACGCTATACACTTGTGCACATTTCTTTTGTGTCTCAGATCCTTCAAATGCCTTGTAACTAACACACACACACAACCAGGCCCAAAAGACAAAAAAAGAGAGAATAATATTCCTTTTCGACACAAATACAAGACTGCTTATTCTGTGTCCTGTTTCTGCCTTAACTTGAAGTGGTGGAATTCCTTTCCTGGCCCCTTCTCCATTTACAGCCGCCATTGCCACCACTCTCCTTTGTGGCACCCAAAGCTGGATCTGCTAAGCTTAGAATCAATTTCCTCTTAGCCTGCTCCTCCCAGGGATGGAGGAAGCGGCAGAAATCCTCTAATCTGCTTAGCGAGAGCCCAGGCGCCTGGCGCTGAGTGGCCTAATCAGAGCTCAGCTGTGTCGGGATGCTGGCGCCGGAAAGTGGCTTTGGGGACAAGGCAGGTGTGGTATCACAGAGACCCTGGCTGGAGCAACAGGAAACCAGAGGAAGAGCTGGGAGAGAATGAGAAGATACACAAACACAGAGGAAGGATTCTGAAAGCATTGCCCAGTGATGAGCAGTGGGAGGCCAGTCATGGGCACATTGGCAACATTTAGAGTGGGATTCAACCAAGTTTTACTCAGAGCAGAGCCACTGAAATTAATAGGCCTAACTCAGTCATGTTCATCAATTTCAGTGGGTTTACTCTGATCAAATCTTAGTTGAATACCACCCTTTATTTCTACGGGTGGAATTATACATAGCACTAAGTGGGGTATTTATGTGGGGAACTGAAATAAAAAATTTAAGGTCTCTCTCTCTCTCTCACACACACACATATATATGTATATATATATATATGATAAATGTTCATAACTGCATATTTAAACCACATGTCTGAAACCCCACAGAAAAAGTCCTGAAACCATTTTGTCTCTCCCAAATTGACCTCAAATATTTCTCTGCAAGGTCGAAGGAAAATGGAAAAGCCTCCCCATTGTCTTTTCGTTCACAAATCCTGTATTAAGGGCATGTCTGTGTATGAATAGGGTGAACCTGTGACCTGGCTCAGGAACTAAGTATTTGTCATTACAAAAGACTGGCCAGGCTCCCCAGGGTATCCAATCAAGTGACCATTAACAGGTAACCTGCCAGACAGGAGATAAACAACACACTCAGATTTCTGTTGTAGACCACCTTTTCTGTGATGTAGGTATGATGTTTGTGGGGGGTGGTCTTGGGTTACACCCCATCTGTGATGTATGTATGATGTATGGAGGGGTGGTCTTGAGCTCCAGGGAAGGCAATTAAAATGTCTATATCAGGGCAGGCACGCCTTTGTTCTGGGTCCTCCTCCTTTCCTGCGTGTGATGGGAGCACCCTGTTGCAACAGTCAATAAAGATCAGGCTTACTAGCTGCTTTGCTTCTCAATATTCTCTGGTTGGCCTCTCCAACTGGTGGAGAACCTACAAAGGACTCTATAAGGGCTCTTGTGTCCCCCATAAGGGCAGATTTTTGTTTATTACAGGAACGAAATCCACAAACGAAACTAGAATTCCCCCCCCCCCCGCATGCTCCCTAATCCTACAGAGCAGATTCATGGGTACAGAGGAGGGAGGAAAGTTCTGTTGGGCAAGTGAACCTCGTTCTGTGCAGACAACCACTTAATTGAAAATGAAAAGTGCTGAGGATCAAGTGTACTCTCACCCTAGATGTACGTATTGGAACTAGGCAGCAGTTATTCCCTGGGGAGGGGAAATGTACTCTGCACATGCGCAGAGAGGCAGGCAGCCTGTAGCTGTGGAGTGGAGAAGGAACCGGGACTGAGACTGGAAGCTGGCTTGGGGTTTTTCTCCACCACATCCTCTAATAATCCCTTGCTTCTTCTGGTTGACAGTGCCTTTGTCCACATAACTGTTGGTCCTCAGTGCCTGTAAAAGTCAAATGCATTGGCACCATAAGCCAGATTCTATATTTGTATTCCTTTTATGAGTCACAGAATATGATGACACCTGGAGGATTACATCATAGAACTCTTCCTGGAATGGTGGCCAGGCAAATGCTTCCAACACCCTTGTCAGCTGGGCATGAAGACAGCAGCCCTGTTGCTTGACTTCAGCCTCTGATCCTAAATTGCTAAATAGATTTATCAGTGGCTATCAGCCACAATGAGGGACGTGGATGGCGCTGTGGGTTAAACCACAGAGCCTAGGACTTGCTGATCAGAAGGTCGGCAGTTCGAATCCCTGTGACGGGGTGAGCTCCCGTTGCTCGGTCCCTGCTCCTGCCAATCTAGCAGTTCAAAAGCAGGTCAAAGTGCAAGTAGATAAATAGGTACCACTCCAGCGGGAAGGTAAACTGCGTTTCCGTGCGCTGCTCTGGTTCGCCAGAAGCGGCTTAGTCATGCTGGCCACATGACCCGGAAGCTGTACGCTGGCTCCCTTGGCCAGTAAAGCGAGATGAGCGCCGCAACCCCAGAGTCGGCCACACCTGGACCTTGGTCAGGGGTCCCTTTACCTATCAGCCACAATAGCTATTTTCCATGCACTTGTTCCATTTTACAGCCACTTAATCTAGTGTGCATGGTCAACACTGCATCTTCTGGGAGAACCAAAAAATGAAAAAAAATGACGAGATTAAATAATATGTGTTGTACTCGCTGAAAATTATTATCAAAGCAATTCAAAATTTAAGGTAGACAAGAAATTGGGATTTGCAGAAAAAACATCACAATTCAAAGAAGATATATTAAGATCTAGAGTTAAAACATTATCTAAAATGTATAGAATATTACTTGACAGGGAAATGAAAGAAGAATTTGTGAAATCTTCTATAATTAAATGGGCACAAGATGTGGGTCATAACATTGATTTGAACCTGTGGGAACCATTGTGGGAAACAAACTTAAAATTCACAGCTAGTTACGCGCTAAAAGAGAACTACTTAAATATGATCCACAAGTGGTATTTGACACCAAGCAAATTAGCCAAAATGTCTAAATCTAAAGATGACCTGCCTTGCCCCACCCTCCAGCCCTGGGAGTCCTCATAAGGGAGCTGTGCCTGGAGGAAGAACTGGGAGGGGAGAGACTTCATCAGGCAAGGCCTCCTTCCACCTGCCTTGCTCACCCTCCAGCCTCTGCTGCTCAATTTGTATTGTATTATTTTATGCACTGTGGCTTGCTGTTGTTTTATTGATTGTAGTT